GTCAATAGTTGTGGTGGCATAGAGTAGGTTAAAAAACTGTGGGTTTGTGCATGTGATGTGGATTGTCAGCAGCATATTAAAATCTATGAAATGAATATCGAATGGACAGAGGTTGAGGGCTGATGGGGATGCGGGTTTCAGCGTATCGGGCTCTGCCGTGTGCGTTAGCCTCACCTTTTTAAAAAAGATTCCTCGGCGGGCGTTGCGAATAGGTGCCCTGAATTGAAAGCTCGATCTGATAGGTACATTGTATTACTTTCTTCAGCCTTTCGCGCCATGACAGGTAAGCAACGAAGGGTGCCTTGAGTCAACGCAACCTATGAAAGTTGATCCAGACCCTCCATTCCAATCTTCAAATTTTCTTTCTTAAAATTAAATATGAAGGTACGAGTGACACTAAACAGACCTAAAATGAGCCTGTTGCTTTTTACTTTGCTTTTTGCGCTCGCCTACACTGGCTTTTTCTACAATAGTAGGGTGTCGGTACTTGTGGCTGGCATCCAGTCTCTCTCAGAGATTCTATAGGTATTTCATACCGATCTTCGGTGCTTCGTTGAAGATAGATTGCCACCTAAATGAATAGGCGACTCCAGGCTGTCGAGGAGGTATGTACATGGAGATTAAAATGATTTCTCGCCCTAGAGCCGGAGCTAACCAACAGCAGGCAGGAGGACTGGACGCCCTCTGTGCAAAATGCCGCCGCATAGACTGGAGCTGGCTCGGAATCCAGAAGTACTTGGATATGCTTGATAGGCCAACTGATTTGATGTACCCGCTTGCGGAAGCTACAAAGTCTGCGGCCACTTGTTGGGTCTGTGGATGGCTGGTTGCTATGGCAGAAGACAAGCATCATGATGATGCCGTATCTGGTAAGGTTGTTGTTAAGATAACAAGGAGTGCGGTTCCAATACTGGGGCGCGAGGAGTTGCAGCGCAATCTATTATATAACCTGCCTTCTCTGTACCGGATCGAGGTCTCTGTTCGCGAGCGGTATGGTCCTGGTCTGGAATACCGCAGAGGCTTTATCCACAAGGCCAGTGGGACTCGAGGGCCTGTGCACGTTTCCGATATGCTTGACTCGTGGGACACGGTGGAAGCCGAGCCTTACTCTGCACGACTGCGTCCTGTCAAGGCTGACACGCGACTATTCAAATTCTGGAAAGATTACTGTATCGAGGAGCATGGGAATTCGTGCGAAAGGAGCGGATGCACCTTGGAGCGTCTGCGCTCGATGCCCTTTATTCGGTTGGTTGATGTTCTCAGAGATTGCGTCGTCGCTTTGTCTACTTCCGAGCATGTGAAATGGGTGGCGCTGAGCTATGTCTGGGGCGAAGCTCAAAAGCACGAATTGGTGACGGCGAACTATACCTTGTACCACCGACCAGGGGCACTAAAGTCTCACAAAATGCCTGCGACAATAGTCGATGCTATGGCGGTTACCAGGGACCTTGGTGAGCAGTATCTTTGGGTGGATTCGCTATGTATCATCCAGGACAACGAAGAGGATAAGCGCCGTTATATTCCCGCTATGGACATTATATACGGACAGGCAATTGTGACAATCATCAACGCCGGTGCAGATAAAGTGTCCACTGGCATTCCGGGTCTAGGCCAAGGCCCTCAGCGTACGGCCCAGGATGTGTTTACGATCAACAATTCGACGGTTGCGGTGTCGCTCGATCAACCATATCATAGTGCAGAATCGTATCTGGAAAACACCAAGTGGAATACTCGAGGTTGGACATACCAGGAGTGCCTCCTGTCGCGACGATGTCTGATATTCACCCCCGAGCAAGCTTACTGGCAGTGCCTTCGGGCATCTCTATGCGAAGATGCAATCTGGGAACAGCCTATCTGGAAACAACAGCCCAACATATACAGACACTGCCTTGGTCGGGACGGCGCCGAGGAGATAACGATGGGGGCCTTATTGGGGAATGCATCCACCCACTGGTCCAAACTGTACTCATTGGCCTTGGAGCGATTCCGCCAGCGACAGCTCTCCTCAGAAGGCGACTGGATGGATGCATTTACAGGTATTCTTCGGGTCCTAGAGCACTCAAAGGGACAAGAGTTCTTCTGGGGCATGCCGAAAAGTCGATTCGAGCTTTCATTAGCGTGGGTTGGGAACGAAGCTCTCAGACGCAACACCGCTTGCCAGGTCATAGCGGCAGGCAGTCAGACTGTTTCCTGTCCCTTTCCGAGTTGGTCGTGGACTGGGTGGTTTGGATCAATCGTTATGGATGTCGCGAACTTCCATGGCTCAACTACCCTCCTCCCGCTTAGGTTTTATCGACTAGGCAGTGATGGTGTCCCAACGCCCCTCCACGAGAACCTGGACGACGTTCTGTCTGAGTTCCACAACGATAGTGTCGTTGTCCACAGCAGAGCAATTAGTTTTCCTCCTAAAAACAACCCATCAGATCATACTTGGATGGATACAGCAAGGACTGAAATTACCACCCTTGACATTCCGGGTAGCATCCGTTTCTGTGACATCGCTCCATCGCTTCTTTGCTTTTGGACTAGCACGGCCATCCTGGAGATCTCGCAGGACAGGCAAAGATCCAAAAGCGAGCCTTTCAAAGAAAACACTACACTTAGTGACGGACAGGCAAAAGTCAGCGGACAGCACCCCTGGAGGGAGCCACGGCTTGACGTTAAACAGGGCAAGTTCATCGTGGTTGGTGCTATCCACACAAAGCCCGATCAGGGATCACTATTCACTCTAAAGCTAATGTTGGTCGAAGAACGCGACTCTGGAGTGTGCTACCGGCTCTGTATTATTAGCAACGTCTTAGCATCAGCCTGGGCAAAGTTGGGCAATCTCAAATGGGAGTTAATTTATTTAGGTTAGGCTTCATGATGCAGTAACTAGAGCCTCTAATCCAAAATGCATATTCCTCTCATCGTTCTCAGACTACTTTATTGCAGCAGTCACAAGCTCGTATCCTTTAGCCTTAAACCACCATGATCAAGGACAAAATTGATCTGCACGTCCATGCTGCCTGTCGTGAGAGTTGCCGTTCTCAAGCCCAGGAAAGAATAAACGGAACCGTCAATCGACCCTTACTATCTTGCTTCGGACCATTTTCAGATACTTTTGCATCGGCCAGAGTTATTGCGCCAGACACTATCCCTACTATCTCTGCCATTTAGCGGTCTTCTGAACAGAGGTCCTCGATAGAGTACCTTGTGCTTGCCTGGCATTGTGGACAGAAAGAACAGACTAACATCCCCTACTTCTACAGCCAGCTATAGTCGCATTGTGTCTCTGCGATTGGGTGAAGACTGGTTTCCTACAGGTAAGTATTCCCCGCTTTCTGGTCTGCTCTGTCCTCATCACATATATCCTTGGACAGTATGAGAGCAGCCAGTCCTGTCACTTGTAGCCACGCCAAGGACTGGGAATCCACAGCCTTGCATCTAAACCTCAGCTAGATGAGGGCGCACAACGTGGATCCAATTAACACTTGCAGTGTGCAGAGGCCCAAAGCACTTTTGAAGTGGGAATTTGGCAAATCAAACTGATCGTTCCGCCACTGCGTGTAGAACTGAACCAACAGTCCCTCGACCCCGTGTGGCCACCCACCCACCCACCTCCGTCCTCAACTCTGGGGCTCAAGTCAGCGCAACTATACCTGATTGCCGTACTTAAAATGTGATCCCAGTCCGGTGCACTATCCGCTCTTACTGTTCCAATTCCGCATTCTCCCAGAACTTTAATCCCAATTCCTCCTTCGCCGCGCGCACCCCTCACCAAGGCAGACTTTATTTGAAGACAATCACCGCGCCATGTGTCAGGAACAATATACGCAGTGGAAATTCAGCTGTGGCGCCCCTGTCATCAAACATAGCTCGAAAACAACCACATGCAAGAACCCTGGGAGCAGCACCTGCAAGAAACAGAAGAAGAAGCCCCAGTGTCTCGGTACCATCGAACACACGCGGTGCGGGAGATGCTCGACCTGCACGAGGGCAAGCCAGAAGAATGTGAAAGCTACCAAGGCTAAATGAGTCGTTAGGTAAGTTTAACCTTTGCATTCTGTTTTGGGGACTGAAGATATTTATACGTGTAGTGTATCTCTTCGGTCAGAGGCGCATGCAACCGGCCTTGTCACTAAGATCTACTTGTTCTCGGGGCACTTATTAACCGGGTGACGTTTTGCCTTTATGAATTCTTAATGACGGTATTCGAGACTTCTTGGGGATATTTTATTATATTGGCCGAGGCATCAATGGAAAGTATAATGCACTGCGATCTATTTGCTTTGTACAGATGCTTGTCGTCCGGCTTCATTCCATTTAGCGTCTCTTAGTTTAACCGTAGTAGGAAAGAGTCAGGGTCGTCGAACAGGAAAATATCATCTTGACTTCAATAAAACCGCAGATGGCAAGAACCGAGGTTGAACCGCCAAAAAAAGGCCGACCCCTTAAGGCTCAGAACAGTTAAGGAAAGCCCTTTAGGAATACTAAGAGATATGGCTCGTCAACTATCGCAAGAGAGCGCCGTGGTTGGTACAACTAAAATCTTTGAGGTCCACGATCTGGCTTAGAGGCAGATGGAGCGATTACGTACATCCCTTGTTCTGCGCTTCTACCAGCTATATGATGAGGTCGCATAACTGCTGACGTTGTGAAAGGCGCACATGGCGGCCCCTTAATTTAGAGCTAAACGCAACTAGGATATTCCACCGACAAAGCCTGATGTGGCCATTTCAAGGTTATACGAGGGTAAACAGCACAATCTGCCTTGACGCAGCCTTGTCCGCAGCCTTTTGAGGATGCATAGCAAACATGCATATGAGAGCAATCCTGATTCAACTCCGTGACTTAGCAGATTCGAAAATCGCCCATGTTGGGTGCAATGCAGGCGTAATTGGCCAGAGCCTTACATGGCTGACCTTAACATCGTCCCTCTTCTCACTAACCAACCCCGCTCTCACCGCATGCATGTTGGCCATTCTGACAACGACACTAGAACAGCCTCAGAAATAGCCATGTTTTATCCTTGGAAGGGTCTTTCAGAATGGGCCCCCTTTGAGATCGATGCTCTCGGGCTGCTGACTCTGTTAGGTGCGAATGAGGTGGATATATCTGTCGGCCGGCTTGCCCCCAGTTATTGGCTCGAGTATATGCCCCTGCTTGCTGGATTTGTGTTTGCAGGCGACAGATTCCGTGCCAAACAGCCAGCATTCACGTTATACAACGTCTCTAGCGGGATTGTCACGGGGAATCTGGCAGCATGGTTTACCAGGTGGATGCAAGCGCAAGAGTTCCACGTCTCCCGCAGCCTGGTCTACTGGGAAGTGAACAAGTCATCGCCACCACAACTTGACCAGTGGTCGTACGTGCTTGTTCCGGCTTCGATCTCAGCTACCCTCACAATGTTTTTCCTTGCGATGACGATTCTGTCCGGGGATTGGTACGGCCTTGCGAACGCGATTGCCATCATCCTACTCATTCTCGTCCGTTCTTACATGATACACGAGAACCGCAACGCAATTAACAGATCTGTTGCCGCCGCAAAGCCACTTCCATCAACTTATGCAAGCGCCCTCGACAAATGGGAAGAGCAACGGAAGAAAGACCCGAAGGCGACGCGACCCCTACCGGACTCCTCCTCCTCTTCCGCCCCTCCACGGTGGCGCCCAGAGGTAGTGAAAATCCTGGTCGTCATGCCTGACTCGCGGGCCATCACCATGTTCATTCCCGAGCATCTTCTTCGCGGGGTCTTTGTCACCGAGACCCCCGTCCGCTCCCCCGGCGTGTATCGCATGGCACAATGGATCGGGTGGGTGGCATTCACTGTCCACGTCGTCACACTAGGCATGGCGCGGCTCGCAACCCAGCTCTACGTGATTGCGTTTACAGTGATTCCAACTGTGTTGATCTGCTACGGCTTCGGCTGCGACGACTCCCGGGTACATAAAGCGTGGTGTTGGCTCTGGGGGCAGGACGCCGGGCCGTACGTCTACCAGGCCGGGCCTCAGCTGAGCGCGACAGTCTTTGAGTGGCCAGAAGACGTGGAGTTTGCCACGGACAAAAGAGGCGTCCTGCGCAGGTGGGATGCGCTAGCGGTGCAAAAAGGCGGGCCGGGTTGCAAGAAGCGATCGACAGCGCGGCAGGATTTATATGCTTGGCTGAATCTCAGCAGCGAGGAGCAGAAGAGCCTTTGGGACTGGCATTTGCTTCCTCATACGCGCGGCGTTGATGATTCGTGGTGGGTTGCCTTCAACGAGAAGCAGCGGCTCATTCGCGAGCGGCCGCCGGATATCCGGGCTCTCAAGGACTGTATTCGACGTGACTTGGAAGCGAGAAGAGCTGGGCGTTGGTCCTTTCGGGGTCAGCCACGGGGTAAGGGGGATGTTGAAAAGGGGTCCAGATGAAGGAAGAAGACAGAGAGGAATGCTTCATGGTTGGGTGGGTGAGGGTGAGTCAGGAGACTTCATCCTGTGAAATTTGAATCTATGGTCAGTTTTGTCGCCTTGAATATGTGACCCCTGCGATGGGTTGCAGTTTCGTGTCCGATTTGTTTCCCTCCTGACGGGGGGATGATGGTTGCTACACTCAAGGTAGGGTACGGGCTGCCTAGGTATCTTGTCAGGGTTGGAAATTTCGCCAAGTACTGTAATTGAACCTTCCCAAGAAGACGCTCAGCGGTATAAAACACCGCATTTCAGTCGCCCAGTTGAAGCTGCTTATCAAGAACACGTAAAAGGAAGCAGCAAGCACGTCTTGTTAGTTTGTCATACGAGATCAGAAGAGAGGAATCCGCAATAGATAGAATAGCCAATACTGAGAAACCTGTCGAGGATTATATTAAGCTGAATGTCCGGAGCGTGAACGCCCCTACCCGGGAAATGATATCCTGCCCTGTCTCAAGATAGCCTTTTGCTTCGCTAATTACCATATAGAATCGACGCCCTTGGCAGACATACTGGCGAAGGATGGCGAGCTGGATACAGCCCTGCATTGCGCATACCCTGTCGCCGCTGCGCGCCGCACGCGGAACGATGGAGAAATCAATCCAGATTGCCTTATAGTAGATTCTCGCCGCATGCTCAAGCCTGAGTTCCTCGAACGGACGATTCGCGGGAGGGAAGCGGGGAAGTCTACCTCTGGCTGGGCGATGCTATGCAATATCCGCAATATCCGCCGCCGGCTCTTTGTGCTATGCACGAGTCTTAAAACAGAGGTAAGGTCACCATTCTGCGTGCAGAACGGTAATATCCTTCTGTCAGTGGCGCATCGCAATGCATTAACTGGAGGCCGACATTAGTTAGTTAGTTATGCCTCCGAATGCTGAGTCAATCCAACGTATAAAGAAGACAAGGCGACCGGGCTTGGTACCAATTATTTATTGGCTCACATTGGGCAAGGGTCCCTGGTCTTGTTTGACACCTGTTGTCGACACACAGCTCTCGAATCCGCCTGATCTGTTTTTTGCTTTTGCGAAGTCATAAGCTGAATGTGCCGTGAGGCTCTGCCGCTGCTGCCGTTCCTCAAAGAGCGATTTATCTGACTGTCCACCTTCGCGTTAAATGGCGAGTCTGCATTGCAGTGTAGAAATCTCGAGACTCACTCAGCCTCTCACTTAGCAGGGAAGAGCACATAATGCTGACATCTCGGTCATTTCACAGCCAGGCGCGGCGCTCGGCTGGGCGTATCTTAGCGACCTGGTATCCCACCCCTTATAGTCACGTTCCACATAACTTTGTAACCTTGCGACCCTACAGCATTGCACTGGTGGGTCTCGGATACCGGGGCTACAGAAGCCATTTTCTCAGCCTCTCTGAAGATCCGTCTGTTTCAATAACCGCTGTCTGTGACACGAATCGCGTGGCGCTGGAGGCTTTCTCCGCGACACACAAGGGAATCCCCACCTACCTTTCACTACCACAGCTGCTACAGAGCCACATACTGGATTTTGCCATTGTGTCTGTGCCCCATAGCGCCCACGCTCAATGCATCGCCACCCTTGCAGCAAAGGGCATTGCGGTCCTAAAGGAGAAACCTGTTGCAGAATCCATTGCAGACTACGAATGGATGACCAGGCTGCCAGTGGGGATTGGAATCGCCTTCCAAAAGCGATTCGAACCACATTTTTTGCATTTTAAGAGCCTTCTCCCGCTTGTTGGAGAAGTTGCGGCGGTTGAGGCGAGCCTCGCCCTCAATATAACGAACCTCGAGGAAACATGGCGTGCAGCATCCAGTGTCGGAGTCACGGTAGGCTAAGCCCTGCACCCGTCAGGCGTGTAATACAGCGAAAGTGACCTGTCTATTATCTATAGGAAGACCTGGGCTGTCATATGCTCGACATGCTTGTGTGGCTATTCGGACCGCCAACCTCCGTTATGGCACACCAGGTCTCCTCTGTTCGACGTGGCCAAAGATATGGCGGGGATGATGTCTCTGACATTCTAATGGACTGGGGAGCAAAAAAGTGCATCGGCCATATACGCCTGTCCCGCGTCGCCCATAGACCTATCCAGTCTATCACAGTGACAGGGACCAATGGTACGCTTCATCTGGATGGGTGTCAAATCACCCATCACGACAACAATGGCTTTGAGACGTTAAAGGTCAAACATCAGCCAGGGCAAAAACAAGTGATCCAAACCATGGCCCGAGAATTCGGCGACTGGATATCGGGTCGTCGACCTGAATTTTCATCCTCTTTAGGAAACGCGCTGCATACAGTTTCTGTTGTGGACGCTATCAACGCGTCGCTTGCGAGCCGGCAGGTGCGGCACCCGCTGCTGCTGTCCTCTTCAGCCGAAGGTTTGGGTGCTGCCACTAACAGCCGACTCTTGTCCAAAATATCCGGAAGCAGTAGAGGGTTTGCCGCCAACTTCTCTACCTCTTCCTCCTCGACCTCCTTCGCTTATCCCAGCTACCGGGAGAAAGTATTTTGGCTCAATACTGGAGCCTCAATCCCCGCCGTTGGCTTGGGTACTCGCAGAGCCGAGACGCCAGGGCAGGTATACAAGGCTGTTCGTACGGCATTAGATGTCGGATATCGCCACATTGATGCAGCACAGTCTTCCGAGAATGAGCACGAGATTGGCCGAGCCATTAAGGATTCTGGTGTGCCACGTAAGCAGATTTGGATCACAACTAAACTCGACAACAGATGGCATACCCGTGTTGAGAGTGCTCTGCAACTGTCTCTAGACGCGCTGGACATGGACTATATCGACCTTTATCTCATGGTAAACGCGCCTCGAGCTATCATCTGCGAGGATTCACTGGCTGACCTCACAAGCATTGGCCTGTATCCACCTGCCCCAACGATCAGACCACCCAGCTGAAGAATTGGAACTTTGTCAACACGTGGTACGGCACAGTATAGTACGTAGAAGTAACTCACGGCCACAACTCTGATTCATACAGGGAAGCAATGCAACAACTACAACCACACGTCGTGCGAAACATTGGGGTTTCGAACTTCGGCATCGCCCACCTCCAGCGACTGTTGAATCATCCATCCTGCAAGGTCGTCCCTGCAGTCAATCAAATTGAGGTAACGGCCAGATCCGTAGTAGCTTGACTCAGCCCCTGCTGACGTGCTACAGCTCCACCCGTACTGGCCCTCTCGCCTACTCCTCACGTACTGCAATAACCATGATATTCACTGCACGGCATATTCATGCCTGGGTTCCACTGAGTCCCCGCTATTACAGGACCAGACGGTACTTGAGGTATCGCGGCTGAAAGATAAATCACCACAACAGATTTTGTGAGCGCTGCCCCTCTGGCCCCCTCTTTCCTCCGGTCATAATTTCCTCATTTCGTGCCATGTCCACTCTGTATATGCTGATATTCTTTTGGCACCAAAGAATTAAATGGGCCATCCAGCGGGGTACAAGCGTGGTACCCAAGAGTGTAAGCGCGTCGAGAATCCGAGACAACATCGAACTGGATAGCTGGGACTTGAGTCGTTATGAGATAGCCATGTTGAATGGTTGCAGTACGCGATTTAAATCATGCAATGACAACTGGTTACCCGAAAAGGTCTTCTTCGCGGAGGATGGCTGAACGACTCGACTAAGGTATATAAGTTCAGATCTCAATGTCAGTCTTTTGAGAATACCTGGTTGCCATTGAACTTCTATTTGGGGAAACTATGCCAGTAACCTAATGCCCTGCTTCTTTTCGTTGCATTCTTATGGATCTACCTTAGAGCTAGCATTGCCCCCGCTTTGTAGTACGGACCGACACCTCAAGTGCTGACGTGACTACAAGCGTCCAAATCGCCAGGAGTGCATCGTAGTTTTAATTTCTGACCCGCTGACTGTCCGCAACGGAGAACCTTTTGAGAAAATCTGATGGGATGAGTTCCTACGTAATCCCGCTAAGTGTCACGGCAGCTCGGAAGGGAGCCGGTCCAGAGGCCACTCGGAACACAAATAACGAAGCCTCTTCGATAGCAATTAATATTTATATGAGTATGATCAGCAGGTATGTAAAACCTACCTATATTAAGCGTCACAGGCATCATCGCCGTCTTGATTCATCTCATTCACTCCACTGATCCCACCACATAAAGGGCTATAATATCGGACGATGGCATCTCAAGATGAATCCAGGCCGTTCGTGCAGATCTTGAACGTCTCGTTAGCCTCCCTATGTCAATCGACGAACCCATTGTGCCCATCGCACAACTTTCTCAATGGGGCATCCGCGCGATCCAGGTCGGTTTTAAGGCAGGAAGCCAAGATTTATTAGCCTTTGCGTCATCTTTCTTCAACCCTGCTCCATTATGTTACTTCACTGATTTCCCCCTACCGAATCCGTTTCATGGGAACGGACCGACGTCCGCAGAAGGGCCCCCATGGACACATCCCAGCAATTGAATTACTACGTCGACAAATTTTGCAGCAAACTGCGGGAGAACTTTGAAGTGGAGGGATGTTGGAACTTGATTTCTCTTTCGGAGTTCGATATCGCTGACTGGTATGTCAATCCTTTTACCCCGAATGACCCATTCACCTTCAGTTGTCACTGACGTAGTTTTTTATTCTAGGACGCTCAGGCCGCGTTATCGTCATCTTTGTGGTATAGGGTGGTCTTGCCGCCCCAAAGATTCCCATCCGCCTTTTCTGCAGTGTGTTGCCTCCTTAAGGACCAAGTTCTCCGTTCCATCAGTGTAGTCTATGCAGCGCCACATGAAAGTGCCGGTACAATTGACTGTCGACTTGGGGGCGAACGTTCCATGCCAGCATATCTGAATATTATCCTCCAGCTAGACTATATCAATCAAGCTTGTTCCAAAAATCAACATCAAACGACACCATACATTTCCAAGAGTTCCATTCCCAAAAGGCTGCTCCCACCGCACAGCGCAGGCAACCCGACCGGGTATGAAAAACTAGCCCGCGCGTGAGCAGAAGAAGCCTGCGTGCCGGACTACCTACACGGCCTCGACCCAGCTCCCGGGCCATCCTCTCAAAACACCCAACTCGGCAAGAACCGACGGAACCTGGCGAAAGCCCCAGGACCCGGACCTGGGTACGCCCCGGGGCCGAGGGGATGGTCGGCGCACATGCGGACGTCAGACATCATAACGCCCTCGGGCAGCTCTGCTGGGTCGATCCTCATCACGCCCAGGGGCCCGCACTCGGCTTGCGCCGCGGCGACCTCATCGGGTGTTGCGTCTGGGCGGAGAGCGGCGAGGGCGGTGGTTGCGGAGATGCCGAGGAGGAGGGAGAGGTAGGTGAGGGGTTTCATGTTGGAGTTGGATCAGGCGATGATCTTATAGAGTGGTGTAGTTAGCCCTAGAGAGAAAAAAAAAAATGATGAAGAGCAGAAGAGGGCTGATCAAGAAAGAAAGATGGGAGGAAGGGGGTTTCGTACCTTTGGAACTCACGCAGGAATACTGGAAGGGTATTTGGTGAGTGTAAAGGGGAAGGTGGCAGGCGCTAATCCTCTGGGAAATGAAGATATTAATATGTTGGGAAGCAGCGGGCTTGATCCTGGCTGCTACTAGCGGGCAAGGATATACCACTTGCGTGCTGAGGTTCGGTGCTGGATCTCAGCGCTTAGCCTGGTGGGGAGCCTGCTTCTTTATACAGCTAAGACCGCCGGCGTCGGGCGAACAGGCGACGTGGTCGAAAGTTGCTGCCTGGTCACAGGGTAACCTTGATGGACAAAGGGACTCACTTTCCAGGTAAGGATCTATCCAACCACTGGGCCTGAATTGAGTCATGGAGCGCAGTCAGTGAGGTCTCACCCTGTCGCCGCTCTTATCCACGAAAACAGGCACACAGGAGATTTTCGTATCTGGTTAGAATAGAGTGCCAACTCGCAAGGGCATGGCCGGACTGGCCCCATCGATGTAACGTCAGGGACGGCCCGACCTTGGAGTGGGGAAAAAAAACATTCTTTCCCATAGTATTAATCGGTTGGGGATCCAGGGAGCTTAATTGAAATTGGGGACCTTGTGGGTGGTGCTCTGTTGACATCCCAGGTGACTAGGTCGCGAAATGGAGTTTTTAACACGGCAAATCATGGTGCCACCACGGAGATCGTCTCAGATAGAGGCCAAGCGGAGCTGTCGAGGATGCTTCAAAGTAAGAGACAGAGTAAATAGCACTAGAGACATATAAAAATGATGCTCCCTTCACCGAGTCGATGTACGGGGACCATGCCTACGTGCAGGAAGTTTACTACCAGACTCTGTCTCTTACTTTGAAGCATCTTATCTATATAGTCCACCTCATATCAAGCACATACGACCACAGGGTGTGGAAGACAGGGCTTCCCGTCCGCTCAGCCGTACTTAAGCCACCTATTGAACGCGGACGACTTGGAAATGAGCCCTTTGGAAGTTGCTGCTTTATGGGTGAGCGCCGCCAAGTCGCAGGGTGAGTGTGGATGATTTAGGTGATGTCGTCCAGAGCGCGGGTGAGCGAGTGGGTGAGCTAGACAACCCAGTCGGATTTTTGTGAAGTTAAATAGGGGCACTCAACCTGTTTGTCCATCACCTTTTTTACCCCTTCGAGTTACACATCCTCAAGAAACAACTTCAAGTGCGATCCTATACAAAAATCAACCATGTCACGTGATAGAGACTCAGTGCTATCTGAGGAAAGGCGGAGAAAGGTTAATGACTTCTGTAAGCTTGGTGAATTACATGGTTTACCAGAGAGTACTAGCAAGATACAAAAAAGAATGAGAATGAGATATGCCACAAAAAGAGAGCTCCAGCTACTGATGAAAGGTACAACAGAGCCGTTGAAAATTGGAAAATGTACGTGATCACTAAGTCTCTGCATTCGCATAATAGTACAGGGAAACCTAACTTATAGGGAAAACCTATACCAAGACAAGAGAAAAAAAAAAAAAAAAAATTCACACCTAACCATAGAAATCTAGACATCTAACGACATCCTGAAACCCAGAGTGTCGCTTACACCGGAGAGTCCAGGTGGTCCAAAAGGTCCCCAACCTTGGAAACTCGGAAGATTAGTAGAGTAGATAAGTCAGTCATATAATATTCGAAGGTTCAACTCATCGCTGTAGTGTCGATCAGCAACTAACATTATATTCATGTTTCATCTCCCTCAGCGCTGTAATCTTCAACTCATGTCTCCAGTAGTGATCAGCAACTTACAACCTATCCATATTCCATCTTCCATCAGCGCTATATTCTTCAGTCGTCTCTCCATATTGATCAGCAACTTACACCCTATTCATAATCCATCTATTCAGTCAGTCGCTTTAATTCGGCCATCATCAATGGAAACCCATATGGCGCCTTTTTGAATCGCAAGTGTCTTTGGCTGGTCCTGGGGTAGTTGGACAAAAGTCCCAACGAAAACAACATACATAGGGGCCATGCTCTGTGTCACACTCTCACGTGAGGATTACTGAGGGACGGCAAGAAAAGGATAGCGGCACAAGCTGCAAGAAGCAAGTCCTGTATTTTTTTGTCAAGACTCGAGAGTTCTCCATGTAATAAGCGCAATGTCCATTTAGACATGGTATAGTTGAATCCAGAAGCACATTATATAGATTGCCAATCTTGCTTGATGGAAACAGTAGTCTGTCGCCGAGGAGCACGCTCTCGTGTAAAAATTCTTCCAAGCCCAATGTAACAGAGCACAGCAGTATTTCAGGGGAAGAATCGCCTCCATAGGGCATCCCCGGCCTTAAGTGGATTTCTTTTTTTTCTCTCTCTCTAGGCTGCCGAGCACATTTCGACCGTAATCTGCAACATATACTCCGAGATCCTTGTCTATCCCGAAGAAGCGCTTAGCTAGAATGATTCCCTCTACAGCGACTCTAGTAGAAACAAGATGGGCGGGGGAACATACAAGTCTCGATACCATATTCCATAACATCCTCAATGTACTCGAACTGCATCGTTCCAATTAATCACCGGACTTCAGCAAGACCCGCAGAGAAGGAAAACTGTTTCTCACCGCTGTACCGTCTTCCACGTAATCAAGGAGAGCGAAGGTGTCCGCTCTCATTCTCTGCCAGAAATTATCCACGAGAAGGATATCGGCCGAGATGGTGTCGAGATTCGAGTCCCGCAAGGTGGTCAGCATTGACCGGGCTTCCTGGATAAGTTTGATCTCTTGTTCCTTTTCTTGGATCTTGCCCTCCTTGGCTAAAATCTCTTTATTCAATCCTGTTATTTCGGGTTACTCCGGTTAGTCTTCTGTAATGACTGCAAAGTTGCAAGAGTTCAGAGGAGGCTATGCAAAGACTGACGCTTGATCTTCTCTTGCTTCGCTGAGATGGCTGCGGCCGTTGCTGCAACCCCAATCACGCCTACCAACTGTACGTGCCCCGGTGTTAGCAAGTGACAGGATACCAAAGGCCCTTATTATTTCGTGGATCTTACCCCGATGATCAGGGCGGTCCAGCCACCGAAGAGTAAGCCAATGAGCGACAAGCTGGAAACCAATTTCATGACGAATTGCAGGTCTTCAATCTCTTTTTCAACCTTCAGAATGTCCTGACGGAGGCCCTGGATATCTCTTTGAAGTTGTTTGATCTCTTCCAGGAGCTCTCCCTCTTTATCCTTCCCCCAATCGTCGAATTTGGCGACAAATCTGTTGAAATTTTCCTTTAACTCTCTGATTCGCTTTTGTGCCTCTCTAGCGTCCTTTTCCTGTTGCGCTGTGTCCTGAAAGCAAATTAGCTGAAGGGTTATCTTATCCCTCTACTACAAGAGGGGTAAGGTAAAACTCTCTCGCCAGAAGTTGCCTTCTCAGTTTGACTTACCTTGAGGAAGTTGTCCACCAGCTGTCTTTTGGCTTCCTTGGAGACCTTGTCGTTGTAGCATACTGGCAAAAGCATTTTATCGAAGTCTATATAGAAGCATTGAGTTTTCGATCAAGGATGCGGGTCATCGTGACAAAGAACAGACAAAAAATCACTCACGTTCACCCAGGGGCTCCATGTCTAAGGCAACCCGACCTGCCAGCTGAAGAATCGCGTCGTATTCCTTGTTTTGCCAGCAACAAGATCAGGACCAAATCACCATCAAAATGGACAATTGGGAGGCGTAAAGGAAGAGACACAGATTTAGATGTGGCTCAATTAACAACATACCAGAAGGTACCCCCTCATCTCTGGCTCGAACCCTGAAACCTCAATTGCATCTAGCTCTATGATCTTTTGAAGGATCTTATCAAAAATCCGATAGAGTCGCACAGCGGCCTCTGTGGCCTCTGTGGCGCTGGCCTTAGCGCTGGCCTTGAGGAAATCACTCTGCATTTCCCGTGCCAAGGTTCGCTTCAGCGCCTTCAGGTCTTCTTCGCTTTCGACAGGAGGGAATCCCTCTCCTGAGCTATCGGCTAGGATGTCAATTTCTTGGTCATTCAAGCTTCCGACAACTTGAAGATATTTTTCTGGGGTCGGATCTTTCCCGACTTCGGCTTCGACGCGTGCCATAAGCTCATCGTAGGACGGAGGGGACTTGTCCGTGCCATACTGAGGCGGCGGGCTGTGGAGCGACATGATTCCAAACGTGACAAGTAAGGGAAAGGCTCAGTGTTGAAGTTTTCAAGAGCTGCTCAAGATCTAGCTTTTACTACTTTTCTCGGATGAGGTTGGAATTATGGAGAAAGCGTGTGGAGGGTCAACCGAACCCATTCTTATAGCATCCAAGACCAAAGAGAAGCAAAAAGTCTCTAGAGCTCCGCCTGCCACAATCATGATATGATCTCATGGGCTGCAAGGTGTGATGACATATTCCTACGTAGACGATCTCCGGTATGGATTCCTCTCCAAGGCAATTCATGGAGTGGTGCCAGCTGTTCATTTCTTCCCCACCGTGTGTTTCCGCATCATGCATCATGCATGCCGTTTGCAACAAATGAAAAATGTTTCACTCTGTGCATTAGTGGGATGTGATTGAGTATACAATAGACATGGGAGATGGTCTGTGCTAGGCGTTTGCCACCTAGATTCATAGATCGACGTTATGCCAAATCTAGCTGATGTAGATCTCGACCGACAAGTCGGCTGCAGATGAAATTTGTATCCTTACTATACTCGATTACGAAAGATAAAGTCCCCTGCCATGCCGACGGCCACTCAGATTGTATTCCGCCACCTTTGCTGTCATGCTTTGCATGGAATAGAGCTCTAGATCTTTCCAATCACTTCACCCAGCTTTTCTATGTTCTCCCTAAGCTGTTCATCTGTTATTATTTTCCCATCAACCTTGATGACCTTGTCTTCGATTGTTACCACCGGCTTATCTTTCGCAGGAGGCTCGCCCTCCGGAATACTAGAGTCTGGATAAAACTCGCTGTGAATCTTGAAATAACCCCGAAGTTGCATTGCAATCGTCCTGTCTGTTCGGCCCTCCCACGACCGTTGTCATAATCGTTAGAAACAATGAAACCGAGAGATGGAACCGGGTTCCCCTTAAGCTAACATAGCATGGGACAATAGCACGGCTTGAACTTTTGCTTACAAAGATGATTCTTTTCGTCGTTTTCTAGCCACCAGCGAAGGACTTCCGGTACTTCCTGAAAGGGATGCTCTGGTTAGTGCTTTCAGAACATTCTTATCAAGGAGAGAGAGGAGGTAAGAGAGAAAGGGACGATGTGTGAATCTTACCACCAGGGCAGCCCCATCTTCCAGCCATCTGTAGATGGCATGGAAATCCGAAGACCTGAATTGCCAGAACGCTCGCATATCCCGCAAGTAACCTTCGACTACCGCGACAGCTTCGGCCAGAGTTAACTCGTTGATGGAAGGATTGGACTTCTTCTGTTGTCTCGCATGCTCGGCCGCACTCAAGATAAGACTGCTAATCTTGGCTTGTTCGGTGCCAATAGCGAGAAGCCCACTAATCTATATCCCCAAACAGAACAAGGAAGCCAAAGGTTGTCAGTTTCGCTCATTTTTCGAAACGTTGAAGGAGCAGGTAAGTATGCAACGGTGTTTTGTGATCGTACCTTTCGACGAGTAGAATCATGCCCCGAGAAGCTGGTAGCCATTTGAAGAGGCCAAGTAGCCGAGGAAATGTCCGGGGTCAGTAGTTGTTCAACATTGTAACAGGTAAGCCTGGGGTACGAAGTGTCCGAGTCGGAAACTGAGGCTGATCGTGGTTTAGCCTCCGCCATAGCTTTGCGAAAATCGGCGATGAGTGTGTTCCAGTATGACGCGATCAGGTTGCTAACCTCTTCCTTGTTATCGGCATCCTAAACATAATTAACGCCCTAGATCACAAACATAGATCCTCGATTCGGGTCTGACTCACGTTGATAACTCGTGCAATGGCAAGTTTCCGCATCCACACGGGCACTTCGTCATTTGCACAGTAAGGGATGAGGGTGACATCGAAATCTGCAGCGTGGAACGAGTAAAGGGTAAACCTCAGCTCGTATGTACATTCGCTGCTCTCGTGGATGATATGTACCACTCACCCTCGGTCAAGAAAGATAATGCCGCCGCGGTGAACGAAGTATTATACTGAAGATACGACGTGCGCTGGCCATTTCGGTTTCTCGCTATCAGCAAGTATCCTTGGAAGTGAGTGTTGACAGGCGGCGACCCTTGAAAGGAACTCTCACCCAATGCACCCGAACCTCCTTATCGTATGTGGCATTGTCCACTAGTGCGAAAATGCGATTCCGGGCGTCATTTTTTCGGTTCCGATAGTCCTTAATCGCGGCGACTGTATCGTCCACAATTTGTTGCCAATCAGTCTCCTCGTTGGAAACCAAGGCAGTCTGCAACGCACTCCAGTAGCGGTTCTCTTGGTCTGGAGTGAACTGTGCTGGGCCTGAGATTCGCAGTAGTGGAAGTATGGACTCGAAAGAAACTTGTTTCCCAGCGTCTAGGTACTTCTGGATGGAAGGCTCGCCACTCAGGAGTTTGGTATATTCGTCCTGGCCGAGTGATTCTTTGAACAAAGAGACTAGCTTCGCCTGCTGTTCAGCTTGGATTGGGACCATTTTCGTTTGTCGTAGTGTTGCAGGGGTTGCAAGATAGTATTAGTCTTGATTTATTGTTGAAAAGATTGCTGGGGTTCCTCAATTGCGATTAGAACTACAATTAACGTAAAAGAATATATGAACCCTCAATTTATAGTTTTCTTTGCGGACGCTGCAGCCACTGACCTTGGAATTGGACATAGGGTTGCTGGGAGAGAGGGAGGAGAGTGGAGTGTTGTCATCGAGTCACTGCATGGTTACCAAAACCCCAAAAGAAACTCAAGTCGTTTACACTTATATTAGGTCACCTTTTCAATTTCCGTTTGCAGTCTTGCATGCATATGCCGGAGTGAGTTGTAATGGTGGGTCCGGAAGGATCAATCCCTCGAAAATGCAATTGACAGATCATTTCCACAGCAGCGACAAGCCTTCGTACACATACTCGATAGTACGTACGTACATGGTGGTGGCTTGGTGGCTTTGCGGGCAGCCAGCTGAAAAATAAATCACTCAACAGCTAGGTTGGTACCTATCTGGAACCCGACCCGCATCATATCCAAAAGCTCTCGGCGATACTTCCATGTTTCCGTCCATGAAACCTGGCTGGCTCCATAATTCCTTCTTATGCGTCCCACACGTTGACGTCCATAGCCCGCACAAATTCCTGGCATTGAGTTATCTAGACCTTGTCTAACGCTGTAGTCTGTCAGGGAGAAGTTTTAGGCTCAAATGTCTTTGAGTACTGAGCACTCGAGCTTCCAATAGGCAGTCATTCCACGTCTATGTACCTGGTAACTTGATTGACAACCTGGGACGAAGTAGATACCGTTGGAAGGTTTCAACCATCGACGGATGCCGATAATCCAATAGGAAAGTGGCCCTGACACCGCGGGAAAGGGAAGGTTGGAAGCCCCGCCGTCTAGATCGTCTACTATATTTCCAAGCTTGATCTCACCATGGCGAATATCAACAGAACTGTCAATCATAATTGCTCACAGAATAATCCCTGTCGGTCCCCGATCAGCTTCACCCTGCCCTTCAAGTTCAATGCGGTAACCTCTACGTCAATCATCCATCCGTATGCACCCGGTCACAGCTGCATCACGTTGCATGAATCACCACTGCCTGGCTTTGCTGTCAATTAATCATGATATCAGTGCACCATTCTTCACAGCGCCAACCGACAAAAAAGTTCTCGCGACCGAAAGGATTCAAATCTAGCTGAATCAATGAGTATAAGACAGGTGTACACTGCCTCAGTTTGCTGCCGATACTACCCATAATCCCAATCGATATTCTGCTTTCCTTGCAGCCATCATCAGCATTTTCATTACCTTCAGTCAACCTCCAGTGACAGGAGAATAGAACCCATCAACATGACTACTGCGCCTCCCGCCTACTCGACTGGGGATGCCCCCCCTTCCTATGAAGAGGTCGTCCAGAAATTCGAAAGTCTGATTGGGAGCAACCCTACCGCGGTCGGGGTCTACGAGGCGGCATCGAAGGGTCTCACTCAGGCTGATCTTAAAGTCCTCATCGAAAACCACGAGGCTCATTTCCCTTTGAAGACCGATAAAGAAAAGGCCGACTTCGCGAGGGGTGCGGCCGAAACCTCCTCCGCAACCGAGCTTCAAGCTTCTCTGGAGATTTCTGCCAAAGCAGCGTCGGCCACGGCAGGAGACGTCAGGCTCCGATTCGACGGCCTGCAGGCAAAGCTTGAACAGATTGACTTGCGCTGGCAAACCGACTGGGCAGAGAAATTCGTTGAGATGTTAAGGGTACTGGCTCTCTCCGCTAACCTCCACCCCCAAAACCCAATCCAATTTGGTCGTCCCCCTGAACTCGATTCCAAAACTCAAGATTGGCTGAACCTTGGAAACAGTCATTCCAGTCGGTCGTGGACGACAGTCAGGATGCCGCTCTCCAGTCCTACAATGTTATGAGAAGTAGGTGCTGCATGGAATTGGGTGTGGTTGTATCCTTTGCTGATGGTCACTTGCCTTTTCTTTCAGAATTTGACAATCAGGATACCTTGTACTGCGACGACAGTAGTAAGTCAATCGAAGACCGCAAGGCCAGAATCGAAGGTGTTATTAAAGTATGTATAAATCTTTTGCTATTGGCCAGTCCGACCAAGACATCTTACGATAGACGCTGACTTTCTGATGTCTTTCCTGGCTTTCAGGCCGCGAACGGCTTGAAGGAAGTAAACATTGACATCACCACACGGCTGAAAGACAATGTTTCCAGTCCCTTGGAAACCTTCATCGATGACTTTGTCAAGTGGGCGAAGGGCAAGGAAGGGGAATTGAGTGCCGAGCTTGCCAAAGTCTTGGGGGACCTCGTCGATCTCCAAGGAGATCTCGCTCAGTTGGAGCTGGATCTTCAAGCCGTCAATCATGTTTCGCAGGGCATGATGCCAATCCTGGAAGGGCTGGCTGCTTGTTTCCCTCCATACGGATCCCTCATCGCAGTAAGCATCTCCCGCCCCTGAGTAGCCTACGGGATGAAGGAGTTCTGTCTTGTATGGATGATATGTTTGCCTCCTCTGACCAATGTCGAATAGCTTGGTGGGCTACTCGTAGCCGGTGTGTCACTGGCGACTACCACAGCCCTCATGATTCAAATCGGCAGTGAGCCTTCTCCACTTTCTCGAGCACAGCCCTTGATCATCCCAGAGCCATACACTGACCAAATGAAATGTTAAGAGACGAAGCAGGCGATAGCCGACAAGACTCGGCAGAGAGACCAACTGATGGCCGACCTGGAACAGATACGGGAGGCCCGAGAGGCGGTTGCAGCCATGTCCTCAGCCGACCTCAGCTCTTTCGGAGGAGCGATCTCGTCAATGACCAGCGCTCCCAATGCTACCATCAAAGATGCGGAAGAAATCCGGGATTGGCTGGATAAGGGTGCGCCTGAAGATGTAAGAGGAACACCCCAATTCCTTCCACTACGAGTTTCGCAACGACTTTTTACTAGATCAGCATCAAGTTCCTCCCGCATTCTGTCTCGGTTTCCCTCGACTGATGTGAAATCTTCTACAGAACCGTCCTTTCTATCTGGGCGTTAGAATCAATGATAACGCCAAGAGCTGTGAGATATTCTCTTCTCTTTGTTTATCTCTTCAAGGTAACAAAGTCAATACCGCAAGGCTGACTAACTTTTACACCCACACCAGACGCCTCCCTGGGCAACTATCTGAAGGAGTACGGACGGGGCGTCATGCGTTTCTGCACGAATCCCACGCCCATCCCCGACGACGAATAAATCTGTTTGCTTGGCTGAGACACACAAAGGGCGTTTTCCATAGGTTTCTGTTGACAGTACTTTGCCTAGAGGAATTAAGATCTGTTTGATACATCAGATTACGCTCGATTCTAAACCTAATTTGAAAACAAGTTCCGTCAAATATCTTCTTTCTTTTTTCCCCTTCTTGGAATCTTGGAAATGTGATCTGCCGGCCAATCCCCCGCATCGGACCCGCTCCGCCTGATTCCGAAGCACGCGGTGGTTGAGGCGGCACATGGCGGCGGTGCGGCACGAGCCCATTCTGTGGAAACAAAGTTCCATTACACAGTAAAAGCATAAGCACTAGGGAACTTAGGTTTTGACAATTTTGGCACGAGTACGGCACAGAGATCTCGATTGCGGCCTGATGCTTGACTTATACTATACCTGTCGAGTACCATTTAACTATGAGAAGCAGCAGGCAGGACCGTTGGTCTTCTCAAGCATATATTGGACTAATACGGTCAGCTTCCTCCACTCTTCATAACATCAATAATTCAGCCAATCCTGGCCTCAACAACTCAGTTTCTACAAGCACAGTACATTAGAGCCCTAAATACCTACACCCTAACTTCTTTTGATGCCTTTCTCTTCTTTTACTGTGATCTAACACCCGCTCAGGAAAATACAGTGCAGATGGACCTTCGCACCCCGTCCGCCTTGCCAGATATTACAGATATAGGAACATTTCCTTCCGGCGGCGCCTACTCATCACGAACTTCTTCTGAGCCTCATGCATTGTTAGCGCAGCTGCTCAAAGCGCATTTCCTGCGCCTACGGAAGACGCTGCTTCTTACCATTCGTTTGGAATTTGAAACTGCCCATTTATTGGATTCTAGTATAGGCCCTTTATCCATCGGCCCGGCGCAAAGTGAGCTTCGTTTTGAGCATTTGCCGGCGCACGGTGAAGGTGAGGGCGCTGGTGGGCAAGAGACCAGCGCAAAGGATATGGACATTGAGGCTGGAGATTATGGTACGTACCCCTGATGGCGAGCCTGCAAAAGGTGGTAGAATCGACAATCCGGATGACGATAACTAGGAAGATATTAGTGATGATGACAAGGAGGACGACGCGGAAGAGGAAGAAGGGGGCAAAAAGGACAAGCCGATTTCCAGCGACAACGAAAGCGACAGTGACGCTGGCAAAACTTTCTTAACATTCAGCCAGCAGCTCTATCAAAACCACCTTTGCTTTGTGGTTTCCAACGGGCCGAGTGCTAGCCATAGGCATGCCCTAACTAATAAGCTTATCTAACCTAATCTAGGAACATCCCCAAATTAAAAGCCAACCAACCACAACTGTTCTGTTAGGATGACCACTTGTGTAGATCTCTATACGACTGGAATTATTAACATCACACATTTGTGCCATATAAATGGAGGCAGGACGATAACGGTTATATCGATGTTAATGGACAACCCCTGACAAGTTTTTAACACCTATTGTCCCTCAATCAACTTCGGGTATGGCATGGCTGCAGGATGCTAGATGAGGTAGTCGTGGGAGCTATAAGGACTCGGATTGGATGATTTGCAATAAACTTTCTGCCAGAGTTGCCTATTCCCCCTCCCAGCGTCGCAAAGCAAATGGGTTCTGCACCTGTCATGTTGGTAACCACAATCTCTGGGGAGTATTCTGTTGAATTGTCCTGAATTTGATCATATTCCGCTTGAGCAAAGTCTGGAAGTCGTTTAACAATGAGAAATAAACTTTCTTCCCCATATTAAGGGCCGTGGAATATTGCTTCCATAGCCGGGAAATCTCCGTTTCCGCCGATTCCTCCGGTGATCTGACTTGTACTATTCATGGGTAGTTGGCCTTAGCGCCTTGGATTCTACTAATTAGTCACTGGGGCGATTAGGTAGTCCTGAGTAGCGCATATGGAGTCCAGGCGTGAGTCCGCCCTTGAGCAAAGAGTGTACGTGGTGACTCCGGTTTCCGGAAGCACTGTCGACCAGAGGTCCCTCTTCCGAGGTGCTTCCATTGCCAACGGGTTGAGCCCCTCGTGTGGTCGTGTAGGGAAACCCCGCGACGTGGACATTGCACCGGCGACCACCAGCGTCGGCATTGTGCGCCTGTATTGAAATGGCTTCAAAATAGATTAACTAGTGTCGATGGAACTTCGGCCCAACCTCACTTTTGCCCAATATCTCACTATTTAAGAAATAGTACAAGATTAAGTGGACGTCGAAAATGGCGTATTCGTGTTTTTTCAGCTCCACGTCTTCGGGACGTCCGCATGTCTAAATAATTTAAAAGCAAGCTATGCCGCTGCTCAAAACAACTGGATTTTACCCAGCCCAACCCTTATGCTTCTGTTCTTTCCCTCTCTGGATCAAAATATCGCACGATCAACATGGTGTTCGGCTCCGCGTCTAGAGATATCTACCTCAGACAGGAGGGACTCCCACTCTCCTTATGCGCCACGTGTAAAGTCGGCGACGACGACGAATGGAAGTACAGTGAGATTAGCATCGACCGTAATCTCGGCCTTGCCAGTGACGGGAAGTTCGATATCACAGGTTGCTTCATGGGTTCGCGGCTTGGATGGACAAATATAATGAAGCCCGGGACTCTTCAACTCAAAGGGACAGTCATGTATGGCACCCTCATAGATGAGCTGGGTGGTCACGAAATGTCGATTTGCCCCGACCTTTTCATCGACAATGACAGGGGAACTTTGAAAAAGAGGATCCCGTACGTCCTGCAGATGATTAATACTATTAAGTTTGATATTCCTCTTGCTGATCACGAATGAATAATCCGTGCCCAACAGTCCGAACGACATCTATAGTAGTGTGCTCGGGCTCAAGCTGGATCCCAACACGGCTGTACTCAGTGGCTATTGTCTTGGACATGACGGTAAGCTCCATTATTCAGAGCTGCCGTTGGACGAACATTTCGTGAACGACAATGGAATTATCAAGAGACAGGAAGGTGGCGACTTCGCTAGCACCGCCACAAATATCTACCTTGACAATAACTGGGTTTTGTGCGCCGACCTCCTGCAGTATAACCCAAAGGGTCATTACAACTCCGTTGAGATTGAATTTGCTCAATATGTTCACATCGAGGACGGAAAATTCGTCATGGATGATCCGTAAGTGCATATATTCTCTCTCGAGAGAATTCCAAGTACTATGCATTCTAATGCGGAGTGCGATGGATAGTGCAGGGCTTTTTGACTTGCGAGGCCCTATCATGCGGTTTCTAGAGGATATACCAGTTGTAAGTTATGCTATCGCTGGGATAGATGAGCTGGAGGGTGACGAGGTCAAATTTAGAAACTGATCGTACCATGTTCTGCGTTTACTGACCATTTTGCAGGACGAGGCTAAGCGCGCCGTGGCAGAGTGTACCTATTCTACTCTTGTCACAGCCGGCGCGATCGTTGGTTTTGCTCTCACTGGGCCGATTGGAGCTTCCATTGGATCCGCGTTTGGTTCGATGTTGGGATTAGGAGCCAGGGCTGCCATTGGGTGTTCTATAAACGACCCAAATTTGCGAAACCAAGTAACAACTATCTCGACGTTCCAAATCCTTATGGTAGGGGTTTCGGTCGCCCTGGCGCTGCCAATCGGCATGATAACTGCTGGCCTCACCGAAGCCCTGGAAGAGGGCCTCTTCGAGGACGGAATCATAGCGAGAGCCTTGGAAACCGCGATCTCCAAGGGGGATGAAAACTTAGGCAAGTTCGGTTTACAGTCAGTGGGAATAGACGAGGTGAAAGCGTACATCACTCACCCCCATCTTTGACCAAGTTTGTTTTTCCACTAGAGCTGCTACTCACTGGTTCTGCTTTTGCATAGGATCATTTTCAAAATTGTCGGCGTCATTCAAGACGATTTGGCGCAGGGAAAGTCGAACGAGGAAATTGAAGCCGATATCAGACAGTTATATGGTGATGATGACGGTGACGGAGTGAATCCTCTCAATGACGTGACACGGGCTGTCAAACAAGCAGTAACGACGGCAGCGAACAAGGCATTGCAGGACGCGGCACTGGAAGTCGAGAACACAGTACAGGGAGTAGCACATGATGCGGCACAGGCTGCAGTGCAGGAATTAATACAGGATGCAGTGCAGGAGGTAGGGCAGGAGGCTGCAAAGGAGCTCCTGCAGGAGGCAGGGGAGAGTTCAGCACTCCTGGACGTTGAGGCGGCAGCGCAGGCCGCAGTAGATAAGTGGGTACGAAGCATCAAGATGGCAGCACAGGACCCAGTGGCCAATGGGGGAGGACAGCCAGGGACCCAGTGCGGACGTTCCTGGAAGTGATGTGGGATATCAAAAAGGCACGAGAAGGAGCAGCACAGTTCGTTAAAGACTCAGTTGCTTCTCCTGAGAAAGAACTGGAGAATGCGAAAGACACTGCGCGGAAGCCATTCCAGGGGGCAGCGGGGGACGCAGCATCAAAAGCCATGGCCGCGGCGGCGCTCATCGCGAACCTGGTATTGGAGGTCAAGGCGGCAGCAACGGCGGAAGAGCCAGCCGCAATCGCTCTCGCAGCAGAGCAGGTTGACGAAGCAATGCAGAAGGCAGTGCAGGATGCAACGCTGGCAGTCAAGCAGAAAGCAGCAGGGGAGGCACAGGATGCAGCTCAGGATTTTAAGGAAGCAGTGCACAAGGCTGTCCAGAAAGTCAAGGATGCAGAACAGGAGGTTCAAAAGGCAGTCCAGGATGCAGTACCGGATGTCGAGCAGACAGCAATTGGGAAAGTAAAAGACGCTGCAAATGCTATGGCGTGGCAGGAGGAAAAGGGAGGAGCATCGCCGAATGACGACGATGTCAAGAGGGCAGCGCAGGGTGCAGTGGAAGGGGCAGTGCAAGATGCAACGGAGTCGATTCAGCCTATAGCAGATGCGGCACTGCAGACGGCACTGCAAGAGTTACAGGCCGGGCCGGAGGTCCAGAAAGCAGTGCGGGAGGCAGCACGGGATGCAGTTGAGGATGCGCTTTCAGAGATTATGAAGGCAGTGCAGGATAGTGTGGCAGATGCAGCTGGAGACGCAATGCCTGTTTTTGGAAACCCCAGGCCTAATCTTTTTGGTGGCATGGAACCCTGAGTGGAGCGTTCTGTTATGTTATTCAATCCATGCGTGCCAACTTCTTTTAATATGTTCGTGCCCTCAAATATCTAATTAATTAGGTTCAATAGCTCCATCCTAATCCGCTAGCCATAACATAGTTTGCCTGTATATACTAGGTTAATCATCAAACCAAGTGTTATCTCCTAGTAGTCCTAGAATCGTCCTTTCCAGCAGAATGATTCGTCTCCAACGGCTCCCGAATAAACCGCAGCACCGCATCCAGATATGGCCGCTGGCTTGGCAAAAAGTGACGACCAGGATGCCGCACCACAAACCCTTCTTCTCCGGCTCGCTGGTGAACGCATCAATCAAGGCCCGACTCCTCGACCTTCCACAACCGCATCCAAGGACTCAAGCACACGCAACACCGGCATCCGCAGCGGCGGCTCTCGTTGAACCCTCAGTACCTCGGGCCCGGATACCGGAACCCGCTGTATGCCAGCGCTAACTCGAATGGCGGATTCTGGAAGCCCGGAGCCGCAAAGGCCGTCGGAAAGGACATAGTACTTTCTCTTAACCCTCTTTCGCTGGGCAATGCATGGCTTCAGCATCATCATTCTTTCCTATCTATAAATTCTAGTACAAGATCATAGATCAGAAAAGTCAGACTTTCATCCCCCTTGATATTCCGCGTATATGCGTTTACCATACAAACGCTATTAGCTGGGATCGGCTAACAGAATAGTAACCATAATAGTCGTGGCTAGCAAAAGAGGACTGCCAGGTTACAGAGCTCTACGTTAAATAGCGCATAGGATAAGATAGTAATAGGACCTAAATACAGATGAGGGCTTCATGGCGGGCCAGCATCATCAAAATCTCAATATGAGTGATTTCCTTCATGGTCACTACCATGCGCGTGGCTTTTCGCGATAACAATCCTATCTGAATGAAGGGATACTCCCGCCTCCGTAACAATCTTATCCAACGGATCCCTCTTCAAAAACATCATCTCGCAGTGATTGATATGAGCCAGATTATTGTACCTATGCTCAATGACGGTGCCAGTCTTGGAAGCCAGAAACATCTTCTTCCAGTAATACGCACAATGGACCAGATGCCACTGATGCGTCGCAAAGAAATGGCCTCCCATTTCGGGAAGCATGGAGACTTGCTCCAGGGAGAGGACTTTCGTGCCGTTCTTATCTGCGTAGTATGGCCAGCTTCCATCTGTATTGGGACCGGCTCGCTCAAACTGCTCGAGAAGTTCGTCGTTTCGGCATGCCGGAGGAAGCCATGCTGCTGCGAAGGAGTCGTATCTGCAGTTATTGTTCCGAGCCTCCTGGATGGTGTCGCCGCAGTTACAGGATATATATCGGCGGAGTCGGAGAAGGGCCAATGCTCGAAGTCCTAGATCAATGAGGCCGAAGGAAGCCAGAAGCAGAATGAAGATATCCTTCGTTTGGAGGCGGCTCGTCCGGTATCTCTTGCAGGCGTTTGGGATTGCGACTCCATCGTCGGTCCCGCTATCATGGTAGGAGTCGCCATATTCAATGCTTCTCCTCTGGATGAGACGTTCGTACTGAGGCATCGATGGGTTTTCAGGATCCCGTTCCTGTGATAACACCTCCCCCGGAATGTTCTTCATGTTTCTGATTGCGTTAGCTGAATGACCTGTCTTATAAAAGTCCTGCTCGATGAGAACGGAGACGTTGTACCAAATATAAACCCTTGCGGACGAAACTTGCTTCGCACTGGCCCCCTCTGGTCCAACGCCCGTTTCACTGAAAATATCGTAATGTCACTTACACCGCTAAGTCCCTTGCTGGCAAGTTGGGGAACTCGAGCTGCAAGGAGTTAAGCATCCGGCAAGGAATCCTGATAAAAGTCTGCAACACCTTCGACCCCTGCCTCAAACTACATGCCGCAACACTCACATATTTGTTTAGCACAGGAAAAGCCGTAGAGGTCAATCGTAAACAAAGAGAGAAACCAAATGGCCTTCGGTAGAAGAACCTTTTTTCTCGGCGAGGTCTGTCATTATCTGTTGACAGTAGAGAAACAGCTAGAATGATGCTCCCGGGCCTATGCTGCAATATCTCAGATGAGGCCCAATATAGTCTTATTTTAGTATTGCAGGGCTAATACCAGCCTTCTAAGTCTTCTAAGGTAAAGTAAATGGTCGCTATCACCAGGGAGATAGCGCAAACGGGGCATGTAACCCGAACTTGTATGTTGCTGGACTCCAATTCTAAATGATTTGCGAGGACGCCAACATACACTGAGATTCGATCCATTAATAAGTCGGATTTATCGAGCTAATATTGGATCCGACCGACCTAGTATCCGAACCTGTGCTACCCAAGGCTCTATGACTTGCCATGCACCCTCATGTACGCTTCGTCTTATCTCCCAGGTCCGGCTGTAGGTAAGAAGGGCGCAATTGAAGGATCCGGTTGAACTGGGTAGTCATCCGGCGGCTCTTTCATTGCCTGAAACACCTCCTTTGGGAGCGAGTTCTCGTTCACATAGGCCAGCAGCGCCTCATAGTCGCGACAGACATGCTTATTCATGAAATCTGGAAATGGCTGGTCCCACCCGTCCACCCAGTTGAAAAGGATCACATCAACGGGACTTTGACATTTTATGAACTGGGCCAGGACATCGATGCAGTGAGAGATATGGGCCGTGTGCTGTGCATCCGGGTTATTTCCAAAGATGGGAAAATAATAGTACTCATAGGAGATCTCCTTGCGTAGCATATCAAGACAGTGCAGAAGATGGAAAACCTCCGTCTGGGCAAGGTAGGCATCGGGCCCGAAGCCGAACTTATCAGGGACTCGGACGGCGAGTGCTGGGTCCTTGCCGAGACGACGGATCTCTTCTGCCGAGATGAGGATCGGGAAGACGCCACTACTGATTCTGAACCATTCTGCGTCGGCTTCGTCGCCTTGAGGGATGCGTAGGAGTGATGGGGGATCGGGGTCATACAAGGAGCCATTGGTTGTCAGAACGAGTCGTGGAATGTCGAATCGCTCTAGCAGTGGCGCTGAGGTTGAGCGTTAGTCTGCTTTCTCTCTGTTTGATATCTGACATTGCTATGTCGAGATAAAACTCACCGTAGTACGATGCCGCTTTCCATTTATCCTGATCGCTAAGATGTCGCATACAGGACTGAGTAGATAGCGGTGATAGGAGGAACAGAATCGAACCACAGAATACCAATATGTTCAATGATATGACCCACGTAGTCCAAGCAGCACACTTATGTTTAGGGCTCCGTCTCAGCTCCTGTCCATCGTTGCAAATAAAGAAATATTTCCTGGATCTGGACCGCAGCGAGCCGTTTAAGAGACCCATCTCAGAATCTTGTTCACTATTGCTCTCGCGAAGACTCTCTTCTTCCTTAGCAAAGGCGTCAATGTCCCTGTCCTTTGTATCGTCAGCGGCCATGATGTGCTTTTTGCTTTCCATCAGATTGGGCCTGCGGTTCAAAAAAGAAGAGCGATTTGTTTTAGCCACCTAGAATGAGGGAGATGATCCATGGGCATGATTGCGTTTATGTAATCATCGACAATCAACTGCATATATATCAGCGCTGCTACACTAGACCCTTGCATAGAAAGAGAAAGGGAATGCCGCACACCTATAATTCATGGAGCAATTGTGTAATACGCAAAGCCCTATAATATATCTATATTCTCTGCGGCAACACCATGCGTCAGATGGAATGTTGGTGTTTGGGGGCTCCTTGCGATTTGGGTGTTGGGTTGTGGGAGCGGTTATCAGGGCCTAATTATAAGGTCTTCAAATGTTACGTTGTACAAAAGACATGTACAGTACAGACTACACCGCCCATATTGTGTACTTCCGAGCAGATATAGGGTCTATGATATTCTCGGGGTCATGATTGCGTAGAGATGCCTCAATTGCTCTGAGGGTTTGGGGGCAGCTAGATGATGCAGCCTCTCCCGTGACCCTGGTTATGTGATACAACATAACAAAGTACAGATTACATGCATTATAGACTACACCGCTAGTGATTGAGCCAACGCTCGGGTTTGAATCCATAGTATTGCTACATTGAATAAGGCCCTGTATCATTGAGTCTCACAGTGCAAGGGATATCAGAACAACATGCAGGCTACGAAATGACTCAGTTCGTAAGGCGAGGTGAGGAGAAATGCAACTGAACAGGATCATTGACTCAATTTCTACTCTGGGTATGGACTTGCTGTTCCATTCCAGCGGTGACCGAGACACAGTTAAGCTGAAAGCCCTCCAAGGCGGGCTATAAATCTGCCATACTTTGCCGCAATGGACAACACGAGCCAGATTCAATTTAACCTCAGAAGAAGCTGAACCTACTTGGCAATACATAGCCCGTGATAAGGAAGCTAGTTATTGCATTCTTCCCTCCTACTTCGCAGATATGCAGATGAAGCTCGTTGCTGCACTGTTGGCACTTGGCTTGCCATTAGCTTTGGCTGCTCCAACGCGTATGAATCACATCTATCCTATCTTTGGTTTGTTTTACTGACTATTATGTGTAGCTGGCAAGGATAGCGAGGCCATTCCATTCTACCCGAAGCGTGACAACGAGGGTGAAGCCATTCCATTCTACCCGAAGCGYSACAACGAGGGTGAAGCCATTCCATTCTACCCGAAGCGTGACAACGAGGGTGAAGCCATTCCATTCTACCCGAAGCGYSACAACGAGGGTGAAGCCATTCCATTCTACCCGAAGCGYSACAACGAGGGTGAAGCCATTCCATTCTACCCGAAGCGCCACAATGAGGGTGAAGCCATTCCATTCTACCCGAAGCGCCACAACGAGGCTGAAGCCATTCCATTCTACCCTTGAAAATAAGGAGTGAACTCAAATCTTTACACCGGATCACCCCAGCATTTTTAACGCAGTATTCAAACTATCGACGCTCGTTTCGTCCCTTATACATTGCGTACGTTACGACTTGTCACGTGGCAACATTCTGTTCCTGAATATCTAAGCTCGGTCCTTGAACGCTTGACTGTTTTAAGAAATAACACACTCATTTTGCTGCTTTTATCACTTCATGACGAACCTATCTTTGAGCAAGAAGTCTACTACTCAAAATACTGCCCTCTTTAAATTATAATTATATCTATATTCTTTCCCTTTCTTACTAAGGTATAAGTATTTATTTACCTAGATCTCTTCTATTCACCTCTCTAATAGCTTAATAATAAGCTACTAGTAGTTATAATAAATTAAGCAGAAAATTTCTAAGTAGGTCTAGTGTAAAGTCTAAGCTATAAGCTATTAATTACTACCTAAAATAATTATTATAGCTATGCTCTACTAATAAATAAGGTATAGCTAATAAAACCTTAAAAGAAAGCCCTCGATAGGTTAAAGAGAATTTAATTAGTTAAGTATAAGTAACTATAGGTACTTATAGGAGACTACTCACCCTATCTATTCTATACTTATCTAGAATCACCTATGCTCACCTAGGGTTGCGCAACTAAAAGTAGTGTTGTATAATAGCTACACCTAACCTTTTGACCACGTTGAAGCTACACACCAGCTGGTTAGTAGTTGGGTGGGTGACCACCAGCGAATCCCAGCTATATTTTTTTTTTTTTTTTTTTTCACTTAGTCTCACTTACTGAACTGCTTGAAAATCCAATCAAATTATAGTAAATAGTGTTATGGTGGCATAGACAGTAGGTTTGGTATGCGCAGTGGAAATCCATCATGACTAGCATGCAACATAGCATGTGTAATAACCTTGGATCACACCATTATACAACTAATAGCCACTACCTATCTAGCTTGGTTCTGTTCATATTATTAGTGTTACTAGAAGCACTTTCATCTCCATGACCAGTTTGAGGCCAGTTGTCTGATAGTAGGAGGGCTAGATACCTGAGTAATTATCTATTTAGCCTTTATATATTGAGCTTACAACCTCCTTATTTGCACTTTGTCAGTAGGTTCATAGCTTTCCATTCTCTACTGCTGTGATGCGTGGGAATATGGTGAGCAATCTGCCTAATATGGCTTCCTGCAGGGACAGTTTAGGGAAATTTACAGGGCTTTATTCATCATCCTCCTACTTCAGAGGCCCAATGTCCAGCATGTATTATTGCTTAGACAAAATAGGCTGCCAGACCTCTGCTGCTTTCTGTAGTGATGTCTTAAGGCTCTGATAGAAGTTACTAAAATGAGAATAAGGATAAGAGCCTTGCTCTGAGCTCCTTGGTTAAAAGATAAAAGTATGGACTGATAAAATAATTCTTCTTCATTGTTGGACACAATAAGGGTGGTAAAAGCTGCTCGAATTAAGGAGTCTTTTGTTTCTATAAGCTTGGTATGCTCAGTACCTTGCAATCTCCCTTCCCAGAGTAGTTAATGAGGCTCATCTTTCACAGGCATGTTAGCTGCTCGTGGATTGACATCTAATCCTACGCATGGTATTCATTATTAATGATGACAACCAGAGCCGTCAGATTGTGATGCGTATATTTGATGTCTGCATCTCAAACTCTTCTAGTTCTACTCTGGCGACATACTATGCAGAGGATTTAATATCTATTCCTAGCACCCTAGATGGGATGGGAGCCCACCATTCCATGATCTATTGCCAATAATCTCTGGAAGTAGTGGTTTCGGTCAATATACTGTCCCTTTTAACATCGTCAGACGCCACCTTTTCATCGCTGCACCATCAATAGGCGTAGGGTAAATTGGAGTAAATGAAAGCTCAACTGTGTACACATCTCCTTTACTCCTACGCTCCGGAGCCAGGCATAGGATTTCCCCCAGTCGACCCTTGTGGTCTCCGTATGCTGCTTCTCATAGAGGCATACATCTTTCGTCTCTTTTCGAGGGCCTCAAGAGCACCACTCCCCGTGGACTGTGGCCTGCTCTGGGGTAAGCCCACCGGCCCGAAAGTGCAGGTGAGTTCCCGATTCAACAGGTCGGGAATCGACTGTCCGACTCTCACACCCGAGTTAACTCCATAACTCGAACCTGGCATGTTGGCCGAGGCAGCTTCGCCTTGCCCCGGAGCTGGTCTACTGAGGTCCCTAGCCCTAGAGGACTGATCCGGCAATTGATCATTTGAATGGCTCTGAGATTGAGACTCATTCGCCCCAGAGGATGGGTATAGGGCCTTTTCGTAGGGGATCACATGGCCTGCCGCTTCGGCAATGATCACTCCAACGACCGCATCTTTAACGACGCCCTTTAGCACTGTCTTGAAGGATTCTTTTACGAGAGCGTAGGATGCAACTCGACCCAGCTGGGTTTGTATGGCGGTCTTGAATGCGCCGGATACGACCCCCGCGCCAACTGCCCCGAGGGCCCCGCCGACCAGTCCACCGAAGGCATCGACTGCCACCGATTTCCAGGTTGGCGTCCTTCCATCTGCCAGATCGCCCAAGGCACCCGCTGCAACACCTGCCACAACCCCCGCCGCGATTCCGACACCGATTTGGATCGCCAGACTTGCACCCCCTGTGAGGATGCCGACCCCAATACTGACTGCCAGTCCGGCCACCGCGGTGATAAGATTCTTCCAACTGAACTTCTTGAAGAGCTTCTTGAAAAAGCCAAAATGCCCACTGGGGTCAATGCGGTTGATTGGGTCACCGGAGCAGTAAGCATAAGGATTGATCTCGCCGGTGGTAAAGGGGCTCCATGAGTCTGGCGTAAGGAACCGCATCGTGACTGGGTTGTACACGCGGTACCCATTGCCTAAGTGGTACCATCCGGTCACGGGATCACGCCACTGTCCATTGAAGGCAATAGAGGGCGATGACCCTGCGGCGCTGTGGCCATATGGCGTATATTGCTGATGGTGAATCTGACCAGGCTGGTGGGCATCCAACCAGGTAAGAACGGATTGATGGCCGTCAGAAGCCCACAGTTGAGTTTGCGTGGCGGTCCCCTCTTGTACGGACTGCCCCCAGTATTCATTGCCGTCAGATATATAGCTCACATGGCGATCCCCTGACTTCGTTGCGATGAGTTTGTCCTCTCGGTAAAAGAGATAGGTGTCTGGCTGTTCGGGGATCATCTGACAGATCAACCGTCCAGACGCGTCGTAGCGGTACTGACTGACGACCGCACCACTTCCATCTCGGATTGCTTGCAAGCGGTTCACGCTGTCATATTCGAGGGTGCGACCGTGCTCGTCTCGGGTCAGGCAGCCGTTGGCATCGTACTCCAGGTCGATTTGAGCCCTAAAATCCGGGTGGGTGTTGGTAATCCGGATGAGCTGGGTTGGATCCGCTGCGCTGTGTGAATAGCGCGAAATATTTTCACTCCCATCCTCAAAGTGGGTTCTCACTTCCACTAGATTGTCATATTCGTCGAAGCTGAAGTGTTGGCTTCGAAGACGGCCCTGCTCAAGCGAAGGCAGCTGGCTCCCCTCGCAATTGTACTCAACAAGATGATTGTGGATATCGTACACGAAGACCTCATCTCGTAAAAGTTTGCCATCACCGTCTTCCAGGTGCCGCGTAGTGACTAGCCCTGTCTCACCGTACGATTGGGTTAGCTGGTAGACCTTTTTGGTCCCTTGGAAAACAGTCCGCTCGACCTCCCGGCCGAAGTCATCATAGGAGAGACTCGAGGCTAGGCTAGCATTGCGTGCTTTGTCCTGCACTTCTGTGCGTGTTAGACGGCTTGAATTATCGTACGAGAAGGAGACTTTCAGTGTCTCTTCGTTCGCTTTCTCCAGGCTCATCGATTTCATTCGTCCAGCAGCATCATACTCGGCCTGATATTCTTGTCCGTGCACATCCGTGTAACCGAGCAACTTCCCGGCCATCGAGTATGTCGACTGTGCAGAGAAGCCTGCGCCTTGGGCGATCTGGATCGTTTCGTGACTTAGGCGCCCCGATGGAGAATACCGGAGGTCCCGGGTGCTGTAGGAGGATGTGAGCAGTGTTGGAAGCCCACTCTGCGGGTCATAGCCGTACGCATCTTCAACACCCGGGCCAATCACTTCTGTGACTGCGTGGCTCAAGCCCGGCTCATAGGTCAGATTGGATTCATGACCCTTTTGCGTCGTAATCTGTGCCGGTTGTGGCATGCTGCTCCGATACATTTGCTTCGTGATTCGCGCGCCGACAGTTCTCTCCGTGACCCGATCCAACCCATCCAGGGACTGCTCAGCCAGAGTGATGCCATTGACTTTGACTGCGATAGGTAACGTTGCAGCGCTTTGGATCGCATAGTCGACAGTGGCCACCCGGCCCCCGGGCCAAGTGGTCTTCGTGACGCGGTGAAAGGTATCGGATTCGTACAGCGTCTTGCGACCTAAAACATCTTCCTTCTCCGCCAGGCGGCCAAGGCCATCGTAGCGGTACTCGACCTTGCTATACTGGGTTCCATCTTTTCGCAACAGCGTAGTCTGGGTCGGAGCGCGGGAAACATTTAACTTAGTGACAGTTTGTCCTTCACCCTCGATCTTTTCTGTCCGGGTCAAGCTGATCGGATCTGTGAGCACGACTGTGATCAAACCACTGCTGTCTGTTGTCCTCCAGACCTGCCCCCAGTTATCGTATTCCAGTTCCTGACTACTGCGTTGTTCCACTGCAGTACCCTTCGTAGTCAGCCAATCAATCTCGGCTGTTTTGTCGCACTGGCCCTGGGCATTATAGCCCCGCTCCTGTACCAGGCGGAAGGTGCCGCCATCGTCCTGTTTTTCCACCTGGCATATCCGTTCCAGACCGTCGGTAATATATCGCGATCGAATGCCCTTGGCATCCGTCATTGACAAGAGCCAGCCGGTTCCGTCCTGGTTGATGGAGTACTCATTCTGGCGCGTTGCTTCATATCGGGTGCCCAGTGCAGCCGTGGCTTTGAGCATCCGGCCGAGTTTGTCATACTCGAAGCGGTCCTGCACGCCATCATCATCTTTCTGGAGCAGGGGTAATCCGGAGCACAGCGAAAAGGTTGTCTCGTCTCTGACGATAACGCCGTCGAAGGTTGTAGTGGTCAGAGCCCGCTTGAACTCGACGCTGCTTGGATACTGATAGACCGATGTCTGTACCGTAGCATAATTTTGAGATACCCATGTGGTCTCCTGTTGGATGCGCCCATGGTCTCTTGACCCCGGCTGGTTGACATATGCGAACTCTGCGCTGCTCAGTAACTGGTCCCCCGCGCGGGTGGCACGGTCCTTGACAGCGACAAACGTGTTCGTCGGGGCATTGGTTGCTGTAGGAAGTTCATGGTACGTAAAGCGCTCACTCCGAGTGGGTGTGGGGTATGAGGTTGTCGCCGGTGTCAGCGTTTCAGTCTTCAGATAGCGCTGAAAGCCATGAGGATCCGCCGGGCACAGCACCTGCCCAGACCCAGACAGCTTTTCCCCTTCTGGCGGATAGTAGGTGCGATCAGTCGTCACGCCGTCGGCTTTGACTTCTTGCGTTGGATTCCCCCATTCATCAAACACATATCTAGTAACTTCCGTCCGCTCCGCCTGACTTTGGCTGTCTGCATAGGCTATCGTCACGCTTTTCGGCAGCTGGTATTGCGCAGGCTGGTCATCGAATGATGTAAGAGGAGATGCGTAATATTCGATGGTCTGCGTGGTCTTCTTCGTGCCCTGCTGCTGCTGAGTCACGACGGGAAGATGGAATTTGTTGTACTCGTACGTTGTTTTCATTCCGCCTTCGACCTCCACCGTTGAGGTATACTGATATTCCGAGCGCATTTGATACAGATTATCTCCGGTAGCACTCCAATCTCGGCCACCATTGTACCCGAGAAAGTTATACGTGGAGTAGCTGTATGACGTTCTGATCGCGGGCTGCTGGCGGCCCGGCCGCACGACGTGAGAAATCACATAAGGGATCGCGTCATACGGCGCCCGGGCTGGCATGCGATGTCCGTCCCGTTTATAGTTTATTTCTTCAATCAATCCTATGGGACTTTTCACCTGCGAGAGGCCGGTGAACTGACCCAATGGCACGTAAGAGAACTCCCAAGGTGGCATCTCGCTCACTGGCAACTGGAGTTCCTTCAACTGGTTGTTCCTTTGAACGAGGGTCAAGGTGCTAGCTTCCGGGGTGCCAGGGTTCTGTGTGATCCTTACTTGGGAGGTTTCGTACCGCACCTCCAGTAGATCGTCGCCACCATCCTGGATCTTGCTGAGCCGGGGCTGTGAGCCCGATCGTTCCCAGATGAACCGGAGGGAGCGACCATTGGAGCCGTACAGCGCAATCGGGACGGATCGATCATACGTATCATTCGCATTGGACAGAATTTCTGTCTGGCCTGACTTATAGACCACCTCATAGCCCGAGTCAATCTTCCTGGCCCGGAAACTTTTGAGTTTTTGTTCCTTGACAAGGAAAACACTGGCTGTCTCGGTGACCTGGTAGTTCTCCCCGGTCGACAGTATCAGTGTCTTCCGTTGCCGGTGCTCGTACGAGGACAGATTAAAAGACCAGCCGGTGCCAAGGCCGACGTCCTGGGTGTTGAGAGCATGATAGCTGAGCGTGAGCTTGAATTCGGGGCAATTGCGCGTCTGGGCCGGTGCTTCATAGATGTCGACCGAGCATGAGTATTGTCCAGTGCGAGGGTCCACCCCTTTCTGAACGAAGCTCTCAAAATTAAAGCCCTGAGAGTAAAAAGGAGTTTGACTGGACATGTTTCTTTTCTTTTTCTTCTTTGAAACTATTTCTTAATAACGTGGGCGAAATGAAGGGCTTGAGGATGAGGGTGATGGAACCATATGGCAAACTAAATATTCTTATATACTCATCACATTTTCAAATTTCCCACTGGACAAGAAACATTGTTTGCCAACCACATACTTTCTCCTGTCGTATTCCGAGTCGACATGTACAATGTAGGTGTCGGTTCTCCGCCAACCGCGTTCGCCGGAAATATCCTCTGGCATCCGTGTCAGGAGGTTATCGTTGCATCTCAATAGCGGGGAACCTGCAGGAGAGATCAAGATATTCAGCTGAGAGTCCATGGGGGGGAGGGAGTTCGGAATGAACACGGTTGGTAAGTTGTTAACATGTGTATATGCATCTTCGTGCTCAGCTCCCAGCTGCTACTACATTTGAGCATCCATATATGATTAATCTGTATACTTATTTTCTATTGGGCATCATTACTGTCAAGAAGCCATGGTTACATTCAATTAGCGGGGAACCTGCAGGAAAGATCAAGATATTCAGCTGAGGGTCCACGGGGCGGTCCGGAACGAGCATGGTTGGTAAGTTGTTCACAGGGGTGTATGCATCTTCGTGTTAATCTCCCAGCTGAATCTTCGTTTAAGCAGTTATCCTTGGATATCTGTATGAGCCATATTCCTATTAGGTAAAATTTCATCTACAGTGCCCAATGGACAGGGCAGGAAGTGGAAGACCTCAAAGCCAATATTGCATGCTACAGCATCATAATATATGTTTCTATCGAGCATTGTCAGAAGCGCCCGAGGCAGCACATTTGTGAGTGGCGACAGTCTGCCATGCAGCGTCTAGAGGGTCTGTTCCCCCCCCAATTTGTCAATGCCAACACATCAGTTGTATCTCAGAGACATTATCGTCGGGAGACCCGTGCTGCATGGGGAGTCGGGCAAAACATATATATAACCCCCCTCAAGATACCTCTCCAAAGTACCCTTCTTTCGGTAGCAAAAATCTTCATTCTCATTTCATATCCTCTCGATTAATCAGGATCTCCACATACTTTATCATGGCTGTACAGTGGGAAGTCACCGATTTCAGGGTTGAGACCAGCCCAGGCGATCATACCCGAGATAGCCTCTTCGCCAATGGTCAAATGCAGGTACCTGTATTTGTGTCGATTGCAGCGATCAATCCGACCACCGGTGCAGGCCACACGCTAAGCGCGGCGCAGCTTAATACGATCAAGCTGGTGGACTATTTCAGTCCTACTACGCAACTGTCGGCCCCTTGGACTTATTCGGGCCAGGAAAACGAATTCCACCATGTGTTGCCGTCAGCTGCGAGTACTGAGACGCCGCAGACCGACGCGTCCAACCAAACTACAGCGTTGCAAAAGAAAACCTGGTGGGTTTCGAGCTCGAGAGTCGAGCACAAGAACATCGGGGCAAGCATCCAGGCTCCCAATGGGACCATCTACCATACCGGCGGCGGTGGGCCGGGCAGGTTTGATTCCCATGTGACCATCACCGGTATAGCCCCCCTCCATTACAACATGAGCAATGTCCAGTTCGACCGAGAGGATACCAAAAATGGGACGACTACAAATGGGAACTTTGCATTCGATCAGGACAATTATTATTTTTCAAGCAAGGCCCATCGATTTCAAAAAGTCGAAGTCAGGGGCCATTTTTTTGACCCGGCGAACGATCCACCGAGTGAGCGATGTTATTTGCGAGTTTCTAAGGGGGGAATCTTCGAACAAAGCTACCTGCACTACTTGTGGCCGATGGGCTCGCAACAAACAAGGCAAGCAGGGCACAAGAACGCACGAGCCGATATTACAATCAATCAACGACAGGGTGCCCTATGTTTCACCCGCTTCACTCTTGGGGGCATAGGCAGATTATACCCCGATAATGGTGGCTGGTATACGAATCAGTTCACGATATATGATCAATATGGCAATTGGGGGAAATTCCAAGCAGGTCATGACGGTTCAAAAAACCTCATCACCATGTCCGCTGTCAATTCGTTATTGGATGAACAGTCCTCGCCCAGCGAGAATTTCACACCCATCAGTCCAGAGGAGGCGGCTTCTCTTGATCTGGAAAATTGACGAGAATGTTAAGCCACCCTATGCTTTTGTCTACCTGTGGAGCAATGAAAGCTGAAAGCAGATCAAACCCCCGTGTTAGACAAGTTTGAACGCATGTAATCGTCCTTGATTTCGGATCGCGGTGGCAGGTCGGTGACCAAAATATCCGGGCTGTTTCGGCCTGACCGTTCAATTTTACTTTTCGGGTGATTTTATAATGCCTGCTTTGTTTTGTTGTCCTTCAGGTAGTATTAGATCTTGTTTTTTTGTATAAGGTTCTTTCCAATTTACATCGAAGCCATGAATGGACTTTTGAGGTGCTGGTAAGCTGCATCATCCTATTAAGAATCAGCTTAAATCCAAGACATCGAGTGAGAGCAAGTATACGTAGTGTCCATTTAACTTTATTTGCTTTAAGCTCAGAGTGATAATAAATCGTCCAAGGTGTACACTTGTGTATATGATGTTGTGCGGAGAAAGATTGGATAAACTAGACTCATAAAACTCGCGAGTCCGCCCTTGACTACTTCTTGGAATAATCAGCATGGCTACGTAATTTGATAAGTGTTCAGGTGTTTTCGGTATTGTCAGCAGCTGATTATGGAGGGTCCCCTTAATCGTGTGGAACTTCTGGGATCGCTATTCTATATGGTATGTCCAGTGTGCCTAATAAGCCCATAAAGGCAGTATTAAATGAAGCTAAGTTGACTGTCAGGATATATATTTACAGTCCGCCTCCTTCCACTTTGATCAAATCAGTAATTCAGCCAATCCTGGCCTAAACAGCTCAGTCCCTACAAGTAAGGTATATTAGAGCCCTAGTACCTACATCTTAACTCCTTTTGCTCCTTCTTTGCGCCTACAAGCCTTAGCCAGACATCATTGAGGTCCTTTCAACCGTCACCTCCTCTTGCACTTGGATGGAGTGGCCATACGGCCCTCTGGGAGAACCCACAAGCCTCTCTTCGTCCGTTTCTCTCACATGTTGAACATACGACGATGTCTCGCCGCGAGGCATATCAAACTCAGTATCTCCCAAAACTGTCGATGTTGTGGTGTCCAGATCACCCTTCCGAGGCTTTTTGCCCAGGGGCTTCATGTTGATCACCGGGTTCGATTCGCCGCTCTCGTCATGCTTCTTATAACCCTCGTTGGATTCTTTGAACCGCGACCCGTGGACGATGTGGCGGTATAAGGGGCGAACGGTGGGGATGCCGACGCAGATGAGTGTCGCTGCCATCTCTACAGCTGACCATATGACCAAATCAACTGTGGACTCTGGGGTGTGCCAAAGATGTTAGTTTAATAAACTCTGGAGATGATAGGAGCACAGGGCTACTAACCGGTGTAATTGGCGCTTGCGAGCCCGCCCAAGTCAATCGTTCTGATCACACCGCAGATACCGGCGCTGGGACAGTCAGCGTAATCCTGTGAGACATGGAAGGGCTGGCAACAAACATAAAGCCCAGACTCAAACTAATGGCGATGATCAACTTCTCCTTTTGCTTCATGTTCAGATTCCAGATGAAGATCCAAGGCAGGATGGCAAAGTAAAAGTCCACCGCGGCACACCATGCTAAATTGGTCAGCTCAAGTCTGGCTGCGTTCTCACAAATAAATGAAACTCTTACAGCCAAGCAACACTGAAAAGGGAACAATGTTGACGACAGTCCGCCCGGGGACGCGCGGATCATAAATGGACTTAGATGGTAGCCGCTGGGTCCAGAACATTATGGCCGTCAAGACCGAGACAATAGACAAGCTGACCATGGATACCCAAATCGACACTCGATGCCATGTCTTGACCACAAGGCGGAGGAGGAATATACCAACAGACAGCTTGGCGATGGCCATTCCCAGGACGGCAAACGTTTGCCCGATCATTTCCAGGTAGATCGCTTGCACCGCCTCGTCCAAGGACAATGTCTTGATGGGATGCCCGAATCCGTGCTGATTGGAAATAGTGAGAAACACGGTGTACAGCAGCAAGAAGACCTGGCATCAGTCAATCCATGAAACATGTGCAAGACAATGTTATAATCGTACCCAGGCAAGGTTGTACACATGATCGTCCATGCCGAGTGCTTTGATGATAAAGGTTCTCGTGTACAGGCGCAGAGGCACAAAAATGAATGACAGTATTGTCATCGCCCACATGACGGCGATGGCCTTTGCGCCTTTGTCCAATGCCATTCTGAGGTATTCTGTTCTGAGGAGGCTGTTCTTTGACGTTGACCGAGGGGAATGTCTGATGTAGCTGGCTGGCTTCAAGCAGGTAGATATACAAGCAGTTTCGTACTTTCTACTCAAAATAGAACGTCCCTGAGCTGCCATTCCAACGGCTTGCTGAAGATCAATAATTGACGTTCCGCATTTCCGAACGAGCGCCTCGATGATCCATCAACTTGATAGATATCAGCCATAACCACAATTTCGGGATGATCGCCTTTGCCCACATATCCCAAATATCGAAAGTAATTTGAGTGATCTGTCCACAGGACAGGCTATAGGGCAGGAAACTTCTTCCGTAGTTTCTTAAGTGATAGGTCCCAACTCAAATAGATTAAGCTTTGTATCCCTCCAATCATAGTTGCGCTTGGAGCGGCAGGTGAGGTGTCAGATTCGACTAGCACTGCAAGGTGTCATCTGGCCCCCGCCGTCGGTTTGGCAAGACGCACAGGGCAAGACGCACAGGACAGGACGCACAGGACAGGACGCACAGGTCACCCGCGGCCTGGTTGCCTCTGAGGAAGGTTTCCAATTGGGTCTTGACATGTAGGCATCTCGTCCGATGGGACCAATCGGGGGTATCCCTCATGCAGCCACAATGGTACTTTGGCCATGAAGACGGCCCGTGCGGACTGAAGTTACCTATTTTGTCTCATCTGTGCATTAGCGAACGATATCGGGCGTTAATCAAGGATCTAGACCCCAGCTTCCAATCTACGGTCGGCAGCCTTCCCAGGCAATAAATTAGTGCCATGGGAGACGTGTAAATACTACAGACCCAGGCTCCTGCCCCTGTCGATTTCTGTATCTCTTTCTGTTTCATACCCTAGAAACACAATACATTGTCACCCCATCATGGACGCATTTCAGTCTGTGGCGTTCGACTACGGTCGGAGAGGCCTTGTCAATCCATTCTTTGGAGCTCTATGCACTGCTCTCGTCATCTGGTATCTGGTGACGTATCTCATCTCCCCTTTACGCCGCTTCCCCGGCCCAATTCTTGCAGGTATGTGAGGTATACCCCTGATCCTCTTGCAACTCCCCTAATGGAAGTACCTGTGACAGGGTGGACCAACCTCTGGCGGATATATCATGTCCGGAAGGGGAAAATGCAAATCCTCACCACGGATCTGCACAAAAAGTACGGTCCAGTGGTTCGGATTGCGCCCAATGTGGTTGACTTGGATATGCCCGAGTTGATCCGCACGATCTACAGCACCAGGGGCGACTACCGCAAAACCGAGTTCTATCATGCAAGTAGTGCAAAGAACAACGGCAAAATCATCTACAATCTCTTCAGCGAGTGTGATCCGCAGGTGCATGCGCAGCAGAAGCGGCCGATCGCAAAGCATTACTCCATGTCGGGTGTGCTGCCGCTGGAGCCCCATATCGATGAGACTATTGGCGTCCTGTGTCAGAGACTGGAGGAGGAGTTTATTGATGGATTGAAAGCCGGAAGTCTTTGTGACATCGGCCAATGGCTGCTCTACTGTAAGCGAGGCATCCTGGCCACCAGTCACTTGCTTATTTGTTTTGGCTACAGATACCTGGGACGTGGTAGGAAAAGTCACCTTCAGTGAACCCATCGGGTACCTCGAGAAGGGCTGTGATTTCGACCACACCATCGCCATTTCCGACAAGGCCATGGACTACTTTGCTTTGGTGAGTCAACTGCCCATTCTCGATCACCTCCTGGACAAGAATCCCGTCTACCGGATCGGACCCCCGTCGTTCGGAAACATCACCAACATCTCCATCCAACACCTCGTCGACCGCCTCCAGGGCAAAGATACAGCATACCATGACCCAGCCAAGCCAGATTTCCTGGACAAGTTCATCGAAGCAAAGTCCATCTTCCCCGACGTCGTCGACGACGCCCAGATCATCTCCTACCTCATGATCAACATGATTGCCGGCGCGGACACCACCGCCATCACCCTCAACGCGGCGCTGTACTTTGCGCTCAAGAACCCAGCCGTATGGAAACGATTGCAGGACGAGGTTTCAACCCTCTCTCCTGGATCAACCACAATTGTGCCGTTCAAAACTGCGCAGGATCTGCCTTACCTCAACGCGGTAATCCGCGAGGCTATGCGCATGCATCCCGGTGTCGCCATGTGTCTGGAGCGCTACGTCCCAGACGAAGGCCTCACCCTTCCAGACGGACAGTATATCCCTGGCGGATGCATCGTCGGTATGAACCCCTACGTGCTCGCCCGCAACAAATCCGTCTGGGGCGAGGACGCCGAATTCTTCCGGCCGGAGCGGTGGCTTCGCGACGAGACCCGCGAGACCGAGGAGGCGTACCAGGAGCGCCTCAAGCGGATGAATGCTGCTGACCTGACCTTTGGTGCTGGGAGCCGGGTGTGTATTGGCCGGAACCTGGGGATGATGGAGGTGTACAAGGTGGTGGCCACGCTGGTCTCGAGGTACGAGGTCGAATTGGCGGACCCGAAAGGGGAATGGAAGACGCATAATAGCTTTTTTGTTCGTCAGGAGGGGATTGAGGTGAGGCTTCGTCGGCGCAGCACTTAGCCGGATCAGTATCTCTTGTTTAGTGAATTTAGTTCTGCGTTTATTGTGATTAATCAAGAAGATGATAATGTGGATATCATTCATGTAATTGCCCAAGGTATACATGAAGAATAGCCAGGGAGAATATGTCTTAGACACCTAAAGTGGCTGTTAAAGTGGCACTGACTGATGTTTATGTACAAGGCTTTGTATAAATATCATGAAGATAGCCAAGGATGAGAGATATCCGCCCTGTCTATCAACTTGACCTCTAAGCTCGATTCCACGCCAGTGTGCTCAAAAGCGGCATCCCTCCAAACCTGGAGAACACATTCCTCGGGCGCATATGCAGCTGGATCTGTCCAAGTTGCTGTTGCAGCTTTTTCGTTTACCTCATACATAAACCCGTGACTTACCAAAGTAAAGACACACTTCAGATCCATACATTGCAGCCGTGGCATGTGCTGTGCTGCCCTTCCAGCTGAGATATAGAGTTCCTGAAGAAGTTCCATTGATGCTTTTGCACGGTATCTTGGATGCCAGTTCTCACGAAGCGGTCGCAAAGCACCCCCATCCTCTATATCCTCAATAGGCTCTATTTCAAAATACCGCTGTCCGGAAGGGCTTTTGTCTCGATACTCGAGGCGGAATATGGTTAGATTCGGCCAAAACGGGGTCTGTGCATTCCCATCATCATTAACAGGCCAGAATAACTCTTTTCCTACAACAGCATACTGCAGAGACAGTGATGTAAGTTGCTGTGAAAAGCCCCGGAACTGAGTACTGAAGAGGTCCTCCAGTTTCCCTTGGATAAGGTTGATGGGTTCGAGAGTCTCATTTCCCGATTCCTCAGTAAAGAATACGAGGTCAAACCTCTGTACTGAATGTGGCAAGAGATGTAACGAGTTCGCGAACTCTGTGATAGGGGTCAGCTTGATAGATATACAATGGGATAGAACCTACCATTGCGGTTGCGCGTGCGGAGGTCTTGATCTCGTTTTTCGTTATCCCTGAGGTTCAGTATCATTTTCTGTAACCGTGGCATCTTTGATGCAATGACAGCTGTTGCTGAGGGTCTAATTAACCGTTCATATCTTGTCCCCCCAAAAATAGAAAGTGTCGTTACTGCCGTCACAGGCAGAAGCCTTTTCAGATTTTCCTCAGATATATGGAGGTAAGATCTTTCAAATCTGCAGTCTGGTAGATCCTCCTCTGGTGCGTCGGGAGCTGCTTCACACCGTGGTCTGTCTCGCCTACTGGCGTAGGTAGGGGACTGTGCCTGAATGAACAGTTCGATTCCTCGGTGGTTCTCTGGCCAAGTTGCTAGAATCCGGAGAATATTCTGTATTGTTTGGATAAAAGTTTTATTATTGCGACTGTGCTCAGCAGCTGTGTCAAAGTAGGCACGCGCCCTAATATTGTATGGCTGAAGTTGGATAATGAGACGAATTTCCTGAACATAACTTTGCCTTTGCTTATTGCAGGCAACAACTTGAGAGAATTTCTTTAGCCGCTGGGGGGTGTTCAGCTTGAGTATGGCAAACGTGCGCTGCTCAATGCAGGCCTGCCACTCCCGGCTAACTGTTGCATATGGAATCAGACTGGAGTTTGTAGCGACATCGAGGTAAGAAATGACCAAGGAGATGATTTCCAAGGGCAGCCAATATTGCCCCATGATGCATCTCAGGATCTGGCACGTGTATTATGTTGATTGGTGTCCAGATCAAAGATGGAGAGAATGTATGTATGGAAGAAGGTGAAGTCCAAGCTATTTTCTAACCAATATAAACCAAGGCGTTGTGCGGGCCGCGGCGGACTATTAGTGCATGGTACAAACGGACCAATCGTAGGGAACATCAAAATACTAGTAGAATAGGGATATCCAGCACTTGATAGGGACATCGAATGCTTATATAGTATATACTGAGGACATCGAATACGCATATAGTAGGGTTGTCAAGTATTTGGTAGGGATATTGAATGCTTCTGTACGTATCAGATAGTCATACAGGAGGGATATCGAAGACTGACCTTCGCAGCGGGATGCCGTCCACTAGTCCCTTCTGGCCGTGTCATCTTGCTTTCCGGGAATACGACACTCGGACCAATCTCGGTCTCCTCGTCATATCCACTAGCAGAAGGCTCCGAGGGGCCTACATCGTCAAAATGGGCGAGTGAGGCGTTCCTTGGACTCCTTGTTTGATAGACTGAGGCCGGCTTGGTACATCCATCGACCCTGCACCGTTATTGGAGAGAATGCACCGCATCATGGCGCTGAACTCGCCCTGCGCTACTCGCGTAGTCTAGGTGCCACCCCGCAGCTGAGTAATATGGATGGATACTTCGATTTCCAGCAGGTGGAAGTTGCTGCTGAGAATATGTCACTGTGAGTCATGTCTCAGCCCGAAGTGTCTGCACATACCGGGTCTGTGTCCTTCTTTCACTACTTAAGTAATGTCAAAGTCCGGTGGGGAGTCTTAAAGAATACCAACTGTGTAGAGAGGCGCTGGTTGATGAGCTGGTTATCTATATGCATGTACTGCGTTCCGTGACTTGCTAGATGGCAGATGTGTGTTTGAGCTTAGTTTTCATGTCATGGAAACAATGTAATGCTATTTTCTCATTTGTCTCTTTCTCACCGACTTGGCAAAGGACTATCTATGATTGGGGGGTAATTTGAAAAAATAAGTGCAGGTTGCGGATTGGCGAGTTAATGTTCTCTGAACACTGAGAACTAAGTGGAATCCTTTTAAGTGATTGTGGATATCATCTCATGACTGCAGAGAGCAGTTGCACACCACCCATGGCTTGATATTTATTTTGCAATTAACCATGAGATACAAAAGCTGAGAGGGATGATAATGCATTGAAATATCTTCTAAGAGATGGTGTAAACTACCTTCTCAGCGCTCACTGCTCTCAGATAGTCCTTTCCTTCAGTTTGACTTTTGTTCAGACTGAAAAGTGGCAGTCCTCCGATACTTCAGGCCACCTGGTATTTGCCGAACCGGAATGGCATTACTTTTGCCGATGCCGCCTTGGAGCTGAGATACTGATAGAACTCAGTTGTGAATTCCTGTTCTTCAGGGTTGGCTGGCATAGTGGCACTCGAGAAGTGATCAGCAATTCTCAATTCGGTACATAGAACCTCCCAGACAGCATCAATTATTGGTTTGATCCCAAGCTGTGACACATCGAATTTTCCAACGGCCGAGCATCGGAGCACACAGAAAATATATTATATATATATAAGCGCTGGACTGACTTCGCTCACCTGAGTCGATTTGCTCTAGAGTCAAAGAGTCAAATGGGTTCCGCAATTTCTGGCACCCGCCATCGAGTCACTCTGACTTTCAGTCGCCTAGAAGAGTGCGAAAATTTAATTTGGATGAGCAATCTGATGCGATTCTGCCGAGAACGCAGTAGAGTCTAATCGACTCTGGAACTCTTAAGCATTTCTGGAGGTGATCACTCCGTAAAGCTAACTATTTCGGGAATCATGGCTTAACTCCCTTCCAGAAAGCGGGCTAAGCTAATCTATATTAGGTCGAAACTTTACGCCCATAACGTAATTCCTTGCATCCACTGCTCAGCGACTGGAATACACGCATTATGACCTCCATCGACAGGACTTCAACAACCTGCTCGGTGTTTTGGGGTTTGAAGCAGTTGCGACTGGCATCGGATCCCCTAGCTCTGGCGCCGTCATTTTCGAATCATTCCGTGGAGTTTGAGAGAAGTCAAATTCCTACCAAGTTAGGGGCCATTGAAAATACGGGAGGAGCCCCATTTCATTCTTTGGTCGGCTCACCTTTAGCCTCAGTTCCTGGCGGGGTCCTTGTCGAGGATGGGGGAAACGTCTCATAATCGACGCGGAGTAATAGCCTCAACACTGAGAGACGTCGGTGATAGTCGGCTCTAGAAACCAATTGCATCTGAAGGGTATCACGGTACGAAAAGCCGAGTGGGCCGACGGCAAATCTGAACTCATTGTCATTTAATAAACCACTGCCACAAATTCTTCCTCCACACATTTCCCCCCGCAGATACGGAGAAGTTTTGATGTACCGTGGTACGTGGACCTCAAGTGAGTGTCCGGCGGCGGGAAAGTATTGCCTGTCCAATCCGTACTCCACTCCGAGTATGTCCAAACAAGAAGGGGAAGGTCTCCACGATCCAATCAAACCCGTGGGAGCGCTTTAGAGTTTGTTCGGGGCACATTGTCGATCTCCACCGAAAGGTTGCAATCATCAACTGCCGAATGACCCTTGATATTTTTCTCGGCCCAGAGACCAGGCAGGTCGGGCTTCGGTCTCGTCTCGGCTTTACACAGTATATCCCCGTTGAAGCTGGTATGGTCCTAGAGAGAGCTGCTACTCCTCCATATTCCGCGGAAGTACAAATTGAAATAGGGTAGTTGTGAGATTATGGGGCGGCGTGGTGGCATGGTGGCTTGTAGTGTGAAATGTATCGGTGGGAATAAATAATAATCGAACCCGTGTCGTGGGCGAGACTTCTGGTGGGGGAAGTTATCCGCCCCGGCCAGGACGTCGACCCAGGGATACCGAGAGATCTCGTTATCCCCAAATGGGTGAGCTTGACGGGCAATTCGGTGAACCTAACCGTCCAGACGAAGTTTGTCCCTTTGTAGTGTAAAACGGCTAGAACCATGGAGGCGGCAAATCTTCTCCAGGCTTGATTGACAGACTCCCAGCCACGGAATCGTGGAGGGTCAGATATGGTGTGCTTTTGTCTCCCAGAGCGAATCAACTGCGGCCGTCTCCCGCGGAGAAGCCTTCTCCCTGCCCCTGATCATCTGCTGCGTGGTTATTGGAAAATGGCAGAGGAGACAGGGTGAGCACTAACAGACGCCATCGTAAGTTTGGAGCACAACAGTATGAATTCTCGCAGACAATCACCCCACCCCGCTTCGCCCAGTTTCTTCTCCATATGGGGTAAATCTCCCTAGGCCATCAGGCACTAGTCAGTGTGCTATAGGCCATCCTGCCTTGGGTTCAATTCTTTGTACCTAGAGCGCCTATATAAAGTCTCCTCTCTTCGGTTCATTCCGATGAATTGTCACCCTTCTATCTCTTCCTCTTCTCCGCTGCCCTTGCTCCATCCCAAGCGCATACGACACATTTAGGTCGGTTTCGGGGTTTACGTATTAAAGGCCACGACCCGTTCAGGCGTTCTTCACGCTGCCAACATGGACGCAATGTAGGTTCGGTACCTGCAGAATTTTCATGATTTAGGAGGAGCTAACTGGATGATCTTCAGAACCGAGAAGAAAGCCCGCGCGGAAGATGTTAATGTGCAAGAGGTGGTTGCAGCTGGGTAAGTTTCCGCATGCCGTTTTGTATCAACGCAACTCGAGCTCACAAGCAGCAGGATTGAAAACCCCCTGGCCGCCCTTTCCAAGGACGACCTCCTCCGCGATGTTGACCGGTATGCCCAGGAGTACAGCCTCGATGACATCCTTCCGCTTCTCCAGAAGGGCGCCTTGGTGGCCCAGAACCCAGGGGATTTCGAGAACATGGCCGAGCTAGATGAGACAGATCGCCAGTTCCTGCGTGAGGAAGTCACTCACCGCTGGAGACACCCTTGGGCACTCTACTACACCATTGTCCTAAACTCCATTGCCGCAGCCATCCAAGGGTGGGATCAAACGGGTACGGGATATTCTCTAACCAGTAGACTGCTATCGGTCCTGACTCGTTAACCTAGGTTCCAATGGTGCGAATCTCACCTTCGCCACCCAGTTTGGCCTCCCGCAAGACGGCTGTGCAACCGAAGCCGAATGTACCCGTAACCAGTGGATTGTTGGACTGATCAATGCCGTGCCATACATTTCAATCGCGTTTTTGTGAGTTCTTCAGCGCGTCTTCTATCTCAACACGTTACAATCCTAATAGTTTTGAACTCCAAAGCGCGGGATGGATTTCTGATCCACTGAACCATTGGTTGGGCCGCAAAAATACTATCCTTGTGGCGGCGGTTTTCAGTTTGCTTGCCCCAATTGGCTGTGGCCTGAGTCAGACTTGGGGCCAGCTCATTGCCTGCCGTGTGCTGCTTGGAATTGGTATGGGCTTGAAGGAAGTCACTGTTCCAGTCTACTCCGCAGAGAATGCGCCGACGTCCATTCGCGGTGGCTTGGTAATGTCGTGGCAGATTTGTATGGAAATTCCTCTGTGCTCTGTTGACTCGTCGGCTAACGGACTATAGGGACTGCGTTTGGTATCTTCCTTGGGACTTGTGCCAACCTTGCCGTGGTGAATACGGGCCGCATTGCATGGAGATTACAGCTCGGGTCCGCTTTCATCCCAGCTGTTCCTCTTCTCCTTGGTACCTGGTTTTGCCCTGAATCTCCACGCTGGTACCTAATGAAGAACCGACCCCGAGACGCGTATAAGTCCCTTCTCCGGCTCCGCAACAGCCCACTACAGGCAGCAAGAGACCTCTACTACATCCACGCGCAAATCAAGATGGAGCATGTGGTTGCGGTCGAATCAGGATACACTCATTCTGGCAATATGCTTGTCCGTTTCTACGAGCTCTTCACCATGCCCCGGCTTCGTCGTGCTGTCCAGGCTTCCGGTATTGCTATGATTGCCCAACAAATGTGTGGAAGTGAGTTCAAAATCCCTCCTGGCGCTTTTGCCCCGTAAACCTTCAACTATGCTTACAGACATGTGCTACAGTCAACATCATCGCGTTCTACTCCTCAACGGTGTTCCAGGAGGCCGGCGCCAACAATATCCAGGCCCTCCTTGCCTCCTGGGGCTTTGGCCTGGTCAACTTTCTCTTCGCCTGGCCTGCTGTCTGGACAATCGATAAGTTCGGTCGCCGCTGGCTCTTGCTTGCTACCTTTCCAAACATGTGTTGGACTCTACTAGCCGCCGGGTTCTGTTTCTGGATTCCCAAAGACAGTAATGCCCATCTGGGTTTGGTTGCATTATTCATCTATCTCTTCAACATATTTTACTCGCCTGGCGAGGGCCCTGTGCCCTTCACCTACTCGGCAGAAGTGTTCCCACTGTCCCATCGTGAAGTAGGCATGGCCTGGGCCGTGGCGACCAACAACTTCTGGGCTTCAGTCCTCTCTCTCACATTTCCTTATATGCTTCGGGCATTCACACCAACGGGGGCCTTTGGATTCTACGCTGGACTGAATGCCGTGGCATTTTTCTTAATCTTCTTCTTCCTTCCAGAGACCAAGCAGCGGTCTCTGGAGGAACTAGATTATGTCTTCGGCGTCTCCACCCGAGCCTTCGCCTGGCATAAGCTTACTGAAGTGACGCCTTGGTTTATTCGGCGATATGTATTCATGCGCAAGGATGCCGTTTGCCGCGAACTTTACCAGTTGGGCACTGTGCACGAAGTCCCGCCGCCTCGCCCTTTGGATTCGAAGACGGCTGCGCAGCACCAAGAGAATGTTTGAGTAGGGGGCTTGAGGAGATAGTGTCCATAGAGTCCAGGCGAAGCTCGCTCGAATTGGGTGCGTGCTCAATCTATATTCGCTATAAATTTTAAATACCAGTACTACAACGAGATAAAAGAAAGGCTAGAAATGTGACATTTTTTGGGGAACGTCTATTCCCACTTTCTTTAAACTTGGAGTTCTTGGAGCAGTACATAGAAGGGAAAACAACAAACATATGATTGTTCTCGCAATCCGGCATCCTGCATCCTGCCACAATGTCATGGACCTGACTTGTGAACTCCATCCTGGAGCTGAATCGTGCTTACAAGATTTATAGCATACGTTGGCTCAACCAGCTGTATTTCATGTATCATCACAGACTTCGAACGATCTCCATTCCTATATCAATACAAGCAGAATGCAGGTTTAAAGGGTAGGCACCCCCGTGAATACTAGAAACTAACAGAGTGAATACAAAATGCTGCAAGTACGCAAGGAATGAGACGATGTCATACGCTGGTCAATTACTAGCAGTTAAGACTGGTAAATCAGAAAAGAAGGTGTGTGGAAGAAGCGCGAGGACTGGGTAGTGAGAACGCTCGTTAACTAGGCCCCAAGTCACATATCTCAATCCACTCGGTAGCGATTCAACTTTTCACAAACCCCAAATTTGAGGCCTCCTTGGGGGGATTTGGCTTCCACAGGCGGGAAAGAAGGTGAACGTTTCAAAACCCTTGGAGGGAAAGCCCAAATTCCAAGTTGGAGTGAGCAGTGGTAGACCATGAGCGCTCCTTAGGAACATGGGAGTGAGGCAAGATCAAGCGAATAATTCCTGCTTCTGGGAAGCACCCGGTACAGGACTGAGCCAGTTAACACGTCGCGAGACAAAAATCTCCCCCTGGGGCTTGAAAGTGTTGAGGCAGGTGGGATCGTCCAAAATGCCCGCCTTGAGGAATCGGGTGCCAGGCATGGCCTGCCCTTCCCGAAAGAGAGTCGTGCCACAGTCACTGCAAAAGGTGTTGACAATGTCATTGCCGTGGTCGAGCGTTTTGGAAAAGGTTTTCAAAGGACCAGAGGCAGTCATTTGTTCCGAAGGTATGAACCAGTTCAAAGCATTGGTACTGCCAGAGACTTTTCGGCAATCGAGACAATGGCAAAGGCCCTATCCTCCAGTGTTAGAGAAGAAAAGCTACAGGTAGAAGAAAAAGAGGAAACAATGACATACCACTGCCACAGGCTCGCAATTGATCTCCACACGGGAGGCACCGCAATAACAATGGCCGACATACATCTTGGAATGGTGCCCTGCAATGTGAGAATAAACGAAAATGCCAGTAAAGGACATAGGGGAGGGAGTGCATCAGGTCTTTATACAAAGGGAATCACCGATCATTCCAGCAAAAGTTCGTGTTGTTGGAGCGGAACAATGGACTCTGTCCAGAATTCCGTTCTCCGTCAGTGGGGTCGGGATCAGATCTCCCGCGCTGCCTTTTCCTGGTTCTACATATCTAGCAACCAAGGGTTTTGCCAGTAGAGTGATTTGGACATGGCCATGACGTTGAGACCTTCCAGAAAAGCTTAAAGTGGCCAAGACGGACAATTGCGATTGTCCGAAAATTCCGCCCAACCCCGGACGGTCATTCCGCCGTTGTTCAAGTCAAGCTTGCAGTGACGGACGGACTTCTCGGTATTCCAAACTCATCACCACAAGCTTCCAATCCCGATCGAGGCAATATGTTGGAACACATCATCATGAATTCTAGACAATCCAACAGCAATCATGTAGCGCCGACTACGCTCACAAAGAAACGGCTCTCGTGCACTTTCTGTCGACGACGCAAGGTTAGCATCATCCCTCTTCGTATTTGTCGCTCATGGGTCTGATGATTGCAGATAAAATGCGATTTTCGCAGCCCAGCTTGCTCAAATTGTTTGAAGTATAATTCATCATGCGTCTGGCCAGAAGGTAGGAAACCCATGACACGCGCGAGGAAAAGGTAAGCGGTCCCTTCAAGGCCGGGAGTCCTCCTGCATGACACCTTGTTGAATATTACTCTCAGAAATGACGACCACCTGAGTCTACGCGTCGCCCATCTGGAGGATCGGCTACAGCATCTGAGCTCTCAAGTACCTTTGTCTGCCACCGCACTTGGAACCTCTCCGTCAAGTGGTCCAATCCTCGATACAGGTACATCTTCCGCGGCGTCAGAATTGCCCATTCCACCAACGACCTACGGAACGGATCGCTTCGAATGGGTGATTTATCCAGTCCGGCAGCAAGAGGATGTGAGTAAGAGTGAACGCGGCAAGTTAGGTTTGCTGCGTTGGCCACCGGGGGGTGAGATTTTCTCTTCTGGTAAAACCAGTTCTAATCGAGAATCCATTTTCTTCGCCCGTATTCTAATTGATATAGGTGCTTTTTCCATATTCTCGGCTGAGAACGTCGAGACATTGCGAAAATTTGTAGGAGACAGTGTCTTCAGAGCAATCGTGGAAGAAGTGGGTGCATTAGAGGCGAAGAGAGACACCACCTTTTACTCTGACGAAAGACATTCCCTGCCACCGCCCTCCATTGTATCTCGGTATATAGACGGTATTACCGACCCTCGGGACTCCTTAAGAACACATATAACTGATAGTTAGAAAACAGATTTTCTAATGGAACTCAATCGAGAGATACGCCTTTTCGACGAGCAAGATGTGAGGGAGGCTATGAAGCATCATTTCGAGTCCGGCGTCAATCATCAGCCAGGCTGGTCCATGGCTTGTAATATTATTCTAGCTCACTGCGTTCGGAATCAATCATGCTCCGGGAATATCGCCGAGTATAAGAGGTACTTCAATGGCGCTTTGGTACATGTTCCGAGGCTCATGATGGGCAAAGGGACCCCTTTGGAAGTAAGCTCACTTATGGCAATGGTAACCTTATATACCTCAAAGGTCCTCAATAATTTCACTCACAATGCACAGGTCCTCTTCTGTATGTTTATCGGGGAAAATCAGCCAGCTGCCAACTTGCTGGGTTTAGCTGTCCGTTGTATGCTTCGGCTCGAATACCACGTCCAGGCAAGGCAGCGTCAATGCACAAGCCTTGAATCCCTTTTTCAAAAGCGTTTGTTCTTAAAAGCGTATATCTTTGATCGTGATTTGTCAATGCGACTGCATTCGCCGCCCGTGATCTCAGACAGCTATATTGAATTACCCGAGGAGACCCCTGTGGACGGCTACAGTGTCTACTTCCTGCCGGGAGGCGTTCGAGTCAATTACTTTCGGGAACAAGTACAGCTGGCGAAGATCCAGGATCTGGTCCATTCTGAATTATATTCATCCCAGCCCATCGGCTTAACTCAGACGCAACTACGTACCAAGATTGGTAAACTAGACACGCTTCTGCACAGCTGGAGAGAGAGTCTTCCAGAATCGATCAGGCCACATAGACCTCTGTTTTGTGTTGATTATAACCAACTGATCTGCATCACAGCTTTGCATTACACATATTTCCAGCTCATTGTTGCCATCCACTCTTCATCCTTGGGATTTGCAGCAACAAATGGATGCCACAGAGACCTTTCACAGGACATCAGATATTGTGTTACTGCTGCCCGCGCCATGGTCACCCTATTGGATTACCACGACAATGGCCATCCCTTTGCCAAGTGAGATGACACCCTTCTTGCCCATTTTTACATTTCCAAAGTTAATGCATTCGTGCCTAGTTACCTACTTCATCATGTGACTTGGGGGATCGACCTCCTTTGCATTAACCTCCTCCAGAACCGGGACTTGGCTACGTCGGACTTTGAAATGGTGAAGCGAGTTAGAGATTTCTTCCAAAGGCGTCAAACTGATCCGTGCGATTTTCACGCCTATATTGCCCTCAAGGGGATGCTTAATGTAATTTTGAGAACACTACCGCATTTTCAGAATTTGGATCCTGGGATAATTCGTTATTCTCAGCTGGGCGGGGGAACAATTCCGACTAGCTCGAGTATGGCAATTGCTGATATATCCGCGAATGCAGTGCCCCTGCCTCAATAGTTTCATTCCTGTTACTCCCTCGCCAGCAATCTCACCTAGTATAGAATTAGGAGCACAATGACCACCATTAGGAATACAAGGTGTAAATCCTTTCAAATTACCATTATTAAATACCATAATTTTATTATCATCAGGTGTAACAATTTGCTATGTTTGCTGCTATTTTAGCATTGATTGGCTCGTGTCTTATCTTTGACCCATTATTTTTGCACTCTCGCGTAACTGACCTTACAATAATGTGATATTCAATTAGTAGAACAGCTCACTCTCCCCATCCTGAATCGGATAGTCCACCCGCTGTAGAGACAACCATCGCCCCCAAGCAAAAACAGCGTTGGAGTATAAGTATCGGAATTGGACCCAATCAAATTCCCGCGGTTTTAAAAATCGGATGATGCCGTCGAGTGTAGCGGAACTTTGACCTACTCGAGACTCGGACATCGGATGAGCACGGAGCAACGACCTCTGATTTAGTTGGTTGGTGGCATACGATCGGTGACTCCCGTCCAGTGTCATTGAATAATTTAGGAGCCTGGCATCTTACATTAGAACAACGCGGTGATTATATTTGAGTGACTTACTGAACCTTACAACCTCACTTTTACTGTGCATCCCCGCAAGCAGTCTTGAAAACACCGACAGTGTGCTGCCAGACATCGACCCCAACACCTTCCTGTTGATACGCTTCTACAGCACTATTCTGCCCACATGCCTCGCATTTCCAGTCAAACCGATACGAATTTCCAGGGTTCACCTTTGAGTGGCTTTTCTGTGTGCATTCTTTACTGCAGAGCATTCCAAGGGCCAGGTATAGATGCCTTTCGCCACTTTCCCTCACAGGAACTGTCAAAGGCGAAGCAAGGAAAAGAACAACACGGCTGAAAAGGCTTATGACCGGTCCTAACCCACGAGTGATGTTTGTCCGGACCACACCAGGCGAGGTGTGAATAAAATCCACCTCAGGGTTGGCGAGCGCAAGTTGCTCCAAGGCTAGCGTGGTCATTGTGATAGTGTGTGTGACGCAATTCTTGAGACTATAGTTGACCTTGAGCATCAGGTCATCTGTCAAGATGTTTCCTTCTTTACCGGCGCCCAGAACCGACACGACTCGTGCTGGCTGGCCGGCAGTTGATGCTCGAGATAAAAGCGGCAGTAGGTTCACGATGAACCGCATACGGGAGTAGTATTGGATACTGAACATGCGGTCCAGGCCTTCCGGTGTCTCTTTGAAGTAAGTTGTCAGCAAATGGTGGTATTCACTTGGATACATCGATTAGTCATACCAACTCGGCCATTCATGCTCAAGAAACCTGCGCTGAGAAAAAGGAGACTCACCACATTCTCCTTCGCGAGAATCTCACGACAGACTGAATCAACATTGGTAAGAAGGGTGAGGTCACTCTGCAGAAACGTAATTCTGGCCTCTGAGTTGATTGCTCCCAGCCCAGCCATTAAATTGGACGCCTTTTTCTGGCTTTGACCAATTATATACACTGTCGGCTGCCTCGTATTTCGTACAAATTCCCTGCAAGTGCTCTCGCCCACCCCGCTGGTTCCGCCGGCTAGCATTCATCAGTCTGTGAGAGAGGCATGGTAGCGGGAAAGAGACTTACCAAAGATGCCCACTAACCCTGGACCTAGTTCCTTTATCTTGGAATTTGCTTGGCGGATAGTTTGAATGGAAGGCATCTTGTTGGAAAGCGGTACTCTCAGATGCGATTGCCTTTGATCACAAAACAGAGACCAAGACCCGGTACAACCGGGGGAGATCATCCTCTTTAAATACCGCCGTTTTTACCGAATGTCACCACTGACCAGAAGTTGCTGTATTTTGGGAAGGAGGATTGCCGCTGCTGTTCACCAGTGGTACGGTGTTCTAGATGCTCCCTGCGGAGCCAAGACGGACAATTTCAAGGACGCCGTCCCCGGATCTAGTAAATGGAGGTAAACCTTAATTGAGGTTCTCCACCATCCGGAACATGTGGACTTCCGATTCAGCCCCTCCCGGGACAGGAAACAGACATGCCCGATCATTGCACAGTTCAGCTCCTGTTCCAAACCCTTGGCAGGAGTCGGCAGCACCGCATCCCCGTGCCGCGAGAATGTTGGTTTCGGGGTAACGCTCCACCACGGCGGCGGCGACGGAGGCAATCAAGGAGGCGGCACTCGGCAGCCACGACGACGGAGAACTTCATGATACGAGGTCGGGGCTGGTTCGGTGTAACCTATCTCTAGCAGGCCTGCTCTTCCATATCCACATGCTGCTACTGCTAAGGGATCCACAAATCATGCAAATACATATTTAGATACAACTCTGTTCGCTTCTTTCAGACCCTGTATTCCACTGACGATGCATAAAAATTGAGTGAACTTCTTTAAATCATACATATGACTTAAAATACTAAACCTACTTAACCATCTACTATCCTAGCAGATGCAGGTCGGCAGGGATTAGATGGCCTTTTCAATTCCTGTTCATACAGATCGAATGATTCCTGGCTGACGCTCCCTGCAAGATTGAGGCGACTCTCTTACAACTGGCACGCCGGAATTCCGCCATGATTCAGAGCAAAGATAGGTTGAGAGCCTGATGCTATAGTCCACAACTCAACCGATGGGTTGTTATCGAGCTTCTCCGTGGTGCATTCATCCATGTAGCCTAGGTACAGAAACTTCACGTAACAATTAGCTCATGTACAGGATATCCACGTAGTGGAGTAAAACTCACGTTAGGTTGCCCTGAATCCGTGAGCTGGATGGCGTTAGGGTCCTTCGGCAGGCTGACTACTAATTCGTTGAACTCAGCAAGGCTGACTCCCTGCTTGGTGATGATCCCGACTGGAGTCGTCGCTGCTGTGGCTGTGCAGGTCATCGTCGTTGATGTTGTGGTTGCTGTTGACAATGTAGATATACTTGCCGGGCTCGTAGTTGTAGTGGTCGTAGGTGATGTGCCAGTGTTGCCGCCTCTGTCAAAGAACTTTATGATCACTGCCAATGCGAACACTGGCAAGATATGCGTGAGCAATTGGACCACATAATCAAGGGCGGAAATATAAGGAGGGTACTTACAAAAGCCACCTGATGCCGCTAGACCCCCGATGGCTCCAATGGAAGTAAGCTATATAACGAGTCAATGATTATTCGGTGCAACGGGCTACGGATACCATACCACAACGTCTGCTTTCTTGGCATTGGCAACCGCTTCAATCGGTGGCTTAGGGTTGTTTGCTGCTTTTGCTTCTTCGAGCTCGACGACATTATGTTTTAAGAGATCCCTAACTTCGCTAACCTGTTGCAGCAGTTGCCCTGAGAGAAATGATTAGTGAGACTGATCTTCTTGCCAACAAAAAGAAGATTACCTGTGCCACTCCATTGTTCATAAATGTTATCCGGAACCTTCTATAAGTCAGTCTAACGGGCATTTGTCAATCAGGTATTCACGATGCTGGGATGTCTCTCACACTTGGATTATCCTGGTTGATGGTGTCGAGCTGCCTTCCTTTCGTGAGTGCCGCATCGGTTTTAGTCCTGACTGCCTCTAATAATGGGTCAGCACTTCCACGTAGGAGCAGGAGGCGTCGATAACATACGTAAATTTCCCTGTCCCTGTTGCAAGTTGCCATCGACCTTCCGAACCCTCATCTCGAATTCCTCTATCTGTGAGTTCAGTCTTTTGACATTGGAAACTGACGAAAGGTAATGCTCCAAATCATCCATAACGTTCTTGTAGTCGGCAATCGCGGCGCGCACTTCTTCCACGGTACTATTATACTGCCGCACTGCATCTGCTAGTTCCTGAAGAGTGGGACTACTCCAGGTCGAATCTTGATATACCTGAATACGACCAGCTTCACCGCAAGTCTCGCTAGGGCTCCCAGCACACACCATGCTGCAATCACTGTCCGGGAATTGAACACCGCCATGCAATGTATTTCCCACAAAGCATTGACTGGAGCTTGTCAATAAGAGTGCTGCCATTTGGAGGGGCAACTAACCTCCCGAACTCAACACCGGCATATCGCCAACTACCACTCTGGGCCAGCGCTATGCACTTCTCTACTGTCATACCATTTGGATTCGAATCCTCACTAGAGCCGGCGACGAGGTTCCGCGCATCCCAGGCGTCCACGAAACAGCCGATAAATGAGAAACTGTCAACCTGGGGCACGATAGTCGGGATCGGTGAGGAAGATGTAACAGAAGACGTCGCGGAGGAGGAAGCGGTGGTGGCAGTAGCAGTTGTAGAAGATGCCGACGTGGTGCTTGAGGTAGTGGACAAGCCTGTAGTCGTACGAGTGGAAGAGGCAGACATGCCAGATGTCGTAGATGCTGACGTGGTGCTTGAGGCAGTGGACAAGCCTGTAGTTGTACGAGTGGAAGAGGCAGACACGCCAGATGTCGTAGATGACAAGGTAGGAGATGCTGCAGTGATACAACTGTTTGTGCCACAAGTGCTCCCCTGCCTACACGCTGCGCATAGTGTGGGATACGATTCGGGGCATTTCACACCTGGGAATGTGCAACATTGCGTATCTGGAAGAACGCATTGACCATGACTATAATATTCTGTTAGCCGGACAAGTTCGATGGAATCGTTTTTACAGCCAAGTCCATGTACCAGCAATTAATTTCATCCGTCCCGGAGATTGCGCAGCCCCCTAACACGCCAGTCTTGGGGTTGAGGCGACAAAAAAGGGCTTTCTCCGGCTTCTGGACACAGACATTGACGCCTTCAAAGGACAGGCAGATGCCGTTGACCGACTTGCAATCAAGGCTGCAGGGCGTAGGGGTGTCACAGAGCCAGCCATCTGGGCAGTTTGGATCACTAGATACTGCACGGGTAATAAGTCGGTCTGTACGAGGAATTTTGAGGGTCGAAAAATCGGTGAAGTTCCCATCAATTGATATAGATAAACTAGGAAGGCCATAGGCGTTGACGGTATAGAAAGTAGAAAGGGCCACAAGCCCAACCGCTCGGATCGAGAATGCCATATTCGACGGCAGGATGAATCCTGTATTAGAAGAGGAGGGAAGGCACAAGGTTATATGTGTTAGGTATCGGCAAAGCCTGCCATTCCTGAACCTCAATCTGGAAGTAACAGCCGACATTGGACGAACCCTTCTTGAGTATTGAGAGCGTTTATCTCAGAATGTAACGCTCCCACCGGAAGGATTCACAGGTCCCAGTGCACTCCACGGTCAGCGTTCCGGGAATTGCCTTTCCAATTCAACCTATGGCTGCTTACCTCAATGTACACTTCTCGCCCCGACCCAGCCCATTGCAGAACTTATGCCGTCAGCTGGGGTACACTGCATGTGGCGTGTATGGGCTAGCGGAATAGCCCGCACCTGCGGCGTAAGGTGAGGTCGAATTTCGATCCGTCTGACACTGTATTGGAGTCCTCGGCTCATTAAGACGACTAGTGAACGCCGAAAAAAGATATATTACGGTCATCGGATGAGCGAGGACTTGAATGAGGCTAGTGCTAATCATTCTCTACAGCGGAATCAGGGCTAATTATTTGACACTTTAACACCATATCCGATCTACACTTGGCCTTCGACGGTCTGTGAGATAGCTACAATTTGATGCTAGCCGTTCAGATGCGTTTTTTCCTCCGTAACACTGCTTGATAAAGATCGAGATAGTGGTGGTTTCAGCGAGCTAACTACGTATCAGAGATAGAAGAACGGATCATTTGGAATTCCTCTTGCATTCAACAAGATCTCCCTCAACTTCCCTACTTTCCCTTATCCAAGCGAGAAGAGTAAATAGCATCACCAACAGTAGTAGTTTGCCCAGTTGCTCCAGACCTCACAGTCACATTTCTCATATAAACGATCACCTCGCAATCATCCGCCAGGCAACCATTGTCTCCGAGGTTTAGGTTGACCGTTCCGTTAGCTGTTAACGTGACGTCCTCTAACCACAGCACAACCAGCCCGTTTTGGTTTCGGTCCACTAGATTGATATTGATATTCCTCCCTGCAGTGACCGTGCTTCGTATCATAGTTAAGGAAGCACCTCGCCTGTTGGGGTCGTCTGTTGCACCGTGTTCAATGTCGATGCAGACATCACTGGCGCCGCCGTAGACGCCGTCAGTTAATGTGCATTGAGCGGTGCAATTGAAGTAGTTGTTGTTCTGTCGTTTTGAGAGGATATTGGAGTTGTAGACTGGCTCGATGACGTTTGGTATGAACACGCCGCCTTCATCGAGCGAGGCGTCGTTGGAACCAGCATGAGCTATGGCTGGGAGCACGGTGAGGAGGAGAGAGAAGAAAATTGTTCCAAGATGGAGGAGCATTTTGAATCGTACTGGGTCGATGGTGGGCAGAGATGATATTTAGCAGTAACCTCTCTGAGATGCGACTATGCGGACATTATAAGAAATTATACTTGAGCAATTACGCCCATGGACGCAGATATGCCGCTGACTCGATCCTGATTATTTTGACCAGGATCGTTAAGTCGTAGTCGAGGATGGTATGCTCGAAGGCTATCATTTAAGGCTTAGCCGCATCGAAATTAATTGGAGGGGACTACTCCGCTAGACCCCGAGACGCTAAACTAGTAAATGCAGTGATTGAATCCAACCAGGCGGGGTCGTGATTCGTCTCTAGTCCTAGTAACAGAGAGGTTACATGAGTCTGAAAGGATCGTGGCCGTCGACATCAGCTTGTCCAGCCACTTTCCCAGCTGAACTGAGACCAAGCGATTTACGCATGGCAGGAGATTATGGGCGGAACGTTACGACCTACCGGGTTTGTGCTTTGATTTGAAAGCCTGGGCTCTTTCGACTCGAGTACAGTGTCAACAACGGCACCAAGTGCCGGCGTACGATTAGGACGCTCGCCTTCTGACAAACGGATAACCAAACCAAACTGCAGCAGATCAAGTGTATCCGCTGCCAGTGAGAAGGAATGTCCCGACCAAGTCTAAGAAATGGAGCCACGCATGTTCTCGCCAGATAGACAGTGGATGTATTCTCCAAGCTGGGATATACAGAAAATGACTGAATAAGTGCTTGATACACCATTTTTGCACCGTGTGCCTCTTCCTTCTGGTTTGTAATCCGCTCAAGCCTCTTGCCAAAAACACGCGCAGAATCCCACAAACTAGCAGTTATTTCCCCAACAAACAATAGACTTCACATTAGCCCCAGCAGCCCCAAGGGGCTTGCAAATCCGATAGCCCGTATTCCATTCCAGTCCACCAAGGTAATTGCCCTGTCCATTGTACCCGTCGTACAGTGCACAGTTGATATCCCAGTAATCGCCGCTCGTGATGGCGAAGCTGCGCGCGTCGGTTCGTTGGTAGTTGTATGAACTCCACGAGTTTTTCCAGTTAATGGTAGTTATTGCTGAGCCTGTTTCACAGTTTCCACCCTTGTAGTAGGTAACACCGGCAATGACGCCACAAGTGGACCGTTTCTCGAGAGGGCTCGCTGGGGATGTTGGCGCCGCGAGGATGGCAGGTGCAAGGATGGCAGGTGCCAGGAGGAGTGAGAGTGAGGTGAGGTTGACCATAGTGTTCCGTTTATCACAGTGAAGAGGCTAGTAAGACTTAGATGGCTGAAGAGTTAGGAAGTGAGATATTGTGATGGAAGTGGCAAGGTGGTATATAAGTCTCAAATATATCGAAAGTCGGTGTGCTTAGTTACTCGCGTTCCATACCGCGCTACTGTCATGTCTGCTCTGGCTTGATGTTACAAGAGATGCAGGCAGCGCCGACTTTTGCAATCATGCAGCTGCAAATAAGCATATACATTCCGGCCTAGCGCCCGCTCATGGATGCTACCTGGAAATACTACCTTTCGCTGGCCAGTGGAGACAGTATAACCGAAGTGATCTTCTGAGCCCACGATTGACAACCTGTAGCCCTGATACAACGTATCCACGACCCTGTATATGCCAATCGCCTGATTTACTTTTTATAACCCGCAGCCACCGCAGCATGGCGGCTGAAGACATACACCAGGAATAATCAAACAACACGAATCGGACGTGAATCTCGAACTCCGATCCTGCCTTGGCCATATGTACACTAGGTATGTTGTCTCACCGCAGCGAGACCCACACGTTGAGAGAAATGGAGACGGATAGGTGCATAGTTCTGCTGAGCCTCGTTGAACCGGGTAGAGCAATCCCTCGTTCTAAGACATGCGTAGAACTTTACGCGAGCTGCAGTAATGTAGGATTTTAATAGGCTGTAGACAGTTGACGTCGGCCACCCCGAGAATCCATCCCAGTGGCTTCAACGCAGCGTCAGCTGGAGGTGGCAGCGGCGATTAGTTTCCAAGACATGAAGTCAGCTCGGATTTACGAGTTCGACCATAAATTCTCGAGCGTTCAGCTGAGCAATCATGTGCGTGGGTACGTGGGAATCCTACCAGATAACAAAGACAGATGGAACTATAAATAGGCGACTTGAATGACGCTTTGGGGCCGGTTCAAGTACAAACTACCTCGAAAAAACCTTTACCATTCCAGATATTTTCAGCCGTACACGGTCTAGACTAGTAAGGGAGTCCCAATCGCGAAGAGCCGAAGCACTGACACACAATGTAGGCACAAGATGAGGCCCATCTTCCTATTGTCCCTATGTTCTGCTCTGGCCACAACCGCATCCGCAACCACCCACGTTTATGTGAAACCCTGCTACCACGCAGACAGTTGCGAGACCTACGAATACGTTCAGGGCATCCTGTGGGAAATTGGCCAGTGCTCCAACTTCCCTCGCGGCATGGCTTCTTTTCGGGTCCTCCATGTGCCGAGTTACTGCACTTTCTATTCTGGCAGCAACTGCGAAGGGTCTGCGTGGAATGACAATATCGACAATACGTGGTTTAATTCGAACATTGGGTGGCTATGGTCGTTCAAGTGTATTTGAGTTTTGTTTACATGAGAGACTGGTAGTCTATGTGATGATTGGAGTGATGCGTTTGACAGGGTTATATCGCCACATGGACATAGCAACCTCTGACTGGAATGACTTGCAATATTGTCTCATTCCGCGGGCTAGCTGTATAGAGAAGATACCCCCGTAGCCCAATTGAGTTTTGTCAATGGCGTCACGTCCATGTGCAGGAAGAATAGCCGATGAAGTAGCTACTTCTCCATAGTCTAGCCTATGTAGAGACCTTTCAGCTGGGAATGGAACCCTGGAGCACTGTACTGCCAGTAATGCCATATCTCCATCGATTGTGGTACAGACACTATGGCCTGTCGTGATTTGATAGGTAGTGCAGTACCAAAAAATAGGATAGTCTAAGCCTCATGACCCGAGTCGGTGGGGATACCAATGGAATATGCAGTCAGCGTCGGCCATGCTGCTCTATCCCTAGCGACTGACTTTTTTTCCTAGACAACAAAGCTGCAAGGGCAACGTACTAACTTCGCTTCGTTGATTCGTGCAAAGAGGTCTCGACCGTCGGCTTCTCCGCTTTCTGGTAAGCACATTCGTAGTTGCCTTGCATCAGCTTTCTTCAGACGAAGTTGTGGTATCGTTTGGATTGAGCCTTGACCTATTTCCTATTTGGATTCAACCTTGACCAATTTCCTATTTGGATTGAGCCTTGACCTATTTCCTATTTGGCCTACATTGCGGACTAGCGCCCGCATTGCCACATGCAAGTAACTGACATCCCGCTAGTGGCGGCTTAGTCTTACGCCGCAGGAGTCAGTTACAATCAATTTGCAGAACATCGGATGCTTCGGTAGGGTCTGCAGAACTAAGCACTGACGCACCTAGGGACTGACCAATCGGTAGTCGTCGCCCATGTTTACCAACTTCCGAGGTTGGTATGAACACCAGGAAGCAAGGCCAGGTCGAAATGACGCAAAAGCCAAATATACTGACACGCCAAAGTGCCACATACTGCCACGCCCCTGGTAGCAAAACCTGGTGTCATCACTCCTTGCCTACTAAGGTACAGTCCGCACGCGGATAAGAATTTGGAACGCCATAAGCTTGACGAAACGATAAGGATGGGTATTCTAATGCTTAAGCCTCAATTTCCGCCGACGATTTAGCCAGTCATACGTTCTCCAGCAGTCCAGATAGAGAGATGCCCCTTCACTGCGAATACATACAACGGGCTGACCATGGCGCAGACTAAACCACGCCCGATCATCACTGCAGGGGCTACTGGCCACCACTCCAACCAGGCAGATCCATGTGTGTGCCTCTGGGGAGCACCTGATCCAGGTATCCATAGACGTTTTGACCAAGGAATCCTTCAAGGTTTGAACGAGGTTTTGCAGAGTACTGGCGTTGACCGAGAAATAATCATCGAGTAGATACCAGAATATTAAAGCTGCGGCCTGGCAGGATTGATCGATTCCGTTGGAGGTAGATGGATGGTCATTTTCTGGTGCATCATGGCGTTGGCTGATCTTTTGTTGTAGCTGATTACGCCACTTGATCTTGGTGGAATTATACAAGCTCTCCTCTCCTGTTGAAGCCACGTAATATCCATCCAAATATCTGCAGATGAGGCTGATGTCCTGGAAGATGGTGATCGCTTCGGGGGAAAGGTTATAGTATCCGGTCTGATGCGCAGCCCGCTTGAGAGCGGCCGTGACTAGATTTGTCGGCGGCGCCAATGGTGTTGGTGGAATATCCAGACCCGGAATGTCAAACTCAGAGTCGAATATAACCGCCTCTGTCAGGACACATCTGCTGGGGTCAGAGGCTCCGTTGGCCGTTGGGCGGCTGAATCGATAGGGGCACTTACACGGGTATTAAGGCTGTAAAGAAACCACCAAAGCCCATCTTATGAAGTCCTCCTTTGACTCTGAGCAACTTCATCAGGCCTTCCCTATGAATCCGGGATGAGTCCTTGTCACTCCTCATCGACTATATTGGTTAGGGATTGATTTCTAAGACACAGTGCAAAAGTGGCTCACCGAGAAGAAGACTAGCGGAGGAATGCATGCAATCGTCCCCTCGTCCAGCGCACCACCAGGAGAAGCTAGCTTCTCGCGAAGGAGCCGCAGTGCCATAGTATAGTGGTATATTGTGATAGGATTATCGCTTTTGCGCTGGAAAGCATCCAGGTGAGCAGATGCCGCGAACAACGTGGCATGGAAGAAGCAAGGGTCGGCCAGGGCTTGGGAAACCCAACCAGTGCGCAGGATGAAGGCAAGACTGCCATTCTCGACCTCGAGCGGTGCCATTCCGAACGTCTCAATGACTATTGGATGAAGCCGTTTCGAGCCTATGGTCAGGACATATATACTTGCAAAAGCCGGTCTTAGCTATGTCTGGGAGATCATCCACCTACAAGAATGCAGTAGTATAGGCATGTGTTTCTGCGTAGGAACGGGAAATGACACCTTCGCATCTACTCGTTGTAGACCTAGCGAATCTACAAAGTAGGACGTAGAAGGACTGTGAGCGATGGTAGTGACTGAACCATTCCAATACGTGCACTCAGTTTGACGTCTATCAACGTCAGCAGCCGTTACTAGGGCAGACAGAGCATTAGGATAGCCGTACCGGGTACATCGTGTGCAGCTGGGCAATCGCCTGTCACATCGTCTCTTTCCGGCCTTGCACGCCAGACAAGCTCGATTGGCCTGTTGCTCATCTGCTACCGGTGGTAATCTGTCTCGGGTCGCATCTATCTGTTTCATTCGCTGAAGAGAGAGGTGAAATATCTCGTCCTGAAGTCTACGGTGAGCTTCCAAGGGAAACACAGAAGCACCCTGTGCTAGGACGAACTGGGGCCCGGCGTAGGAACATTCTCGCCGAAGACTAGGTATCGAGTTAAAACCAAACAAGTTTCCGGCCTACGGGTATCCCTTACCGTCGACACGTAGAGCAGACAGGGATAGCTCGATCACATCTGCGTTTCTTCTGAGCGCATGACACGCACGCGTTATCCGCGGTAACTGCCACTACTCCCACAACGCCCGTAGGTTCAATATCCCTCATCCCAATCATAAGAGGGTCAAAAAACCTTGAGGTTGGGTTCACGATGAACAGAAGAATGATGAAATAGCGATGGAAATAGCGAGGGAAATAGGTTCTTCAGCTGCTTCCCCTAAAAAGTCGGCGAGAGCTGACGTGGGATTGAAGCTAAATTCACTAACCAACTATCGAGTAGCCAAGACGCTAATCTATCAGCCACCTGGTCAATTTTTCCCCGCGGAGATAACAAGGCGAGCGCCCCCCTTTGGCGAACAGCTCTCTGTCTGCGCTTTCCAGTCATCCATCTCCTTGAGTGTCCGTTCGATGTCACCGCGTATCAAGGGAATGGTCTCTGCACCCATAAGCAAACGCACAGGGAGCGGTCGTTCTTGCTGGCCGACCACGGTGTTGACGAGGAGCCGTGCGCAGATGTCGGGATCGCTCCAGGTATCCTGAGACGCCGGATTGGCCACGTATTCCAGCAGTTGGGTGAGGGGACTGCCGGGGTGGTCATAGGCGGGATGCCGTGGCGTCGCCTTGACACTGGTCGAAGCGAAGTTCGTGCGCACGCCACCCGGCAGCACGAGAAGAAACTTGATGTTCCACGATGGATCCATCTCCTTAGCCACAGATTCAGTGAATCCCTCTAGGGCAAATTTGCTAGCCTGGGTGGTTAGTCAATTCCCGTGAGACAGTATGACAGAGCAGGGAGGCTATGTACCTAGCATGGTAGAACGCATTCCCCGGAAACCCCATCCATCCCCCCAGAGAAGAAATCTGCACGACTGTTCCCCCTTGGCCCTGTCCATTGACTTCACGGAAGATCCGCACGGCTCCGCGAGTAATCCAGACCGGGCCCCAGAAGTTAGTTTCCATCTGGTTTCGGGCCTCCTCTTCCGGGACGGCCTCGGTGTCCCCTCTGAGCCCGTATCCTGCATTGTTGATCACCACGTTAATCTGTCCAAAGTGGCTTACTGCAGCATCGAGGGCTGCCTCAATCGATGTGGCGGACGTCACGTCCAGGCAGAGCTTGAGCACCCTGGGGCCATCGGGCAGGTACGAGAGGGATGTAGTCGAGCGGGCGGTTGCCACGATCCGAAAACCAGCGTCATACACGGCCTTTGAAATGGATTTTCCAAGACCAGAAGAACATCCGGTCACTGATGCGTCAGGTTAGAATCCCAATATTTGGTATGGAGCAGTCATTATACATACCAAACCACACGTAATTAGAGTCAAAGCCCATGATTTCAGATTGTGAATGACGGGATTTCCTTCTGGAGGGATATGAAATGTAAGCGGCATGCTGCACATATATAGGAAATGGAAAAGACCCGTTATTAAGAGGGCCCGGATTTCAAATCAAAGACATAAGCATATCTTTTTTTGTTTGCGCCGAATGATGAGGTAGGCTATCTAAATGAGCTCGCGGGCGCTAGTCCGCAGTGAATCACCTACGATTCGCCCGCTGCTGTTGGGGTCTGTATTTCAGTAGCTCGTTTCTCAATGCTTGCGCGCTCGGACACGGAACAGTTGATCAGTAGGTACAACGTCCTGCGCCCTCATCCTACTGTGGCTTTTTGCTTCGCCAGGGGCTTTGGAAGACGTAGTCAAGGAAGTGAGATCATTGCGTCATAGCTTACACCCCTCCGTACCTTCAGACGGACAATCCAGCAAGTACTACAACTAGACAAAAAATAATCTTGAATTTTCATCCTCTCTTTTATGCTTCGATGTTTCATGAGCACTCTTCCCACCACCTAATGATCTTCCCGCACAGGTTACGCTTCAGGGACACGACCTACGGCGCCTTTGATGTCGTGCATGCAAGGTTTCTGAAGTACGCGTTTCGTAAGACAGAGTGGGAAGCCGTCCTTCGCAACGTGATAGCTCTCTAAGTACGTCACCGACTTATGTTCCAAAACTAGGTGCTGATTATATAGGATCAGTAGAGACCTGAGGTTATCTCCTTTGAGAAGAATCAGACTATAGCCTATGCAGCTCTATTCCGTCATCGTTGGCATTTACTGAAATGGTGAATGTTGATATTGAATCTGCCCTACAGTGCGGGCGGGACATCAGGTGCGACAAGGCATCCATCAGGGTTACCTGAATAGAACTGATCCAAATACAAGAGGCATAGCGAAACTCTCTCTCACCTCTTTGAGTCAGTTGGGCTTACCCACCGTGGCCAGGCCACGCTGTTTTCAGTTTTCAAACGATAAACCGAAAGCCCCTCTTTACCCATTTCGTATGTCCAGCTGTTTTGGAGCGCTAGATCTCCCACAAACTTGGTTCCGCTCTGCAAGAGCTCAGAGACACGGTCCAGCAGAGTGGCCACTGCGCTGCCAGAGGTGGGATATCGAGAGCCATGGCAATGGATCATATACATTTGTGTGATGTTAGGCCCCCCCGGTGGTGGATACTCGTCCACTCCGAACCTAGAGGGGTTTGGCATATATGGGGCTTTGCTGGAGGTTAGCACTGCATCAAGACCATCTTTTGAGGCATATCGAGACATACGAAAGATCTCCCATGTGTTGGAAGATTTTGGCCCATTTGAACGCCCAGGAATGCCAGACGCCGGCCGGTTAATAGTTGAGTGACCACCAGCGAATCTCGTCTTGCTGTACCCCCTGATTAACCAGCTACGTACTGAGACCAGTGATCTCAAACGGTTAGTACCCGCGACGGACCTGTGGGAATGTGAAGCAGATAAAACGGTAATATTAGCTATCCGCAGGAGCTACCTTTGGCACCGGTGTTGGGGATTTTTGTGGTCTCCTTTGCCCAGCTCAAACTTTGCTAAATGCCCACTGCACCGACTCGTCGGGCCATCTTGACCCGGCCAATTAGGAGAGGAATCACCGAACCGTAGCTGCCTAGAGTAAGGGACCGTATGAGGTATCTAGGAAGGCTTGGCACTTTTCACTGATTTAAAGGGGCACAAACAGGGGTGCAGTTCAGCAAATTCTCAGGGTATATAGGGTAAAGTTAAGACCTTAATGAGGTTTAAAGTTACCTTACTGGGTCCAAAACCTCACTAAAGTCTCATTTAGCACATTTCATCAACCATCAAATTTACCACCCCTAGATGAGGGTAATGACAAAAATAAGAGAAAGCATCTACAATCATCAGATTCATTCTATCAAAATCAATACTCCGTACGCTGGTCAGCATGGATGATTGGAACCGCCCTTCTGTCAAGTTCCGCTGCAACTACCTTGATTCCCGAGCCACCACCTGGGGCTACCTAGTCATTCGCACCAGCTACGACCCCGCCCTTGAACTAGCATGGCAGCGCACTTTGCAAAAGATTAAAGATACCGTCTACTCCGCCATCGAGTATGAACTCCGATATCCCCAGTCATGGATGAAGCTCTCCCATCAAGACCGCATCCGCATCCAAAATGAGGGGTTCTCCTCTTTGGGACTCCTCCCGCCAGACCCTGCCCCGGTGGATAACCTTAAGAATAGGTTCAGACTCAGCCTACTAGAGGATCCAGCTCAGTACCGCGGTCTCTCCGCCCCTCAGGTTCGAGAGAAATTTGATGAGTGGTGCATGCAGCATACGCAGCAGCTCGCCAGAGAACGGGGAGTGATATTGGACGACCCCTTGACTGAACTAGGGCCGGCCCCTGTTTCAACCGATGTCTGTCTCTGGATCGACGACGAGGTTCTCAGGGTTGTGGATGGCGACATTAAGAATGAGTTTGGTGAGGGCCCGTATGTCAAGGCTGTTGAGCGGCGACCTGCGCTGAGTCCTGACTACGATGGCTGGTTCAAGGTGGAATTGGGTTATCTTTGGATGATGTATGGACGCGCCTTCAACAGTGGCGGATTGGATCAGTTCCTGCCACCGAAAAGGCAGAAAACGGGGGAGAGACCCATCTGGAATGGATCTTGGCCGTTTGACGTTGAGATGGAGTCGTTGGGGATGGATGAAAGGGAGATGGAGGAGTATTATATGAAGGGGATTGAAGATTGACTTCTGCGTCTCGCTACGAACAGGGCTGGCCAACCAAGAACTCTGTATATGTTAAAGTATTTATAGTCCCGGCGAGTGTCCCATTTCATCTCTGTACTGGGCCTTGTGCTTTTTTGGCGTGAGAAATGTTTTCTGGGTGGCGCCCATGTGCCTCCGAGTAGGGTGGGTTCCGAGGGCTCCAACGGCTAAGAAACCAGTGACAAAAATTGAAGCCATGGGATGGATCCACTCAACTGGGATGGCTAAACCCCCGAAGATCCTCTGGACATGGTTCTACTGCGTGGATGGAATGTATCTATCGGATGTTTTATTGTTGCGTATATGATATTATGACAGACAACAGGATAGGAGGAGGAGGCCACGACTGAGATGACAAATGACAATGTATCAAGATGGACTTCTCAGGTGGACTAGACATATCTGGAGTTGGCTCAGCGACGCGACAAGCAACACAACACGCCCGTCTTCCCCAAAAACCAAAGAGCACCTAGAAACCGAAAGATTGAGAGACCTGATGTCGCCCATAAGATCACTTTGAAGTACCACGCCGTGCGGTCGGTCGATGTAGTCTGCCGGTATTCTCAGCCCAATCCTCTGGATGCAAATGTTGATCGGAGTAAACATACCGTCAAGCATAAATTTGTCACGCTAGCATTGTTGATCAGCAACGCCAACAGGCAATTAGACAAAGCCCACAGGAGCACGAGATTGGTTCGGAAAGTTTTATACGAGTCATCCAGTTGCGCTTCCTTTTTCTCCGTCGGCTTCTGCCACGGTGCCAGGGCGCGTCGGACAGTAAGCTCGAATTCAGTATCAATGTCGGCCTGAGGCTTGTCCACCTCCTCAACAAAGGTTTTCTGGGCATCTGTTTTCTTGGTCTGCGCTGAGGGGAGGGAAGCCGCGTCGTCGGAACCCTTTGTACCCCACGAGACGTCATGCCAGTTGCAAAACGCGTAGACATTGAGAATGTTGATGGTTGACGGCATCCCGAGAAAGTATGCCCAGGAAGACGTCAGAAGATGCCAAGGGTCACAGTAGAGAACGCTCGCTATGAAATAGGTCCCGTAGGTCGACGCCAGCGCGACCAACACGAGGCCTGTCGTCGAGGTGAAAAAGGATCCCAACAGCCCTTTGGCCCCATGATCAAGGTCGAGATCCATATTGCCGCCGCTAAATGCCTGAGTCACGAGGTAAAATGAAAGAATGAGGATGTATAACTGAACGAAGGAGAAATAGAGGAAGGATAGAATGTACGCAAATTGCGACCTAGATAGGACCTTTGTTGTTAGCAGACACCTCCATGGCTGACACAATGGAATTACCCTTTAGGCCGATTCCCGAGCGCAAGGAAGAACTGCTGCATCAAGAACGCCAAGTATAAAGCCTTGATGACATTATTGACGACCGGCGAAGCGTCGTTCCCAAAGGGCCACCCCTTATTCTTATTTGTCGCACTTGGAGTCCCCACGATGTCCATGATCACCGAGGTAGTAAGCCAGTAGGATGCTGCCTTGATTAGCCCTCTTCGCCCGCCGATGGGAAAGGAGACATACCGAGAGAGAACCACGTCATAGTTAGTTGGCAAATATTATATAGCAACTGCACGTGGAGGAAGACAAGTCGAAGGATATTGTGCCCACTTTTGTAGACACGGCTGAAGTGCATCACCGCATACAGGCTTGCGGCGAATGATCCATTGAGCCATCGGCGCCTTTGACTGAGAAATTCCGCCGGCGCTGCGACCCTTACTATAAAACCTGGAAGATATTTTGGGAGAAGAGTCGGATGGCTTACCTTCCGGGACATCAGTCTCCCCTCTGGATGCCTTCACATAGCTCAGTGTCCATTGGGACCCTGTCTTTGCAACCAGCTCAAAGCACAAGATGCGGTCCTCAGCCAAGAACATATTCTTCTTAAAGATATTCATCCCGTCGATCCCTTTCTTGCCTAACCTTTTTGACAAAGTATGATCTCCATGGAAATACTGCTCCAGAGGTCGACCCATGATAGCACGGTAGCGGTAAGCGGAAAACGCCCCCGGCAAGACACTGACATACCCAAAGACGCTCTCCAAAGGCTTGTCCAAAATATTCGAGATTTTGTACTCAAAGTTCTGCGCGGCTACCAAGGGATTAGCCAGCTTTTCCCAGCGAGAACCGAGCAGGGCATGAATCTCGCCACACGATCCTCCTAGGTTTTTATTGTTGTAGAACGCTTCCCATAGCGCAAGAAGGGATTTACGGCCCGGTTTCGTGCCCGCATCAATCAGGATACATATCTCCGGATGCAGAATCCTTCCAAATGCATTGAACAGCCAGCGGTGAGAGTTGATCTTCTTGCTGTTCTTTTGCTTCAGGCAAAAGATCATCTGCACCGGCGGCAAGTTGGCTGGATCATCGCCCAGCGGACGGACTAGCTGCTGGGAGGGAGTGAGCGACAATTGGGTGGTATACTCAAACTAGGAAAACGAGAAGAATTAGCCCTAACCACCGTCCATCGTTCGAGGGGGTACACAAACTATATGTGCCGCGGTCTCTTTGCCATCAACGTCATGCTTCATTATACCATCCTGATATATCCCGATGGTAGCCAGAACATCAAGAACATCCTTATCACAAGGACCGATACCATCGAAAATCAGGCATACCACAATCTTCTGCCATGCAGGGCCTCCTTTATCCCAGAACTGGGTTTTTTTCAGGTTCACAACATCTCGAATATTCTGCATGACCCCGTGGAGAGTTCGAGCTGTCAGGACCTTGTCTTCGTTGTAATAGGTGATTGAGATCAGAAGTTCGGTATGTCGATTATACATGGCGGTGCGCAAGTTATAGCCATTGCGTAGATTGAAGTCATCAGGGTCGCAAGTTGCAGCCGTGTCTACAGCATCGCGTCAGCCGCCAGTCAGTTGAGTGGCTCATTCTAGTCAGCCTTACATCGGAGATGGGTGAACTCTTCGGCATTTGTGCCATTTGGATCGCGGTATTTTGCTTCCACAGAGTTACGAATCGCGCTGGGAACTGGATAGTCGACGCTGAGAACAGTGTCATGGATGAGATTAATCCTGCGAGTTGGGTAGCGGCGTAGGCCTGAGGCTGCAATGACAGTCTGACGTCTCTGCCAGGATGTCATGCTGGCCACATCAGAGCCATGTTGCACTTGTGAGTCATCGTATGGATTCAGCTGTGCGATTCTCGGGTGCCAGGGTGAGCTGACAGAAGTGTGGCGGTCCTCTAGCTGCCCCGATAGCAGCGATTGCGAATCATCTCCGTGCTCGTTAGCAGTGTAAGGGTTGGACTAGGACTATGTCAGTTCATGTCTTTGGGAACTTGTATCGCTTTGAAGGAGTCGCACAATCGGAGATGTCAGCTGCCGAAGTGGATAGGGACTGCCATCTGGCTCAAAAGACAAAGGGCGTGACGGGTGGTCCTGTACATCGTCCATGTCTACTGATAGTGCAGAGTATCCTGACTTGGTTGACAAAACACAGCATACGCAGCAAAGAACGAGCACCTTCCAACGTCTGAAAGGGCTACATGGAACATTCTGTTTCTTCGTCTTGACGAGCTAGCTGCTACACGCGCACATCCTCCGAGAAGACTGTTTAGTGTAGGGTATCTGTACCATAGAATGCACCATCTGGTTCCACCTTGGATGGCCCACTCTTATGCCGAACCAATCACGGACAGCCGATCGAGGGTAATTATAGCCGGGAATCTTGGTTATTCTTCAAACTCCACAGCGTTCGAAATGAAAATTTATTGTTTCAGTTGAACCAGGACGTAGGATTTAGATTCATCGGGCACTGGTCCGTTGTGGACAAAGCAGCGGAACCATTGGATTACGGAGTATACCTAGGTAGACTTGCCGGGGGAGGGTTGCGATACCAAGAGCGAGTGAATAGCACCATTGCCTTTAGTTATATTCATCCTTCCGTATTCACTGTCACCAACCGAATCAATTATTCATTTCTGCTTGCATTGCTATATATACGCTGAAAAACTCCAGGTTCGGAACGACTTGCGCTGATACCCGTTATTGAGCAGGCCAATACTGTATCGGATCCGAACTCTGCATCATAGCCCTTCCCGCTGTCTCAAGTGGCATGAATCGTTGGATCACCTGCCGCATGGATATTCAAATTCAACTAGACAGAAAGCCACCTATCTACACAAATGAAGATGTGATATCGGGCCGTGTCATACTCCGCAGTGAAGCGCAGATGGACATTGCCACGATAACGATCAATCTGTCGGGGACAGCGACCTCAAGGCTGGACTTAGGCAAGCTTACTGAATCACATAAGGTATATTCTGATCCGCCATACTGCAGGTTCTATAGGCTGATTTCATGATGGGAAAGCTTTTCCAAAGGAATGAACAAATCTTCCCGCCCAGAACCTGCGCGGGGTGGTTTACATCCGCGGCCGTGACGCTCTCTTCAGGAGAGCACTCTTTTCCATTCTCAATCATGGTTAGTAATGTCTTTTTTCCTGACATCAAGTCAAGTGCATCGTGTAATATTTCATGTTCCATAGTTCCCCCAGGTCGCGGAATGCTACAAGAGTAGCACTGCAGATGCTGCTCGCAACCAATTGGGAAGCCGTCAGCCGCACCATCTCTTACGGAACCTCCCACCGTCTTCTGGGAATAAATATACGCCCGAGGAGATTAGGTATACTCTCGAAGCGAGCGTCGTGCAACAGGGGCTCATACGCCGGACCCACAAAGCAGTGAGTCCCGCGCCTCAAGTGAAATGTGCGCTGTCCTGACATCAAGCACCAGACGCGGGACGTATCCTTTCATCCGGTATCTACCATCCGGCAACCGTTACATAGCTTGAAAATCAGCAAGACCGTGAATCTTAGCACAATTGCCTCGGAGCTACTATGTCCACCCCTGACCTACGAGGTCGAGGTCGAACTGCAGAACGGACCATTCCTCCTGCTCGGACACCCCATTGCGCTGGGAGTCAAAATCATGCACATGAATGGCGAAAAAAATGCGATATCACTGCAAGATTTCCAGACCATGCTCCGCGAAACGACAGAGATCCGAGCACGCGGGTCGATACAAGGCTTTACTCGATCGTGGGTCGTACAGACGATGACGAATTTGCGCCAGCCACTCGTGGCTGCGAACAGGCCAACGGTTGGATCTGTATTGGAACTCGATGACAGACTATGGAGTCGACATTGCGTACCGGTACACCTGGCTCCCACATTTGAAACGTGTAATCTCATCCGACGCTACAAACTTGAAATCAGACTTGGCATTGAATTTGGCCGAAACTACGTGAGTCACTACGGTAGCGTAGCACCGCCAATGATAGAAGTTGACGTTTGTTGCAGACAAGAATCCTGGAGTTTGAATTCCCCGCGTATGTTTTGTTGCCCTCATTTACACGATTTACGCAATCCTGTGTCGGAAGCCTGGAGCCTATACTAGACCGATGGGAGAGACATGTCCCCAAAAAGGAGTAATGTTGTTCATTCGATGATTGATTGGTATTCTCTTGAGCATTTATTTCCACTGTATACTGTGCTTTCGAGTTGTATTGCCTGCACACCCAGAGAGCCGTATTGTATGACGGAATGGGATACCTCCCGTCCGCTAGAAGAGGTGAGTCCATGGAGCCTCTCCGTAAGTACCCACGATTTAAAACATAACTGCCGCCGGAGAGATCGGTCGAGGAGAATAGGAAGACTGTCGCTTGTTTGGAGTACAGTCTGAACTATCATAGAACACCATGGTCTACTATACAGGGGAAACAGTCCAACCCATAATCAACGCTAGACCCAACCCATTGCTCCGGTTATAACAAGCCCCAGTAACCCCAATGCAACCTTAGTCGGGATCTGGCTGCGATAGGAGAACGCCGCACTCGCGCTTGATTCGGTCTCAGTGGCCGTCGAGGAGGTGGGGGATCCAGTTGTCCCCTTGTCGCCCTTCGAGGATGATGTGCCTGTAGCTGTCGCAGTGGGATACGACGTCGCCGTTGCGGTAGCGTTGGTTACACCAGAGCACCATACATCCTCCCAGGCTACTCCAGCCTTGTACAGACAGTCGGTAAGGTCTTGAACGGACTGGTCCACGGCCAGACTCCACAGAGCGCAATCGTGGTAGTATGGTCGGGGACCGGCAGGCTTCGCACAGGCGTCGAAGAGAGATTGATAGTTTTTGATATTTGGGACACCGCAGGCGGCGTCTTTGACTGGAAGTTCGTATTGTCCTGGGCCGCCGCAGGTCGCTGAGGCTGCTGCCGCAGTAATGGTGGTGGTTGTGGCGGATGGCATTGTGGGAGGGTCCGGTTGCGAGAAGATTGAATGACTGGAGAGGGCATTAGGAATTATTATTTATGATTAGGTAGTATTCATATGCCGTCACTCTTGTCAAGGTTTCAAGGACTTCAAGTGTGATCCACATTCCCTGCCGGCTATTTATAGTCGGAATAACTGGATAAATTACCACCCCCAGACCCTGCCAAGCAGCGCTAGAGCATCGAGATAATCGAAGAGGCGAGAGCTCCACCTAGAAACAACTGTCTCAACAATGACGAAACCGATCATCGATGTCTGTTGCTTCTTTGGTTCGGAACAAGAGGCTCGGGAGGATCGACGTTGGGTCAGTGAGAGACGGAGCGGAGAGTCGGCAATATAAATTCGACTCACCATCTCCGGCAGTTGGCGATACAAACGAAGATCAATATCATTCTTCCGATAGCTACGAAGTCTCTTTCAACATGCGCTTCTCTTTGATTACTGTCATTACTCTCGTTGGGACTGCGTGCGCCGCCAAGGTTCGAGAATCCCATTAAAGTCCAACTATTCGTCTGCGGTGCTAATCAATGCACAGCTTCCTTCCGGTGCTCCATGCAAGCAAGACGGGAGCATGGGCGTTTGTGAATCGAACTTGTGTGTGGTATGTTATGTCCATCGCCTGAATGCTTTACTCACCGTGGAGCTAATTGTTACCCATGTAGCAAATCCCAAACCAGGCGCAGGGCGTATGCAAGTGATATATCTATCCACGTGAAGTCGTACAGGACGAATGAGGTGGCCTAGAGGTCGGGCCCGGAAATATTGGCAGTAGCTCAGTTGGGATTTACTTCCTGGGCCCAAATTCACTGGCGACTATATTTGTTGAAACCAAGTTTCGGCTATGCGTATTTGCGCTACGGCTATGTCGTTCTTTCGATGAAATTCAAGACATTCGTTTATCCGGTTACCAGTTTCTTCTAAAATGCGATAGAGGTTGAACGGAGGAATGAGGCACTGCGTATCGCACATTGTGTCGCGGGAGATCCAAGGCTCTTCCAGTACTGTAGAAGTCAAGCTCTAGGCCGTGCAAGCAGTAATCCAGGAACGCAGCGATTAGGATCAAGGATATTCGAGGTTGTAACAGGGCCTCCAGGCTTTCCCTTTCCCGAACCGGCAACCTAACGAATCGCAGCTCCCAAACATCCGACGTTCCAGGAATTAACTCCAATATTATTACATCAGGAGGTGCGACATCGCTACTGAGCTTGGTTCCTTTAGATCTTCAGGGGACAGTATTGACGGTTTATAACGAAGCTCTGCGGAAGGTATTCCAAATTGGGTTGATTATGGCATGTTTGACCATTCTGGGGATTGCCTCGCTTGAGTGGGTGAGTATACTCAAGAAGTCGGAGACTAACTAGTCCTGGTGTCAAGACTGGTGATGCCCCCAAAGAGGAGCAACAGCACTGTCTAATGCCTTCCTCAAGATGACCTGAGATTCTCCACCCAACATTTTTGGTTACATTGAATACAGTTACAGCAGATATAATATATATCTTAATGAATAAGGTCTCTGTTATTCTGTATCTCTGCTTATATGAAGTATGTTATAACATCAACTGTGTCACTGTATAGGCCACAGCTCAAGTAGAACAGACGGACATGAATGAAACCCTGGATAGCCCTGAATATACTAGCACCCTCACGTCAGGCACTGTGGCGATGGGCAACGGCACAACCGGACACCTTTGCGTAGAACTTCTTCCCCCTCCCTCGCCGGGGAAATGACGGCAGTGTAGCAATAAACCTCGAAACTGGGTTCTTTTGCGCATATTTTAGAATTCGAATCGCTCCTTCATGTCTCCTTTCAACTGCCCAGCACAGCGCACAGGAGCCCCGGTTGTCCAATGCGGATGGATCAACTCCCTTTCTCAGAAGCAGCTGGACGGTGGACTCACGTCCGTTCCAAGCTGCTATATGCAATGCGTTCCGTCCATAATTGTCCACAACTGTAATATCTGCACCAGCCTTCAGGAGGAGTCGCAGACATTCATCTGCCCCGGAAATCGCAGCAACCAACACTGCAGTGTAGCCGTGGTTGTCTCGCACATTAGTTTTAACACCATAGTCAAGTAACAGTCGCACAATATTAGCGTGATTACCGAGGGTCGCGCGCTGCAGTACGGTCTCCCCAGTCTCTGTTCGAATGGATGGATCTGCTCCAGTGTCAATAAGCGCCATGACAGCGCTTGTTCGACCCAGACAAGCTTCATAAAAAAGAGGGGTCAGCCCTCCAGGCATCGCTCGGGGATTAAGGTCCACACCATCTCTTCTAATTAGCTTCTGGAGGATAATTGTGTCCCGTCCAACCGCCTCATGCAAGGGTGTTCGTCCGTTGTAATCCGCCGCGGATGGGTTTGCACCGTGGTCCAGCAGCAACTGGACAATTCCAGCTTCTTCAGCCTCGCAGGCAAGATGAAGGGCGGTCCTTGCGCTATTGTCCTGGGCTGATATATCTGAACCAGCATGAATCAGTGCTTTTACCATCTGTTCATCACCATTCCTGACCGCTTGATGGAGAGGAGTCCATCCTTCATAGTCAGGGATGGAGCTCTGCGGGATCCATTGTGCAAGAGGTTTGATGAGATTTTCAAGGCCCTGTTCCACAATGTGATACAAGATGGTGTGTCCATCCTTATCTTTAGCCTGTAAATGCCGAGAGTGGAGAACGGGGAGAAGGTGGGGAATGCCCAGAATCAAATTTAAGAGATCCGAAGATCCTAAATAGTCCGCGACCCTCAGAATCAGCTCTAAGGGGAGGTTCTGAGGACTACGAGCCGCCATGGTTGTCATCGAAGAAACATACCAGATGAAAAGAGACGCGTTTGAATCCAGACAGCAAGAGAGAAAATGCAACAGAGTCATGTGACGGCGCGGGGCAACAGGCCAACAGGGCAATGGGGCAACTGGGCACCGGCGGCGCAGGAGTCGTCCAACAATTCTCCAACAACAATCGAACAAGTCTCGGTGGAGCTGCGTGGTAACGAACAGACGGCCTTTTTGTCCTGGCGAGACGACCACTGAAAGACACAAGCATCGTCTGAGGTGCCTCTGGTACATTTCCCCCAATGAACACCTTTCCTGGCCACTGCTTTACCAACCTCGCCTCTTTTGACACTTAATCATTCATCGCTGCTGTCGCCAGAACACCAGCTGGGGAAGAGCGGGCACAGATCAACGCCGCAAGTCGCCGGCTCGCGAGCTGCCTTTTTTAACTGTACAGCAGGCGACCTTCTTTCTGTTCCAGTCGCAGGACGATCTGGAGTCGCCGTACGTGGCTCGATCGATGGCCAGCTCGGGGGAGGCGCAGGCGGCGTTGGCACAGTTGGTTCCAGCATGTAGGAATCCATGGTGTGAGACACAGAAAGTTGGAACTCTGAGTGGCAAGGCGACTGATTTTATAGTTCTAACTAGCGTGGCGCCAAGGCTGTACCTAGTTTATGCCTCTCCCCTGATGATGAGATCCAGCGTTAATCGTATGCTCGAGACTATGTATTCTTCGCGGGAGGTGAAAGGGCCAGGGGCACGCGTCTGCGAGTCAACATAGTCAGTCAATGATTCCCTCGCAAAGGCCTAACATGGTCGGTGCCGGGCTGGTCTAGAGTGCTCATGAAGTCAAACAGGAAACGGGAATGCTTTGAGTTTGATGTAAATGTCTGCAGGTGGCTGATGATCTTTTTCCTCTGTTCTGGGGTTGTCGGAGACCACCGTAGCGAGTTCCCAGGTAATCTCAGCATAAGGATATATTCGACGCCGGTCGGATCAGCAGTCTTAAAGTTATAATCAAATACTCTCGGAGAAGGGACGTCAGCCCTGCTCAACAACTGAAACCTTGCGACTTCGCTTCGCATAATGTAGCGTTGAAGATCTGGCGACGATGACGGGCCATTGAATCTTCGAATGCGCGCCTGCTAGCTGATTCCGTCTTCGAACTGGATTTGAGTACGACAGTTCATGCCGCCCATTACCGGGGTATGCTTTGCATGATCATACTGGCACCGACTGTGGCAAGTGCAGGGAACGCCATTGCGCGAATGGCTTGCTCGAGCGAGGAGTGCTGGGATGTTGATTTTGGTCAAGAGTTTTGGGATCTCCTTCTTCTCTGCTTCTTGAGAGATTGGGTCATATAGCTGTTCCTCCTGTTTAAGAGATAGCTGATGCGGTGTGTAATGGGGACATATTCTCACTTCCCTACTTGCGCAGCTATGATATTCTGAGCCAAGATGTTTGGCGCAGAGATGGCCATCACAAATGATGCATTGCCATATATGCGAAACACATGCTTTGCTGCAGTTTGCGAGATGACAATTCCACATGGCCATGGCTGTAATTGCAGTTGACAGTATTTCGCTATAGTCTGATTTGTTCGAGGATAGTTGGTAGATGACGAAGCGGCTAGTGATTGATGAGCTGCTTAGCTGCAGCAAAATTCGATCTAATCCTCCAACCCCTCCTTATTGCTTACTCTCAACTCATGTAGCTAAACTAGAGAAGAAAAAGCACATATAAGCCCTGATGAAGTGTCACACATCTCTGCTTCACTTTTCCACTTTATCCCTTTTTTTGTAATCTATCTATCAATAATTGGTCGAATACACGAGACATCTATCTGCCGCATCCATCAACTGGACCATCCCATAAAATGAGATTCCAAACCTCCATCTATCATAGTATGAGACAGCTTTAGCCTTCACAATGTCATCCTGCATGCGGGGTCAGGCTGACACAGTGTTCAGGATGGATTCCCATGATCGGGTTCCACCATGTTATAATGGTAGTCTGTTCAATTACAATCATCCTTCTATGTAAGACTTAGTGCAGTGTTTGCTTAACTTTGAATGCTGTACTCACAAATCCCAGCTATTCTTCTCGCCGGATGCACCTCCTCCAACGGCTTAAGCAACGTGTATCTGGTTTCCCTGCAGTACAGAAATGCTAGTACCTCGGTCCCCGATGATCCTGTGCTGGTAAACCCAGGCATTGCGGAAAAAGTTTACAATGTCTCGCACGGCAATAGCACAATTCGCGAAGTGCGCGCGGGCTACATGGGCCTCTGTTTGACCCTCAGCAACGGGGCACAATTGTGTTCTGGCAGTGCCTCAGCGCTGGCTAGTATGGTCAAGGCGGAGGGGATGCAGGGCAACGACACTGGCGCTGCTGACCCACTGAATATAATTTGGATTGCGCAGAATTTCAAAGAGAAGATTGTTTTTGATGGGTTGATGTAAGTCGCGGTATTCGTCTTCCCATTGTTCGCTTGTCTACGTACGGAGGTTTTATTGGCCTAGAGTGTGATTGTAACATGAACAGATTCATCGCTGTAATCTTGACCTTCCTGTGCTTTATTCTCCTGGCGACATTTCCAGGATGGCACGAAGAAATTGACGAGAACGGGTCGGAGCGCGAAGTCAAGCCCTTCCCGTCTCGGCCGGTGTCGCAGGCTGCGCTGGGGTTGAGTGCGCTGGGGTTTATGTTCGGCTTGGTCTCCATTCTCTGGCAGCATATCAATAGTAGTGCTGCGGGGACCATGTCCGAGAGCCTCACCTATGGGGCCATCGAAGGCCATGTGGGCACGGCGGCGATGATTCTTGGATGGGCTGCTGTGGTCTGTCTGGGGATTGTTTCCCTGGCGTTGCTGATTATGATCCTGAGTATTCGAATGCTTGCTAAGTTGACCGATGAGGAATAGGACTTTGGGATTTAGAATATTTGCTATGTGTTTGATCTGAGGGAATTGAGAACAAGAGCTCTTTAACAGGAGATGTTTCCCAGGTTATCAAGGATTATGAGTACGCTGAGAGCGGCTGCTCGTAGACTCTGTGGCCACCACATCAGGGAGGGATGTCGCATACGAATATGAAATATACGAGGCAGAAGTGGAACTCTCCCCTGTATCGGATACAGCCCTAGGCCTATAAAATAAGACCCTCAATCCAAGAAAGAAGACAAAGGGCAGCAAAATAACCAGAATGGCCGCAGTCAGGCCGGCTTTAATACCCGACGCCAGTGGACGTGTCCAGATCAATGCTAGCGGAATTGCGACAAAGGCTGCTATTCCAAGGGCCCAGAGAAGCAACGAGCGCGTTTTTGAGGGAATACGCCTCAGCAGGCGCATAACGAGTTTCGGGAAAGCAGAGCGAAAATTGGGATCGGACCTGCGCCAGTAGGGTACACCCACGAAGCCTAGGAGGGCAAGTATGATTACAAGGGTAACTGCGCCCTGCACACCTCGGTCGATAGCCCGGGTCCAGAGAACGGCGATAGGTGCTGCTGCAACAGTGCCGATAAGCAGGGTAAAACTGACTGGGAACCCGACCACCCTCCATAACTCGATCCCAGCCGTACGGCCCTTCCTGCCTATCCAGGACCAGGTTACTTTGATGCTCCGCTCGACTGTGCTTCCGAACCATTGCAAGAGTAACAGCATCGACAGAGACCGTACTTGCACCGGAAGACCGTGTTGCTCCGCGTAGCGTCTAACATCCTGCTTCACGCTCTGCTTCACATTTCCCAGCCATTGACTGCGCATTGTGAGTCGCATTAGGTATGCGAATGTGGTCACAGTAATGGCAACCACGAAAAAGTTCCACAGCGGGGCCGAGTCTTTGAATGGCTCGATCTGCATCCCAAAGATAGTTGCTGAAAACGATAGCGGAATGAAGAGAAATGCGAGCTCGGTGAGGCGCGTGACGGCGTGCGCTTCATCGATGGAGCGTCGACTGTCCAAGAGACCCATATTGGATGTCAAGGATGAAGACGCACGCCGGAGTCTGGTGAGCATCTGGTCGATCTCCCCGAAGAGAGCTGCCACCTTTCTTATAATGTCTGGGTTGTCGTCTGAGGTTGCTGCAGATGTACCGGCTGGAAATGCGAAACCAAAGAAAGCCAGAAAGCTCCTGGTAGATGTTTTGAGTTCCAACAGCTCTCGCTCGGCTTTACTGATGAGCTGACGCCACAATGCCAGTCGATCTTCCATCTTCGTGTCGTCGAGAATATCGACCTCCATGTCGCTTAGGATCTCGCTGAGCACCCGGAGCAAAGTCGACGTGTCTTGACCAATGATCTCAAACAACGTATCTGGTACGCTGACAGGCACTGTATCTTCCCTAAACATGTCCTCTATTATATCTCGCATTGCGTGCCCAGTGGAGCTTGTCTCGTTGAGTTCCTCCTGGAGCCTGCTCAGGGAATCACCTGTCAGAAAGGCCTTCTCCAGGTCAATTCTAATGGTCTTTCGGGGAGCCATCTGCTTGACCAAAACCTGGAAGCTCGTCTTCACGTTCACCTTCCTTCTATCAACTTCTGGTCTGCGTCGCCTGAGCAGCCAGTCCAATACCGGGCGTGGTGTCTCCTCTCGTCGTGGGTTTTCGATCGGAATCGCAAAGCCCCCAGCCGTATCATCGCCCCCGATTATCAGGACTGGTCGAGTTCTCGTTCCATCGTTATTTCCGGTACCATGATCATCACGATCGCCAGGCTCGACCATGGTGACTTTGGGGATCTGAAGTGTCACATCATGGCTGATGCTAATCGTCGGCAGCGGATCAAGCAAGACGATAACTACAATTCTAGTCAGTCTCCCCGGTAATCAACCTTCCAGGGGACGTATGAGCTCACCAGTTTCATACTCCATATTCTCAGCCTGCTGTCTCCAAATCGACGCCCGTTCCACCAACCCAAACTCGCTCATCTCCTGTGCCGCCACGCGCGGATCAACGCGCAGATCCCACTCGGAGCGAAATATATTTGTCTCGGCTTTGAGACTAATGCTTGAATTGCCGGAGATATACTCTAACCCATCACCCTGCAAATCAAGCAGGTCTTCCCGGTCGCGATTGGAAAATAATGGTGGACGACGATACACGGGCCGAAACCACTGGATCGACACATACGACTTGTTCAACCTAGCCGTCTTCCATGACCGTGCCGGTGGATCATCATACTGCGCGCCACCGTACCCAGAGTTCAACAGATGTTCCTCGAAGAACTCGGGGGTGATCCCAAACGTCTCCCCCAAGGCGTCGATAGTTTCCCTGGACAGATCCTCAACGAGAAAGACGCGCCCTTTCAACCCCTCCCGCATGTCCCGGAAGCCGGAGATCGCGAGAGCGCTCTCTAGCTCTATCCTGAACGCCCTGTTATCGTCGTAGTACTCGTACAGCGTGATGGAGGTTCTCTCCACGCGGGGAAACTTGCGGATATTGCCGTGCTTGATGTGGTCGAATAGGTTTTCTGCGCGGTCCAGAACGCGATAGTAGGGCTCACGGGGTGGGCGTTTTCCCCTTTTCAGTTCTTTGGCCGCCGGCCGCTGTGCTCGCTGCTGTCCTGGTGACGGCGGCGGTGATGGCGGCAATGGAATAGACCAAGGCTGGACGAAGGTGTCATCGCGATCAATCGCCTCCAGGGAAGGCCTCGCTGCATTTCCATCTCTTTCTCCAGGGTCACTGGCCGTGGACGATGCATCGCGAGACTCAGGTAATGGAACTCGCTCAGGGATTCTGTCGAATGCATCTGAATCGTTTTGCGGAAAGTCATCCAGCCAGATCGGTAGTTTTGGCCGTAGCTTACGCGCCTTTCGGGCAGCGACCCCCGCTTCGGCCTGCTGCTGCTTGATCCATTCCACGGTGTGACGAGATGGTTGCTGAGCCATTGTGATCGGACTGGATTATGCTATGGCTTGCAGCTACTATTTTGTCTCCCTCTCAGCTTGAAGCTGCAATATACACATCATGTGCTGTTATTAACCTGTGTTCAGGTGAATGACTTGGTCAGAGCTGACAATTCGACCTAGAAGTGGAGGTGCATGGTTAGTGTGAGTGAGATGCAGCTTGCTGCAGCTACCTCATTGCAAGGGTGGTCAAGACGTCTAACCATAACAAATATGCAAATGAAAAGCAAATAAGCTTATTCTCGTGTGAAATATGAATAGTCGAGAAGCAGTAGGTGTATTTATCTTGAAGAAATATAGATCTCGTAGCTTGCCTAAAATAGTCAAATGAATAGATACAGTGTCAACCCATCCAAATTCCACCATAACATATTTCTATGTATTTGTATGCTTGTCCCATTTACCAAGAAGTAGTTAAAGATAAAATATATGTATTGACCGTCAAGCATTAGTCCAGATCCCGTATAGCGCCTTGTACTCCCTTTGATCATCCGCCGTTAAGATTGCCTATAAGTCTCGCGGGTCTGAGGGACGGGCGAGAAGCAACCAGGCCGCGCGTGTTGATTCTGGACCGTGGGATAGAAAATGATGTCCAATAAGAGCTTGTTAGTAGGCTGAACAATCGGCTTTTCTCCAAGATGCGTTGCTGGATGGCAGGAAGAAATAATAACATCTCCGTCTTGCTTGTTTGTCCGAGGAACTATCGAGCTGGCGTCTCATCTTGTTGAGTCGTTGTGACAACGTAAGGGATTGGAGATGACAGTCAATCAGTTAGCCCAGCTTACTCCGACTCAGCTGAACTTATCTGCCATATGAGTGCGAAGCTTTCGGCTTTTAGCCGGGGTGACTTTGGACGTCAACTGTGGTCAGGCCATTGAATGAGTTTTGGATGCGCAATACATGGCCGTTTGTTTATTCACTGCTAAAGAGTACAGGAATTCACTGTTCAATAGTACAGAAAATTCCTTACCTCCCCCAAGCCGGCCTCTCTCACCTGGCCTATACCATCTCCTGCCTTGCACTGATCTCCCTTGCGTTCTTAACTTCCATCCTCGGGTGATCTTGCAAAGCGTCCTGGTCAGGAGAGACTTTGTAGGTTTGGCATTTATGGCTTTGTCCTAGATGCTGTGGGACAGCCCCTTCATGACATCCTTGACGGAAGAATCTTTAGTGTCCGAGGTCTGCCCTGGTATTGCACGTCGAACATTATACCGACTTTGGGGCGTAGTACGATTGGAGCTACTTTTCGTAAAACTCTTACCGTGGAACTACTGTCATCCCAGCTTCAAGTGCAATAACTGAAGTCAGGGGGACCTTTATCTTTGCATCTGCTAAAGGCCCTTCGACAGTCCAGAGGTAAGCACGTGTAAGCGGTGTACTTCACCACCGCAGACACGCAAGTGCGTCAATCACGTTCCCTATGTATATTAGTATTCATGAGGGAGCAAATATTAAATTCAGAGTGACCTACTTAGGAAATCTGGTGCCTCCATTACATCAGAACGCCATATCTTTTTGTCGTCTGCACCGGTGACCATCTGCAACCCGAAAATATACGCAATCGCATCGAATGGGAAACGTTTAGTTCTAAGGATCTCTACATCCTCAGTTGAAGGATTTCGTAGCATATTTGGGACTTTCTCGGGTATCTCTATCTGATGATCCTGGATCAGAGTCTGCAGTCCTGCGTCCACAGATAAGGGCTTTGAACTTCAGCATCGTTGGCGAAACTTTGCGTTGTGAGAGGTTTATCAGTGGTGGACTGGTGCTGAAGACTGGGGGGGCAGCTGTTTGTCAATGAAGGAATCACTTTGACGTCTTGCACGTGCAGGGAACCCATGTCCAGACTGCAACAAACCATGGATCTGAAATCATCGTTTGTGATGTATGAATCGACTGTTGTTTTCTCATCAATCCTCAAGAGATAAGTATTCGCCTTCTACTTGTTAATCGGCTGTTCAAGTCTGATGTGAACGAGTATTGGCACGCCCTCGTCATATGAACGGTAAATGACTTTTGATCAGGATTTCAGAGCTCGTCAGCTTCTCAATTTTTGAGGATAAAGATGACTGGTGGTTTGTCGATATCCATTTTCTCGGATACAGCAGGTATTGCAACGTAGGAGATATCTATCGAATTTAAGAATGTGCCTCCGAAGGTCTCTTTGGCGAATTTTAACTGTGCATGGTGTAAATGCTCATCCTTTTTACGATATTGTCCTGGATCTAGGTATGGATTAAACCTAAGGCATCTTGTCAGCCATTAAATCCCCTACGCCAAAAAGGTGTCTCGACGACCATTTCTAGCATAGTAGAAATGATAGGCATATTCTGGTTGACACATCTACTTCCACTGTATGTTCTGTGTCTTTGGATGGGATAAAACCTGCACTTCAATATAGTTTCATGCCCGCGCATTATGATGGTCTCATAATCTCAGATAATAAGGTTGTGTGTGTGGTACTCTACATGTGCATGTGTAGTGCGCTGCACAACTGCAGTCAACCCAGCGGGGTAAACAGCTAGGTGGCAGCTACTAACACAAACTCCATGCTAATGCAACCATACCCACCAGTAAATTTCTTGATCTTAATGACTCACACCCTAGTCTAGGTACTACTGCTCACTGTAATCTTCAAGGATTACCAGGAAGTCTAAGGTACTTTAGTTTACTGCATGATGGAACCAGATGCACAGCGAATTCGCTTGTATTCGATACAAAGGAAACAGACTAAGTACTTGTCCAATGATAATCGCCATATTGTGATGACTTGCATTTGAGACAGACTGTGAGAACGAATGGAATGACTTGATGAAGACAGCTTGCAGAAGCTCAAGTCTGAGTCATAAACTTTGCAGATGGTCCCTGCGAGTCCTCGAATTGAGGACAGGAAACGTGGGAGGATACATCCTCGCTTTCTGGTTTTCCTTCTTTTTTTCATGATTTCTGGCTTTGGTGCAAGAGCAAACGTTTCGTTCTTGTAGAGAATCGAAAATCCAAAGCGTAAGGCAGTTCAAAGAGCTTCGCAGAATTCCAGGTCAAAATATGGAAAAGCCAATCATGGAAAGGCGTTGCAAGCTTGCATGAATGCCGACACAAGCAGGAAGAAAGAATCTGTGCCGGGAAGAGCGAGTCCGCACTGCCGGTCCCTGACGCTCAGCGACGGCGGATTTGGGGCGTCCTTGACTCGTCCTCCTGTCTGGCGTGGCACAGATTATTTGAGGCATTGTTGTTATTGAAAGCGAATTCAGAAACAGTTCATAATAGTTCAACGATAGTATCCAGTGGGTCGGTAGATGCGCGAAGGAGATTCCTTGGAGCGCTCAACACGGTCTGCCGCATCAGAGTCGTACAGAGAGCCGCGTGACGATCCGCGTGGAGATTGATAGACGATCACACGGCGACGTTTGAGAGTGCGGGGCTCGCGCTCGATGATCTCGTTGACAGCAATGGGTTGCTGTGTGTTTGCCTGGCGAGGCGCGATGGGGTATGTGCGGTCGTAGCTGATGATAGGCGCCACAACCTGGACTCGGGCTTGTGTCTGAGTCTGAGCCTGAGCCTTTTCCTGCTCCTTGCGCTGCAGACGCATGCCATCCTCGATCGCGAGGAGGAGGCCCCGGACAGCGACGCAGTCCCGAGGGATCTTGACCAGTGTGGGCTGGCTCAACTCGCGGTCGATGACGGACTTGGCCTTGCCGTTCTCACTATAGAGGTACTCGGCCACGTCGAGGGCGTACTGGTGACCACGGTCACAGAGGGAGCGGCCCTCCTTGTGGACACGCAGGGGTTCCGCGCATTGCGAGCAGTGGCTGGCATGGCGCTCGAATGCGGTCATGACGTATTCCTCGTCATCTTCGAGCTCCCGGACGCGCAGCACGGGCGCGATGGGCTCGGGACTCTCGATCAAGGCGGGCATGGTGTATGACCGACGAGGGCGGACAGCTCTGCGAGTTGAGATTCTTCTGATGAGGATTCGTTCACGTAGGGACGACAAGAGAGACGGTTGATGGAAGAGACGACGCGACGAGTCGTAGGGCGACACCGTGACTGCTGTGGGTGAAGCAGGGAGTGAGGCTGATTGATTGCTTGGAGCTCTCTTGCTGGTAGACGTTGACGCGATTCAGAGAAGCGTCAAAGAAGTAATAGCAGTTGGTAGACGGTAGAAGATATTATAAAATGCGAACGTAAAGCGATGTTAGAGGTAGTGACAGACAAAAAAAATATCGAATGAGAGGAGGGAGGTTGAGGTGATATATAGTCACCTGGAAGAGAAGGCATCCATCGTCCAAAGCAGAGTATATAAGACTGCGACTAACAAAAAATGGTCTAGTGGTGGAGTCTATCTGTCTAAAGATAGGATGACGGCATTGGTCACAAGCGGATGTTCAGAAAAAACGCCTTGTGGCCTGTGGAACAGTGGGAGGGTGGAGAGCGGGAGGGTGTGCACGGCAGCCTGGCAGATGATGCTATTCCCGTTCCACTCTTAGCGCCTGGTGTTTGCCTGCGGCGGATGACTCGATGGAGTCCTCAGGCTCCCGCAAAACGCTGCGAATGGCCAGTCTGCTGTGGCTGGTGCATGCAGGCAGTGCTTTTAGTCTCTGCTTTTTTAATTCTGGCCAGGAAAAGGGCGTCTGCTGCAACAATGTCGGCCACAGTTTTTGCTTGTTGGTTGATTCCTGGTCTTGTGATTGGCCTAAATGCCGTAACTGGCGGTCAACCCCCTTCGAGACCATCCAGGGATGGCTCCAGGATCACTATTCCCCCATGTCCACTACGGTCTAGTCCGTCATCTGTCATGATTTATGACTCCATCTGGTGTGGATGCTGCACAAAAGGGTACAAGTGACATGCAGATAGTTGCATGTTTGCAGTCCATCTAACTTACTTTAGAGATGCCCAGAGTACTCTAGTCCTGGTTTACTCATTGGCGATCCTTGTCGGTTACCTATTCAGGATTCGGGGAGGATTCGAGTCAGGATCACAACAGGGAAACGCCAGATTTTCAGCTGGAGTGTGAACACCGCGAAGCGTCCTGTCCAACTGTGGCTTGAACGCTCTCGTGTTCCTACGGCTTATCCCCCCTTAGAACGACACCATTCCTCAACTGCCACCACTACCATCATTATTGACTTTCGTTCTGATTACTCCTTGAAATGGGACCATCATGATCATAGATTTTATCGCCCACTATCCAAACAATATCTCCGCTATAGGCTCTTGGATATTGTTAACTTGGAATTATTGGTCTTCCTTTGCCCGCCTGGCGACATATTGACGCGGTGCAACCGCCTCCAGATCGCGAATAATTCCTGAGACGCGGTAGGGTTTCAGACCATTATACCGGTAGCCTATACCGGGCCTCTGGTCTTTGATCATGTACAGTGATGCTACCTAGCTTTCAGAATATGCATCGAATGGGAGTTCTGTTCCTTGCTGGCCGGGAGGATCGTCGCGATTATGCGCTCGAGCCTCAGGGGTTGCACTGCCTCAGGCTCTCAGCCTCAATCTTCCTCCTCAGTCATTTCAACTTCTGACGCTAATGACTATTAGTACTGTTCAGCCTCAAGCCACAGAGCCTACTCTCCCTGTTTATCATACTTCAGCCACAATCTGACAGCCAAGAGTCCAACACGAGCTGAAGTCTCGGCAACAAATGGCCGGTCCTGATTACGTGCTGCCTGGGAATCCGTATTCCAGGCTTCTGAGTTCTCTGAAAGTATGTTGGAATTGAGCGTCGAGATTTGATTCTACTTCGACACGATCGCCGTTGCAGCGAAAATTCTCCTTATCGTGGGCCGCAATTGTCGACTACTTCGCGCGATTCGCCCTGGAATAGGCGCGGACATCGCGAAATGTCGCAAGTTTGTACCAGTGCTTCAGAATCCGGATCATTCTCGTCCAATGGACCATGTGAGAAGAAACCTTCAGAGCGTCGACTCTATAATTATACCTACCACCGCTTGGCGATTCGATGTGTTCGAGCAAACTCACGGTGTCTTGCAAGTTTCTACCGGATTGGATGTGCTAAAATTGGTGGAGAGACATCTCGCATAGATCTTGATAGAGTGTCAGGTGCACAATTACGACTGCCACTACAGTCTTGTCGTAACTGTGGGGGAGAACATAGCTTTCGTCTGGCTTTATGAGAGAAATTTAGAAACAGGTCTCCAAGAAGCCAGCCGGGCTAGCTCAATCGGTAGAGCGTGAGACTCTTAATCTCAAGGTTGCGGGTTCGACCCCCGCGTTCGGCTTCTCTTTTTGCTCCTGTCAATTCTGATTTGTGAGAAGGGCAAATTTTCTTTTTCATCAAGTCTCCGTTGTGGATCGCGAGGTTGTTGGTTGGAAGCCTTTGCTTGGCTCCACCGCAGGTAGCCAGCTCCACTTTTAAGGCCATGCCTTAGTTGATCATAAGTCACGACGGGAAGTTCCGTGTAAGTCTTTTTCTATGGTCAAGCTATGAAGGTATTTGCAATGCATAAAACTTAAAAGAATGTAGCCATTACGGTCTCTGAGGGTCGAAAAACTACCAGCAATAACCTCAAGACTAAATAAACAGAGGCCGTCATCCAGTTATCATATGGAGCACAAAAGCACATCTACAAGCAATACTAGAACGATGAAGCAATGGATTGACTAGGTAAGTCTATCTAGAGCCTATCCATCCAGCAAGCCTCGACCATCAAGGTCAAGCCATCATCGTGCGGCCGTTCAGTCATAAAGCATCCCCACCAACCAATCGATAAGATCTGCCAAGATCCAAAGCAAGAGAGCCAAAGACGAAGCAAGAGCGGTCTATCCAAACCTATCAGCATGTCAATTATCAAGGAAAAATCAGGAACTCACCATCGTGAGGAAGAACCAATTCATACGAAGCGTATGATGGATGCCAATAAAGCAGTATCTGTCTGCACAAGCACACAAACTAACATTAGCCCAAGCCTGTGTCATCAGTATGCAAAGGAAACAAACCTAAGCCTTGCAGGTGAGAGACTTCTTGTCGCATCTGGGACATTTACCACCGCACATCTGGTTGTTGAGGCAGACCTGGCGGCAGTGGTCGCGTTTGTCATCGAGGTTGTTGACAGGGGAGGCCGCGTCGTTGATAATGGTGCCTTCGACGCCTTCGACGCCTGGGACAGCCGCGGCGCTGGCGACAGCGAGGAGGAGGGAGAGGCTGAGGAGGTTGAAGAACTTCATTTTGAAGTGGTTGATTGTGATGGTATTGAGTGGACGTAGTTGAGACCGATGGAGTGCGAGTGGAAGTAAGAGAGGTAGGTAGTGATGAGGGAAGAGGAGAAGAGAGATCGATCATGAGGCAGTATTTATACCTGTGAGGAGAGGATTTGAAAGGAATGGTTGTGAATAGCTTGAGTGTATGATCGTGAAGATTCATAGGGGATGGTGATATAAAGACTTCATGTTTTTGCTAGTAGAGTTACACCAGTGAAGAAAGAACCAGGATGGCCCATCAGTCAGAACATACAGAAACAGATTATTCCGGGATATGCCCGCCCTTATACTAAGCTAGTGAATTGTTTTGGTCTCTACTAATTTCATCAATAAAAGTAGAATGGAGTCATGCAAGTAGCCTGATATATGGATGATTTCTTTATGCGCCTGCTGCTGTGAAACCTCAACTCAGGAACTTTTTGAGGGCTGGAGTCATGATGATTCCTGAAGCAAACAAAGAACCTCTGTCTCCTAATGATTTAGCTTTACTTCTCAGTTTCTTGAATTTTCGAAGAAAATGGAATATCCTGAATCTTACTCTTAAGACCAGCCGACGTCTTGCCAGTATACACTCAGATCAACTAAGGTCAATACGAATCTCCGAAATTACATGTCCCATTTGTACACAGCGTAGCAGGAGACAGAGGCGGTACGGATGCCCTCGACACGTTTGAAGCCAGGTTGTTATTTGTGGAAACGAGGATCTAGCTGGTTCTAACAGCGTGCTAGCCGACGTGCTTCAAAGCGATGAGTGTACTAGCTCCAACAAACATGAGGTCATCATTGCTCAGGGGTAAGATAAAGTCCGCTTGCTAGGACGTTTTGTAAGATCGACTACCCAAGGAGGGAAGATAAGAATGTAATGGAGAACGTTGCAACTCAGAAGAAGATGGTAAATGCCAGATGAGAAATGTTGGCTGAGAGGAGGTAAGAACTCCACGCTATTTAGCAGTGAATAAACGCAAGCGCACGCACTGCGCATCATAAAACTCATTCACCGGCCTGGCACGGTTGAGGGTCGGATAACCTTGTCATTCGGGCTTTCGTTCTCTCCGTAGCCGGGTAGAGAATCCGTGTCAATCCCCGACGTCGTCGACATTGTCGGCTGGTAGTGTTTAGTCGAAGCAAGGTAGCACTGTGATGGATGCTCAAGCTAGAGTGATGGACTCTGTGCCGTGGACCTGTATGGACACCCGGCACAGCATACTATGAATTCATTCTCATTTCTCGCCTTCTATTTCCTAGACAGACCTCCTTCCATATTTGAAAAGGAGTCATCAAGGGCATTCAGCCGAATTTCAGTGCCGGTTTCTCTTTGGCAATGAACCTTTTCAAAGAATAGACCGTCGCTCCAGGAAATAGCACTCTTTTCGTTGCACAGCCCGGCGGGACAAGTGGTATGAAAAGCTCTGTTGGACTCTTCTCGTAGATTCCTCTACCGTTTATTGCAAATTAAGGCCGCATCAACCAACGGACATGGGATGTGGAGACAAAAGTCCTGCTGTGGGTATCAAACACAGTGTGGCGGGTGAAGGTGCACTAGTGGTTTCGGTTGCAACCGATGCAGAGGTCGCCTGACGGCCCGAGCGGATTTCAAGAACATCACCGATGTAACTTCCAGGTTTTCTTAAGATGCCTTTCAGATTGCGATCTTGGAACCCCGCATCTGAGAACTGAAGGAGGGTGAGATGTCTCGGAATGGCGGGTGACCAGGATGCGAAGGAGCTATTGTCCGAAGATAAGATTTGTGCTGTGCTCGATCGATTTTCAAATTTGGCAGGAATCTAATGTTGGCAACTCTTCAATCGAATAAAAGCGCTCGTTAATGGTGGACGAGGGTGCATAAATCCTCGGAATCTTTCGAGTTGACGGAAATATTCTGATCGATGAGATCTGGGCTAGCCACCTTTTGAAGGACTACGAAACCGAGGATCCACATGAGCAGATCCATGCATATTCTTCCGGTGCGGATGAAGCCAGCACTAAGTGAGCTTCGAGCATCCATCACTAGGTCACCCGACGACTTCAGAGCCCTTTGAAACGGGTAGATCACTAGATGATGTATACCATATGGATTTGTACCTCTGGAAATCTGCGCTTGTCTCTAATAGAATCAGTGACTCTGAACCGACGCCGTCGAGGATGGGACTTAACTTGTGTCATGTTGTTTCAAGAATTATATGTTCCAAATGGTCAACTACTGTGGATGACGGGGTTGGTGAAATTTGTTCGCGAGGCTTACAAAAGCGGCACGCAAGGCATAAACCTAAGCTTGAGTCTCCTCGGTTCCTCATTGGTACTCGTGAGAAGGGGATCAAGATTGAGGCTTCTTGTAGTGTTTTCTCGCGGGTATTTCACTAGCAAAAGAAAGATTCTGTATGATGCGGATAAGCTCCTTACCGAATCGAGAGAGTACCTGGTCATCATGTGTATCCCATCATCGTCAAGTGGAAGAGTGGCTTCAGACTTGCCTACCGCGAGCTTACATCCGCAGCTTATGCTCGGTGCAATAAATATCGTCTTCACAAGCACCGCATTTATCCAATGAGTATTCTCCACAGGGAGAAAATATATCGTTCATCGAAGTACTTGTATTGCGTCTTCCATGCGCCGCGAGGCAGACTCTTGCTGAAGTCGCTTACAACCGACAACAACTAAGGCTTGAGCTCTCAGTCAGGTCAATGAAGTGTAGCGTCTCTACTGCTGATGTCCAGTACAAGTTGACAGGGGCGAGTAAAGCATACGGAAATCAAGGATGAAGAGCATTCAACGAATGCAACAGCCAGCTGTTTACCTCTCTCCAAATGGCACACGGCACATTTACACTGATTGCTCATCGAAGCGTATTACTGGCGTGCAACCGCGAAATGCAAGAAGGAACCATGAAGTTAAGATCCTTGCCTTTATGGAATTCAAGCTGGATGCTCACACTAACTCATGAGTATACAAGCAATTGTATATAGCAAGGGTAGTAAAAATTTGAAGTTACTAAACAGACGGAAAACTGGGAGCTCTTCTCATACTTATAGCCTGAAACGGCATGATTGGAGAGGCCGAGAGAGGTTTTCAACAAGAGTCAGGACAAAGATAGATACGATTACACAAAGCAGTTGTAGAAACAGCCCACTTCTAGGTTTCATAGATGACAAACAGACAGCCTATTAAGCTGACACACATTTCATGATAATCTTTGTCAATAGGCAGAGGTACTTTGTCTATGTACCTTGCAGCGAAGGCACTCCGTAGTCTTGGCGTTATCCGCATTCCGCACTATCCCGCTCCAGGACGTAATATATCACGTGATACTATCCAGATCCCAAAGTTCTTCACAAACTCCGATAACTTGGAATCCGTCACGACAAGTCTCCATCCCCCTCTTGCTGTCCCTCCCTCGCAAGCCGCCAAAATGGCCAAGAAAGGTATGCGCAGATTCTGCTCCAGCGCTGTGTTTCCCACGCGAACTCGGAGTTTCTGGTCCCATCATAATGCTACTCCGCGGAGAACGGATGACTGACTTGCGATCCTCTTCACAGCGAAATCTCGCACGATTGCCGTTCGCCTGATCTCCATGGCTATGACCGGGTACTATCGCACAATGATCCGCCCTCGTACGCATCGCCCTCTGAGTATGCTCAAATACGACCCCGTGGTGAAGAAGAAGGTCTTGTTCCTGGAAGCGACAAAGGGTGGAAGGGCGAAATGATTCACGATCTCTCTTATTCAAATATCCGCAACGTCAAGTTCCGTCGCTTCGAATAGGTGGATTGTTCGTATTGGCTCCGTCTTCCTCAGCGTCAATGAATCCACTCTGTTCCTGAACCATCCAACATCGCAAAGGCAGCGAACAAGTCGAGCCCGGTACTTCCATCAACCATCATGTACATTAGGGAAAACAGCAGCAGAAGCGATACTCTGGACTCCTGAGCGGTCTCTTGTACTGCTAAGCTGTTTCTGTTCCGGTCTTGCATTTCGGCGTTTAGAGCAGTACATTCTGGGTTAATTTTAACATGTTCTATATCTTCACTTTCCCATCATCTTCTCGACTACATAAGCGGTGTCTCCCTTTTGTGGCTTCTTCAATCTTATGATAAATACGCAGCGTATCTCTTTTTTCCATCGTCCATAAGTATATCCTCACTAACCTCCAGGCGCATTATGGTCGAGCTAAATTCGGGCTCTACTGTCTATATACCATCAACCTGTTCGTTATATCTCTGACTGAAACGGGCATTGTAGCGTTTACCTGTGTCCATCAGCAGCTATAGCTTCTCGCAAGGAGGAGAGCGCTTACTGCGTAATCTCCGGCCTCCGCGCCTTGCGCCTCGTGTCGTCCACCTGTTGTTTTTTGGGTTGCTTTCAATCGCTGATGATTGTCTACTACTTCCGGATGCTAACCTAGCAGGACTTGTTCTGCGCTCCAAGTAATCGCCAGTCCCTTGCGCTTCCCCTTTAGTCCCGGAATTCGATGGCGCCACAGACACTCGTGCTCTCTTATCATTGCTCGTGTATTGATTCTCCGTATGAGTATCACGATTCGACAGTTCGCTAGCCGGAGAAATGTTGGATTGTTTTGAAAATTTGGGGCTCCCCTTCGATCTAGGAGAGCGCTGAAATCTGCTATAAGTGCGTTTCGTGGTGCGCTCTGGTCTCTGGACAAGCCGATTCTCCGAAGCGCTCTCTTCGGGAGGTTTATTTACAATTGCTGAGAACTTCCGCTTCTCAACCCTGGTTGCCTTGTTTTCTGCCTCGAAAGTGACGGTTTTCTGCTTTTCCTGATCCTTGGTTGCGTTCGTATGGCCACCAGCCGTTTCCGTTGCCAAGGAGTTCAGTTTCAGTGGCTGGTGCTGTGAGCTCTGCGACTGTTCACCTATCATTCTGAGGTCGCAACCGTTGGCTTCGTGCGATGTAGCTGCATTCCCCTTCTCGTTCTTTCCTTTCGGCGTTTCCACGACCGTATCGCCCTGCGATGATTTGTTCTCTGGGGTGAGGTCTAGCATCTCTGCAAGATCGCTTGGTTCAGGACTCAGAGATGAGCCAGATGGAGAGGATAGCTGCTGTCGAATATTCGAGAATGGTACAATTTCAGTTAATGGTTCCGGCCTTTCGCAGTGACCAATGGAGTCGATGTTTCCAGCTCTCGCATCAGTTTGAACTGGGGAAGATAGCCCGCCGCCTTGAAAGCTCTGTGTTCGATATATCACCTCTGTCGCCTGAACAAAGCCCTGAATAGGACTCTGACAGATCTTGTTCGGTGTCAAGTTCACAGATGGACTTATACTCGCATTCGCGACATTAGGAGCTGCAGGGACACTAGTTCTTTGTGAGTCGGAGCACGGGTTGTCGTTATCTGTCGAGCTCAGGTAGTCCTTCAGTTTGTCCCAGGTACCCGGCAATGGTCCCCCTACTGAAGGATCATCTGGTCGAGCGATGGCCTCTTTGATATTTTTCATCCAGCGCTCCGAGTCCTGAAGCCTTTTGAGGAGGGCGTGTATTTCGGATTTCGCCTTCGCTTTACCTATTTCCAAGGTTGACTTGGCCGATTCAGCAGCGCAAAGCTTTTTCTTGACCTGTGTGAGTTCTTCTTCTTTCTCCAGTAGATCACTTTGACATGTGTCTAGCTCCTTCTGGAGATTTTCGAATTCAAGGTCTTTCGAGGTCAGCCTATCATTGAGTTCGACGATTCTTCCTTGGACTTCATCCAGCTGCTGGGAGATTGTCTTCTGTTGAGCCTGAGCTGCAGCCTCTGACTTGCGCAGTAGCTCGAGTTCCGCTTCCTGTTCACTCATCCGAGCTGCTTCCTGGGTACGGAAGTCCTCTAATTTCTGTATTTGCTTTTCTCTTTGCAGGATCTACAGGAATCAGCAATTTTCATTAGTTTATCTCCAAAACTGATTTACTCACCGTCAACTCCAACTCACCTCTTTGCTTCTTCGCTGCATGTTCCCTTTCAGCCTGCAAACCATTAGTGAATCTGCCCTCGTAAGACTCTATGTTGATTACCATTGACGCTTGGGCCTCAGCCAGTGACTCCCTGATCGTGGCCATATCCTTTTCCGCTTCTACTTTCTCTCGCAGCAGTTTATGGATCTGTTGCTCAAACCTCGCCTTGGTCTGGTCTCTGGAAACGACGCTCGCTCTGTTCAATTCCTCCCGAATTTTCGTCTCGATAGATATCGTCTTCTGTCGCAGGCTAACGGCTTCGGCCTCGAAATCCTGTGCTCGTTTCATCTCTTCTTGCATCTTTGCTGTGACCTCCAGAAGGGCACGCTTTGCTTCCTCGGTCTCGAGCTTCTTCGCCTTAGCATTCTCTTCGGCAGAACTCACATTAGTTGAAAGCTGCTTGATTTGATTTTTGAGTGCGGCATTTTCCGTAGATAGTCTGCAGACATCTGTCGCTAGAGCCGGGTTCTGCCTCTCGGAGATACTCTTTTCTAGATGAGTAATGTGCTGAGCAAGATCAATTTCCTTCTCATTGAGTGTTGTGAGGGAGGAGTTTATTTTATGCATGCTTGGCTCGAGAGCTTCCAACCTTTCTCGTACGGCGTTGTACTGTTCTTCGTTGAGCCCGAGCTGCTTGAGAAGTGCCATATGACAGCCGTTATTGTTTTCGAAGAGTTTCAGCTGCTCCCTAATATTATGTGCCACATTCTCGTGGAGCGCGAAGCTTCTTTCGAGTCCCTCCTTTAGCTTGAGATCGAATGTATCCACACTGACAGCAACAAGTCAGCATTCCATTCCTCAGTACTTTGTCCCAGATCATACCTTGAGAAGATCTTGTGGACGATGTCACTGCATTGTTGGATATCCACTTTGTCTCTCGAAAGCCGTTCGCTCAGTTCTTTGAGAAGTGAAAAGCTCTTCCCGAGTGTCAATTCCAACGTGGTTTGAGATGCTGCCTGGGAAGCATTCACACTCTGACTCAGTATGTCAAACGCAGAGTTGAGCTTGCTGAGCATCTCCTGCTGTTCAGTCCGGATTACCGCAAGGTGCTTTGTTTGAACTCTCGAATTATTGTGAATGTACGACTCAAGAGTTGATGATCTTCTCCTTTCTTCCATCAACTGGGTTTGAACAAATACTGTCTTTTCTTCTGCATTATTCAAGGCCAGCGTTATCGCTTCGATCTTTTTCTCGGACTCTGCCAGTTGATTCCTTTTTTCCCCGACGAGAGCGACGGCCTGAGAAATTTGACGCCTAGCATCTTCAATGCCAGACTCAATTTCGATTCTTTCATTCTCCAGAGTTGCTTTTGAGTCTTTGAGTCGGAGGTTCTCATTGCGAAGGTTTCGATACTCAGCTCCAAGCTCGTTGAGAATACCCTTGAACTTCACTAGTTTTGCTTTCCAGTTCTCTATCTGGGCTCTGTATGACTTTGATTGAGACTTGCTACGCTGTAATTGATTGTCGAGAATCTCGAGCTGATTCTTCAGAGTTTCGTTTTCCTCCGCCAGTTCAGACATGTCAGCTTCCATTCGCTCCTGCAGATGGGAAGCAACGATTTCATTTTCTTCTCGAAGTCTCATCCGATTGACTAGAAGCTGGAACAGATCTTCCTCTGACAATTGCGAGCCTCCGTTGTCCAGAGCCAGTGTCATAGTTCGTTTCGCACTGGGCACCTTCTTCCCGTTTGCGGAACGTCGCTTCGAAATCCTGAAATGATCAGTCATCGGACCCAATGAGTGCATATTAGGGACTCCCTCTCCGCTCGTAGCCTCATTCTGGCGGTTGGGGTTTTGCTGCATAGCAGCAGCCCTTTCCTGCTTTTCACTGTGCTGCCTTATCACACGTGGGACATGGTGTCCAAGCTTGGAACCCGTCAGTAACCCCAGCGAAAATGATGGAGGAAACTTACACTCGCTTGCGGAGCCACAGAGCTTGTGTTGCCGTCTATAAAGTTAGATCACCTACACAGGACTTCTTTCAGGCTTTACCCACCTGGATTTCCTGCATTCGCGGCGATGCGTTGAACGTCGCCTGCTGTTTGCGGACCACAATCTTGTGCTCTCTGGCTTTGTAGTCGATCCGTTGGTATATTTCTGCGAGCATCGCTTTCGGCACTGTTGCAACGGTTTGCTGCAATTCCCGAGTCCTGGGTTTTGTCTGTCGCTGAAGAGCAAAACCTCGTCGGGCTCGAGCGGGATACGTTATCTCCGATCATTCCACACATCATGCAATCCTTGCCCGAAGCATGAGAGGTAGAACTTGAAGGACAATCAGCATATGTGGAAAGCGGTAGCATTGGAGCAACGAACTTTGCTTGCTCTTGATGTCTGACTTGATCAGTCATACCACGCCTATTAGTTTGTTCTAAGGACGGACTTCTGGGTGCACAAGGCCTCTTTGTCAAGGATTGTAGCAAAAGGGGCCTTCCACGTGGACCAGGTTTTCCGAAGGAGAATCCCGCGACATCGAGTTCAGAGCTTTGGGGCCGCTCGAGAAGCAATGGAGCAGGACGAGCTCCTTGCAGTCGGTCTGACCCCTTATCTGTCTCCATAAGAGCCTTCAGACTAGGTGAGATGGGCTCATTGTTATTTTGTTCCATGTGGGGAAGCATTAGATCTCCATCGCCCTCATATTGAGTTGCAAGGCCGTCACGCTCAGATTCAGATACGGCTAGAGAGTTACCAGGTGAGGAAGGGCCAATGTTTTGATTTTCCATTTCGATATTGTCTTAAATGCTCAATTCAACAATGAACGTCGACT